TGTTCGGATTCCACAAGCAAGTACCAATTTTCCTAATAAACCTCCTGTCGCTCAACAACCCGCGTCTGAACCTCGCATGAGACAGAACCCATGAAAAGGCAAAGGGGGGAAAGTAAAGCGTTTAGTGCGGAGCACATCTCTCCCATCACCCTCCCCCTCGGGACGCCGGACCGGCGGTCATCGGCGCCACGACCACCAGCCCTCTCGGTCGGCAGGGTATCCGGAGCCCGCCTAGATGGCGCCGGTTAGAATGGGTTATCCTACGGAATACCCCGCTGGGTCAGAACCAGCGTGGGTCGAGGATAGCCGGCCTTCCATCACCCGGATGCTCTTGCGTAAAACGCGTGCAGAGCAGCTTGCACGTCGTCTTCTTAGGCCCCCTTCGCTGGTCCCCAGACCGACATGTGAAGGGGACCCGAAACCCTTAGAGGGCCAGGGCTTGGGCGAGATCCGCCTCCCTGGCCTCCGCCCGACGGCGACGGGCTTGCGCGTCTCTCACGCGCCCCGCCGCCTCCTTCTGCGAGATGGTGCACTCGCAGAAGTCGAGCATCGCCTTCCACGACTCGTCGTCGCCGAGCATCGATGCCACAACACTCGGCAACGACAAGTCGTTTCCTATTTTTGCGACGAGGACACGGCGCCACCCCTCCCATGCGGGGCAGGCGACGAGCGTATGCTCTGCCGTGTCCAAGTCGCAACCACAATGGTGGCACTCTGCCGTCGGCTCGGCTGTGATCCGGTGCAGGAACTCAACGAAACAACCATGCCCAGTGAGCACCTGCGTGAGCCGGAAAGTGAGGCGTCCTCTGTCACGATTCACCCAATCCACAAGCACCGGGCGAATTGCCTTGACGGTCCTACGACCAGCCGAAGGATCAGCCAGCCGTCTGGACCATGACTCCAGCAGGTACCATCACCCTGCCTGTTTCTGCCGTGAAAGAGTAATTCATTTCGGTTTGAAAGGTAAGGCAGCCGTTGTAACTATACTGAGAACTTAGAGTTTATATCTCAAGGTAGGTGGCGGCATTTACGGTGTGTAGATGCCTATGGGCTCTGGTAACCACTTAACATCAGGTAAGCCGTGAGCTCGTCCATCCACCTAAGCATAAAAAAAACATAAGCTAATAAATATTCAAGAAGTCCCTCGGGTTTAAATTCAATTTATTCTAACGTACTAAGTTTTTTTTCCAATTTTTAACATCACGCTTTGTAAGTTTTTGTTTCAAATCAATTAAACCTTTTAGTGCAATCAAATTTTTTATTTCAGTTTTCATAAGAAACCACTAATTTTAGTTAACGTAAGCGTGTGTCATAAAAACTGGGATCTTAGACCTCATGTCTCAAGGTTGGTGGCGATATTTGCGTTGTTGATGTTTATGGGCTTCGGTAATCAATTAACTTACCACTTAAGGTGGGCCGTGAATTCATCCAACCATTTAAGCAATAAATAAAAACAATGAATGGTGAAGAAAAAGATGGCGCGTAACGGAAAAATGTGACGCGTAACCGAAAAATGTGACGGTAAATTTTTTTCCAACGCCGATAAAGAAGTTTCACTTCAAAAACAATAATATAATTTAATAAATTGGTCAATATCTAATTTAAGTTTTAAAGCAGAATTTATAAATTTCAAAACTTAAAGCTTAGAGAAAGAAAGCTTAAAGAATCTCTAAGCTTTCTTATTAAAAGTTAAGCAACTTTTTCAACCGAAATGAAAACAGAATCAAGAATTAGACTGTAATGTCGTCAGGAACATTAATGCGTCAACATTAAGCACGTGTCTGGATTGCGAATTTATAACGCCCTGACTTTATGTGGTAATTATCTTAATGGTAATAACATCATTACTAACGTTGTTGGTATCTTGTTGATGAATAACACTTCTAAGCAAAAGTGAACCAAAATGAAACCCTATTACTATCCGCAACTTTATAAAACACAGTATAATTTTTTTGTGTCAAAGAAGGCCTACTGGCATACTTGTACGGCTTCATAATCGAAAAAATCATGACAATAAACTATTTCAAGGACATATACAAATCGCTTCTTATTATATGGCTCAAGAATCCGCAGCCTATAGGAATATGAAGAATTATTGGCTTGCTCTATACACTTTATCGAATATTCAAAAAAGAGTTCTCTGAGGCCAATATATCACGATCTCCATATTTCGAGCCCCCAAGTACAATTGACTTGATCAATTTAAAAACTGTTGACAGATTATATTTTTGTTTTTAGACTAGTAGTCACGTTTTTCTCAGGGATTTAAAAATTCAAAATAAAGGAAAATCGAGGTGGATTTTTCAATTTTTAAAAATCTGTATGTTTATGACATATGTACGTCACCGTCGCGGGTTGCCTTCCAATTAATTATTCCTCTGTATTAAGGGAATGTGGTCACCAATAAGCATTTCTTAATTGGTCAAATGATAATAATACCAACAACAATTATAAATAGAGATAATGAAAATTTATTCGCGTATCCAATATTATCTTAATTTCAGCCTATAAATCTCTTGCTGGAAGTATAATAGGGTATGCACGGGGCTATACAAAGGAAATGTTCAACTGAATTATAGGGCAATTAATAAAAAATAAATAGGGAAGTGTCGCAATCCGAATCGCCTTATATTTAAAATAATTTACAAAACACTTCAAATGGGACTCATTTCATATAGGAAGAACTTGGTAATCAAAACAATATTTTTTTGTTAATTCTACGAATAATTATTTCCTATAATATTAGGGGTTAAAGTTTCATACTTTGTTGCCGATTTCTAATGAAAAATTGAAATTGGTTTTTTTGCTTTCATTTAACATATTTATTTAATCAAAATGGCCATTATTATCTATACATTGCTGCCATCTAATAGGAAGGTCATTTATGCATCAGCGATAGAACTCTGGTGATCTAGATTCTACAAACTGTGTGAAAGCACTTTTTTACGCTGCCTTCTGGGAAGAAAACTTTATACCACGTAGAAAATTGTCCAAATCATGATGAAAATGGTAGTCCGTTGGAGCAAGGTCTGGCGAATACGAAGGGTGACGAATGGTTTCTAATTGCAGTTCCTGTTGAGTTAAAATGGTTTCTCGTGCTATATGAGGTCTCGCATTATCATGGAGCAATAATGGTGAAGATCGATTCATGAGTCGGGGCTCTTTCACTGCAACTTTTGCTATAATTGCCCGGAGTTCGGCACAGCAGACATCTGCCGTCGTTGCTTGACCAAATCGGAGAAAGCTATAGTGAATAACACCATGCGGAGACCACCAAACAGCTACCTCTTTATTTGTAAGCTTTGCTTTAGGACACTGTTGCGGCGTTTGATCTGGGGTCAGTCATTGCATTTTTCGCTTACGGTTATCGTAAAGAATCCACTTTTCATCACATGTCACAATTCGATCTAATATTCCTTCATTTCTGTATCGATTCAACAAGGCAAAATACTGGCAGAACCATGCCACCTGTAACCATCTAGATCACTTTATAAGATAACCGCATTCCAAAAATCATAAACATTACAGAGAAATAAGTTGAGCTACAGGAATAAGACTACCAACTTACTTGTTTCGTGACATATCGGAAAGGGAAGAAGGGCAAGTTAATATGCAAATTGAGAAAATTATGCATATTTTAGTAAGTTAATAGACAATTACTCCTAATTCCTTCTTGAACTGTAGTGGTATTATGTGCTTAAGTGGTTTAGTTAATACCGTGGCCTAAGTTAAGACCGTCACCTAATTTCTGCGAAGTCATACAGTGCTCTGTCCGAAAGGCCAGTATTTATTGCAACGCTACTGAGACTTTAATAATATGACTCAAAGTAATCCATGAACGTAAAAATTACAAAAAAAAACATTTGTATAATGCAACCATTTTTATCTCTCATAGACTTAAGTGATATTCATGATAGAAGACGTAAGACTATTCGAATACGAAACGAATTATACAATGTACCAAATAATTCTTACATAATTACGTAACTTTTGCAATTAAATTAAAAATGTCACGCATAAGAAAGGCTTCATCCGAGTTTGTCGTCACCAATGATGCTGCTAAAAACACTACGTGTCTACAATAAATCGAATTTGTGTGTATAATCCGTGTACTTAAATTGTCATTTTTTATGATTTGCAAGAATTTTTGTTTACTGAACAATAAATAATCCCCTACATTTGTGACGTTTTTGTCTAATATTTATTTTCAGAAGCGTCTGACGTAAAGCCTTTAACGTTGGGCTTTCGTCTTCGTCTGGACTACAGTAATAAATAATCAGGAATGCAATCTAGAAGTCGTCACAGACACGATTATATTCGTGAGCTGTGTCATGCGGTAGTAGATTTTAGAAAACTATCAACAATCCCTTCACCATTTCTAAAGGTTGATGATATATATGGGACTTTCGAAGAATTATTAATAAATTAACACAGCTCTAGTCTTATTTTACTTTTTTATAAAAGAGCGGCATCTCGGCGCCCATCTGATATTTCACCAGAGCACAAAAAATTATAATAAGTTTTTTTAAATAAGGGAATAATAAATGTTCAAAAACATAGTTCCTACAATGACTTGGTTGCCGTACGACAATCAAACTAAAATAATAATAGTCGCGCTACATATTATTTTTATTTGCCTCATCAAACACACTTACTGGATTCACGTTCGTATGTAAATTCCTTTATAAAACAAGACTGGAAGCAATTTCCCCGCGCGTTTTGTACAAAGACGATCCGTATTAAAAGCAATTTTATGTGCACAGTTTTATTATTCGAAATAAATTGGCCATTGCGACCAAAAGGCTTCCTTCACTCCTCTATGTAACTCTGTCAGAAAATGAGCGATACTTACATGATAGAGTTGTTTCTAAAAACTCAAAACTGTTTGATAGAAAATTTATTTTCTTTTTTTTTATAACAATAATAAAATCCATATGTGGCATTTATAATGTAATTAAAGCTTATTTAAAAACATATTGTAATAAATACGGTATACTCACAGTCGACGTTGTTGAATCCAAAAAAAATAATAAAGAGAGAAAATTAAATCACATATATTTTTTAAAATATTGTCACAAAGTTGCTGTTTAGCCGTCTCGCGGTGACTACGTGACGAATGTAGCCTGAAATACTGCTGAAACAACCGCCTCATACAGGGGATCGCGAACGACTGCCCCGTCCACGCACAGTGCGCTATAAGATTTAGCTTTCAGTCCACCCGTATCTCCGCTCGATTCTTTACAGGTTTTTCACATATTTGATATTAATAAAACATTTTTACAATAATGCTTTATTAAATTGTTTGTTATTTGTATGGCTAATATTTTTATTAAATAACTAAGCATTTACGACGACAGTAGGACGAGAAAATATAACTTAAACAGATATGTGATTTGTTTTAAAAAAAAACAATAGGTTTAGTCAGTTCATCCATAGGCAGCTTTAATATTTTAGGACGAAGCAAAAAATCAATCGCCGCATTTAATAAAGTTTTATAAAAAAATCATAAAACCTTTTGTCTTTGTGGCAATTAAATTATTAATGCTAACTAGTTTCAAAAAATATAATTTATTTCGTTAAGCTATTTAATTCGTAGTCACGAAGAAAACTAAAGCTAAAATATTATTTTTTTGTTTACGATTTTTCATTAAACCGACGAGCTTACCGGCAATCTGTCAATAAAGTGGTCTTCGGAACTACGATCTACAATTCTATTATACTATTTTAATATAAAAACCCAGAGTCAGCACGTTTTCTTCGATAGCAACAGTCAAAGGAAAGGCGCCTATTTTTTCCTCCACCAAAGCTACTCTACGGTACCTGAATTTGCTAAACCAGCAGTATACAGTCGCTTTAGAAAAGATTTTCTTTTTGAACGGCATGCGCCTTTTGAAATAGTAGGTTACAAAATTATCATGCGTAAATTGTAATACGTTTTGTTTCTTTTATTGTGCTACTTAGGAGCACGAGCCTTCGGTCATCCTGTTGTTAAATGGCTACCAGAGTAGACTAGTAGAGAGAATATACAACAAACGTTAATACCGCTACTCATTTTGAGACATCAAGCCGTGTATTCCGTCAAAATTTTTTTTCATACCTATGCTGATAGCCTTTAGAGGCTATTTCAGCTTCTCTTTGACGTGCAGGTTAACTCACGGGGCTCAAACCGGAGCGATGCTAACACTGGCCCTAGCAAGAGAGCAGTGCTTCGCAGAATCTACCACCGGATCGGAAACGCGACCCACTGAGAAAATCCGGAGAGAAACTCAGTGGGCTGTGTCTATGGGTTCATTTACTCGTCGAGACCTTCGTCGCAAGCGACGGGTTCCGCGTGGGCGGTGACCGGTGCTTGAGGTACCTAAAAGCACCGTTATTGGATCGGGAGAATCCGTAATAGCGTGCTTAGGGCGACGTCGACTGTTTACCATTCGGTCCACAGAATCGGGTATGGAAACGAGCACATGGCTGCTAAGCGACAATAGACAGCACAGTGGACCTACCTCACGACCTACGTCGGGCTCACATCACGCCCTATCACCAATAACTATGGACCTGAGACAAGATTGTTGAGATCTTATTTAAATTATTTGCAAATGATAATGAGACTAAAAATAATTGTATAGGTATAGTTTCGGTCTAAGAAATAAAAAATATCTACGCACCATATAGTATATGACGTTCTACGTTTATCTCCACGGACGATTACACATTCATTGTGCTTTCGGATCATTGGCGTCACAGAAATGTTGATTCGAAAACAGAAATCCTGTGAATCAAAGAGAGTAAACTAAATTAAAGGAAAATAAAACAATTCACACAACTTCGTTCCCGGCAAAAACTCTACTAAACATAACTATTACATACCATTATTAATAATTAAATTGATAACCAAAAAACTATCGTTTTACTGATATTGACCGATAAAATTAGGGATTTTTTTTTCTGAAGAATCAGTTCTGTGATCTGTTTTTTTCCAATATAATAATATAAAATCAAATACAATATAAAATCAAAAGGATTTTTTTTTTTCAAATAATAAATAACGGGTCTTTTAACTACATGACTAGTTTAGTACTTAATCGTCAATTCTGAATGCAGTTTCAATCGTGAGAGCAGCCAGCAAGAGACTCAGGTATTGTTAGTGTGTTAGACTCAATATTGTGTAGTTTCAGACAGACTCGTAGATAGAGCAACCCTGTGAATTATTAAGCTGCACGGTATTAGGAGTGAGCGGTGTAAAATTAATGTTACTGCAACGGTTACTTACTGTGAACTCGTAACGTATCGACGAGTTATCAAAAAGTGAAGTAGGTAACAAAGTTCCAAAAAATATATATTTGTTAATATATTCCCATGACCATCCATTAACTTTATGTAATTGTAGTACGGAATAATTATTTTGCCAATAAAAATGCCAATAACACATCTAAAGAGAAAATGTAACACACATTCCTGTGAAGTCGTAGACTAAAGAATGGAACTGCGTATCTAACTGCTCGTATCGAGTGATTCGAAATACACGAAATGTGAAAATGTTACACTCCTTTTGTGAAAAGTTCTGTAATAAAATTATACATATTTATAGTATTTAGTTGCAGGATGACCTAACAGAGCGAGGCAAGTCTTCCATCACGTAGTATCAACCGCTTTAGAACGCTTTGTACCCCTCGTAAGCACGTGTTTTACAAATCTGTTGATTACGATTAACCTTAAATGTTCAGCAACACTTTCAGTGACTCCGAATAGGAAATTTCACTGACGATGCAAAATTTAAGACAAACTCTTTGTTCGATGTTTTTGTCTATTACGAAATTCGAAATACACGCTAGATATGGTATAATTAAAAACAGCACTGTATAAACATTTTAATCTAGTTAACAGTTGCAACTCAAATTCCGCGCCAAAATGGAAAACAGTTCTGCCAATTTAACAACAACAAAAAAATGAGTTTGGAACCATATGCAAATCATCTATTCCCGATACTTTTTCACTGAATGTAAATCTAAATCTTGAGATGTCCCTGATAACAGTAAAATTTGCATCATTTGGCGTATACTAATACAACATAGATTGGTGGTGACGTAATTTCAGTTGATTGGAAAATAAATCGTTATAAAAGAGTTATGATAACGTTACCGATTTCGTTAAAACGACATCGTTAAAGTCATCAAAACTTTTAACGATACCAACCATTTCAAACGGGAATAATTTACGCTATGGAGGTTAAAATTGAAGGAAAAGTCTTCATTAAAGGAGTACGAACCAGAGTATCTTTGTTGTATTCCCTATATAATTTATTATACTAATGCATATCTCTAAACTACAACAAAGTATAATTTATAGTCGGGGTCGTTTATAATTTGTAGTCGGGACCTAGAGCATAAAGCGCCTGCTGATGTACTCGTATCGAGCGATGTCAGTGTACCAGGGTTCAAATCCAGCATGCAGCTACTATTTTTTCTAATTTAATAGGTACTTCACTCATGTTCACGAGTGAACAAAAACTGTCCCAAATGAAAGGCTTTTATGTAGTACATAAATAAATATCGAGTATTGCCGACTACAATCAAAGTAAAATCTGAACTGGATTTTTTACATTAAATGATACTTAGGCTTTATAGGAACTGTGAAAAATTCTAATTTAAAAATCTATACCATAGAGTTACAACAAAGTGAAATTTTGAAAAGTTAACAATTAACGGCTATTTATTCACTCGATTTATACAAACACGTTCGTTCTTCCACTCTGCACAACATCAGTTAAAATTATATTACCTTCAGCTACCTAATACGAGATGTAAGAGGGTGTTAGACTTAACGTTAGCGGTACCTAAATGGAAAGGATATAATGAGGGTAGCAGTAGCTAAGTACCTGAGGGACACTGGTCTGAATTAAAGTCGGACAAACTATTGTCATTAGGATCGTCGGACATAAAACATTATTTCGGGCATAGAACGGTGAAAATGAAGGACTTCTTTATATTTACAATTTTTTTTTTATTATACTTATGCTTACGTCTAGTTTTATAAAGGTGTCCTAGTGGTGTCTTCGAATTGGTAAATTCAAAATTTCAATGAAATATGACTTTCTAGTAAAATTTATATTTTACAAAATAATAAGTATCAAAGGCTTATACTATACACATTTTATAATTAAATTATATTGATAAAATCTTATCTATTACAATATCTTAGTATTAAATTTCACTATGATACCGATAATAATTACAAACCAAAACGGCTAGTACATCAGATTTTATTTCACAATTCATGTTTCCAATTTTATCATAAAATAATTAAAATACACAATTCGTAAATCAGCACTGATTCATGTACAACACGAACATTAAAATGTTTATTGTAAATTCACATTTATCTAGATTCTAGATTAACCAGATTATATTTTACAATTTATTGTAATTGTATCAGGATTTGTACATTTATTCTTTAAGGTGAAATATGCGTAGTTGCGGTGAATGTCTGGATACACACGCAGATTCTGCAGATCAAGAGGAATTTCCGTTTTCGCCATTGTCTTGGAAGTTATTGACATTCACTGAAAACGGTGCACCAAGACCGTATAAATGCCCACTTGAACTTTCAATATTGTCGTCAAAAAATATCTGTAACAATTAATTTCAAATTTTAAACTCCAAGACTAATGTCGCGTTGTATTTATTGTTTATAATATAATATAATAATTTCTATAGAGTATGTCAAATGATTACCAGGCTCTTTGAATGTGACGTGTGGTTAGTCTATTGCTACTACAGTAAAATTGCTCGAAATAAACAAGACCCGATCGGTATATGTCCGAATGGAATTACGATCACAAGTCGATCTATCTGTAGTAAAGGTATAGGTTTCATTGACATTGTTAATCCTTCGTTGGATGCGGAAGGCGGAGGACCGCATTATGTGGAAGGCATTGGGGAAGGCCTATGTCCAGCAGTGGGCAGATAAAGGCTGATGATGATGATGATGATGATGATGTTAATCCTTCATAATGAAGTAAGTCATTGGTGAACATATGATAGATGCATTTTTATACTTGCACTAGATGTACCGGAGTACATCAATAGTGTAAATAAAAACGACAATGCCATCACCAACTTTAACACACATAGCCACAATTTTACTGTCTCAAGGCCATGGAAAATTCACGCGAGACATATCGCCTTGTCGTATAAAAAGTGTACAATTTCCAAAAATATTCGAAATTGAGTTAATATGCGTAAACATTTAGTATCACCAGTATCTTTCTCATAAATACTGTCAAAAGAGCGTAGTTTAGTTTTAGTTTCTTTTTTTAGTTTACCTATCTTTTGACTACTATTAACAAAATTATTACCTAGTTTTATGTAGATAATGTAACTGGTAAAAAATAAAAAATGAATGTTGCAAATATGATTAATATTAAAAATATTACATGTTAAACCTTTAAAACACTCTCCTGTAAAATTAGTAAGTTTTAAGATTATACAGTTATAATGGGAGAAGACGATTTATAAAGACATTATGGAGGGCCGAGGCAAGGAGAACCGTCTTGTATAGGGGACAAGTTGTAAAAGTGTCCACCTGTAAACAGCAAGTTATTGTTGGGAAACTCATCGAAATAGCGCTAGTGCAGGAAGTGGAAATTATATGAATATAGGAGTTTTAAGCCGAGTGAAATGTGCTGGATTGAAGTGAAATGTGGTAGTTTATGGTGCTGTTTTTATAGTACATTGTGAAGGCGAAGGCGAGGGTGGCAAACACGCTGGAGGAACTGTCCAACTTTTCTCCCGCGGTGCACATACTGTTTTTTCTCCTACCAGGCCGAAAGTTCGTGGAGTACCGAGCCGGGGTCCAGGGGCGAAGCCCTTGCCGGGGGTAGGGGGGGCAGAACCCCCCCGTACTCGTAAAAAAAACAATTTAACTGTTCTTTCATTTTTAAATAAACTACTACTAATTGAATAAGAACTGTCTGATGAACTCATCTTTGTTTAATACTTCACTATTAAATTTTATTGCCTTTTGTTTATTTCACTTTTACACTAAACACAATATTGCAAATTACCCGAGCACAACAACGGCGGAGAATTTTAGGTGCGTGAGAGCAGACGTAGACACTAATGCCGGCCACTGACATGCGCGCAAACATTCGTACATTGTACGAATGTTTGCGCGCATGTGAAGGGCCGTCAAACATTCATTCGCAAACCTAGCGGCTGTGCAAATGGGTTCGCATACTCAATTTGCCAACCCGTTTGCGCTTCCTCCTACACTTGTTTACGAATGTCTCACGAATTTCTCCTCCTTTTTAATTCGTCAATAGAACATTGAAAAAAAAAAGAGTTTTGAATTCTTTCCCAGACATCATTAACAGCCATGCTGTTTTTATGGGATTTCTTTTGATGAAGATAGGCTACACAGTAGACGTCACGCACTATGAAAATGGCGATACGTCCGTTACCTTCGCAATCGTCGGCGCAACTGGGCAAGCGAATGTGTGGGAGACTACGCGAAAGTTCGAGGTTCGCGCGCTTTGATGTCTGTTAAAAAACCGACACAGCTTGGAAAACCACGAATGCAGCGAAAACTTTGCATAATCATTCGCAAATGTCGTCCTACAATTGCGGGTTTGCGTATTCGTGCGCATGTGAGTGACCGGTGTAACCGCGCATGCGCACTTGTACCCAGGGAGGAAAATTTACACTTTCTTCCCTGTACAGCGGGAGGAAAAGTTACACTTTCTTTCCTGTACAGCGGGAGGAAAAGTTACACTTTCTTCCCTGTACAGCAGGACGAAAACCGAACTTTCGGCGTCGGTAGGAGAAAAAATCTTTCCACTTGCTACTATAGCGACACCTTAATTGGCTCCCTTCCAGTGGCCACGTTTTAATGCACTGAGATGGTGCTTACTTCTACCCTCTATGAATGAAAACTATTTTTACGGTTAAACCTGGCGTTTATTATTTTCCGACGTTTCGGATACTTTGAAATTTAAAAGCAACCTTTACTGATTATAGGGCATATTGGTACGACCACCCTGCCTATTCATGCCGTGTAGCAGTAATACGTTTCTGTTTGAGGGGTGAGGCAGTCCTTGTACTGTAAAAACGGAGACTTTAAAACACACGTCTCTAAGTGGGTGGCAGCATTCACGTTGCAGATATCAATGGGCTCTGATAACCACAAAACACCTGGTCCCACCCATCTTAGCAATAAAAAGCAGTAAATTAATTGATAAATTCAATAAAATATTAAAACCTTTTTGATTTTGAAAAAAGCCATTCCAGTTAGGTGTGAATCAGAACCAGCTTGATGCTGAGGTCCCACTCGACGTAACTCCAGCTGGTCAGCAACTTCTTGCAATCCACCCTTTAAATTCTTGCACAGCTTCATCAAATACTAAAGTAAACAATATTTATAAATCTCAAAAAATATTTTAGTTCAAGTTTTTTTTTTAAATACCTTTGAAGAATGAAATAGCTTAAAAGCTAATGGCTAGTAGCTACCTTGGCTCGTGAGCATCGACAATGCCAGGGACACAAACAAACTACTAGATAACATTAAGAAATCTATTTTAAATGCCATTTAGATAAGTATGACATTTCCATACTCAATTCTCATGTTCAATTTAGATTATTAACATAATCTTTTTACTTAAATTTTATGCACACTCACTTTAACATCGTAAACAGTTGGAAAATACAGTCGAAGACTCTCAAAAAAGTCATTCTCATCTTGCGGTAGGTTCTGATCTGTTAGCAATTTTAATAAATAGCCAAAGTCATATCCAGAGTGGAAACTAAGCCACTTTATGTTGTCAATGAGTACAAGACCTGTAGAAGAAAAATAAATTGTGGTTGAGGTGGAATTGAGAAGATTAATTTTTAACTAGGAGCCTATTGTGTCGATTAATACCTTTGCTTTGATCAACGTTTTTTTAATTGTATAGCAGTATACCATTCTATGAAGGCAGCTCCTCATTCATAGATCAATTTTATTTATATAGGGAGTATTTATTTTCTCAGGTAGCTCCGGTTATTATAGATTCAAATTGTCAGTTTGACAGCTAATTTATTAGTATGTCTTTACAAGTTTCCTTGGTATGTCTTTGTAGTTTTATAAACTTCCTTCTTCACAATAGTCATATTATTATGTAGATTTAATAGATTGATCAACATATCAAATAATAGAAAGTAAGTTAAGCATTGAATAATAAGAACAAAAATAATATTAAGTTGTACATAATTTTATAATCAAACTAAATATATTTTAAGCAAACAAAGCCACACTATTTAACGTAAACAGTATGAAATTTTACACTTCTATCACTTATTTGAAACAAATTTGAAAGTGAACAGGAAGTAGGTAAATTTACTAGTGTCATATTTTACCTGAAGACATAAGGAGTTCAGCGAATTCCAATGGCTCTATACCATCTTCTTCATGTTTTCTGAACTGTAGACCTGAGTTTTGTAATAGGTCTATAGAGTCTTGCGCATACATATCTTCTCTGAAATTAATGTTACAAATTACTGCTAAAATCAAATTAAAAACTTAATGTTTGTCTACTCTATATGTTTTCTGAATTATCTATATTAATAGGTTATTTATTACGATTTCCCATTAGTAGGCCTTTATGTATAACTTATCTAAACATACTTCTATTTAAAAATATATGAAACAAATAAGCTCTTCCTACTTACTGTAGATTGAATTTAAAGTTGAATTGCCAAGTTGTATAACCAGGTGGTGTCTTTCCATTTTCATCCATGAAGGTCAAGCCTAACTGTATTATTCTCAAAAGGTCAACATTACACCTAAAAAAGGGTAGTTTCAAATTACATAAAACATATAAGGCTTTCATACAGAGTGTGTTCAATTCATTTAGGAAGCCAAAACATAACTAGACTTAAAATGAACAATAGATTATTTGTTTACTAAGCTAATTTGTCACTTGTGTAAAAATGTTGTAAACCGACAAATCCATATAAAGGCAGTATAAGCAGGCAGCCGCTAACCATGTTTCTCGGGTATTGGATTCCATGTACTAATTAGATTTTAACTGAATTATGTTGTTCAAATGTTTTAATTTTTTTAATTATTATACATATCAAGGTGTTAAAACCTAATGGGTTTAAGCGACATTTTTGAAACTTTACAAGAGACCTGTTTAAATTTATAATTTGAAAAAGAAACATAAATAAAACCTTCTTCAGCTCTTTTAATGGTGTAAACATACTTGAAGTTTAATTCCACCAAATTAACCAAATAAAATTGTCCTTAAATTAGAAAGATAAAAGTCACATATTATGCAAAATGTCACTTAAACCAAATAGCCTTTCCCCCCTCTATATGTAATGCTATTATTTTGTGAATCAACACCATTATCATTACAAATCTTCATTTTTAGTACTTACAATACCAAGTCACAGGCTTCAAGTCAAATTATTACAATACAAAGCTATTTACACCTGTTTTTTTTAGTGTAGATGAATATCTATGGCCCTGTGTCAAGTGATTACTGAAGTTTAGCTTTAGCACCAATGTATATCAGACAAAATTTTATTTGTCTGGTTTTATCTTCACCAGATACATTTTCTTCATTAGCATAACATACACAATCAAGCAACAAAGTTACCTACTTTGTCAATGATACATTTTGTATATATTTCAACATTTTTTCTCACCTTAGTAATTGATACTGATAGTCAGCTGTCGATCTAAATTCTCCAATTGGCCGTGCAACTACTCCTGGAAATTCTGTATCCATAGCTACCCAATGATACTTTTGGACTACCTTTTAAAAGATAAAACACAATTACATCAGGATTATAGAATTATGCTTTGGATTTAATAAAAACTTCTAAATACCTGTCTGATTATCTGGAATTCTTCATGCAAATTGTGATTCCAAACATCTTTTATACCACAATCACTGCCCCCTGGAAGTGATATGGAACCAAAACTTGCGGACGGCATCTAAAAACATGTAAGGCCACGTAAAGTAAAACAAATTTTCAATAAATTTCAAAGTTGTTTACACAATACATTACACTATTTACATGTTAATTCTAATAGGAACATAGTTATTTACCTTGTATCGTTTATCCGTTTCCAAACGAGAAGAATTATCTGTTTTTTTCGACGCCGTGGTTTTCGATTTATTTTGTGTATTTTGAACGAACTAAGCGCCAGTGCTAGGCCTTTTAAAACATCCACTACAGGTTATCAATGAACATTGAATATTGCTGTGGTATTAATTTGAATACATTTCGTGGAAATATTGAGTCACATGATAAAATTATAGGTTGTTTTTCGCTAATTTTATTACATGAATGATTTAAAACACAAATGCATTGCATAAAAATAATAAATAAAATGATCTACAAAATACAGATTACAAATAATGAATAGGAAATAGGAATAGGTACTACTTTTTTTAAGGGAGTTTATGACCTGGTAACTAAGATCTTTGGGTCAAGCGTTACTTTAATTTATATCGTTATTTTTTTGAAAAATGATAATATGGTGAAATTAAATGAATATGATTAATTTGAGACATTACTCAACTGGGATGAAATTAAATGAAATGAGATGAGATGTTATGTTATGAAAGATAATCTCATTAAAATGGTGGCTATTTACCGAGACTTTTTCAGTGCCCTTTTTGGAAGATCCCGATATGCTACGTCTAGGGCTCACCGAATTTAGCCCCTTTTATTTTGAATTTCGGATTTTTTTATTTTTAATTATTTGTTGTTTGTTCGTTAATGTTGGAGTGTAAAAACTGTTTGTTCGTCTTTTATTTATTTATAATTAATTAAACAAATGATCACCCTTACGTTGGCCCCTCTCACTAGATATATTTATTTTTATCGCCCAGATTAATTAATTTTGATCAATTTTTGTTTGTTCGGCGGCTATTGTTGATTATTCGATCATAAAAACAATTCAATTCTCAATTATTAATTATTTTATATCTAATAAGCAAACCATCACCTCACGCCTTGCGCATGCGCCGCTTTTGTCAGTCAGCTGGCAATGGCCGTATTTACTACATAGACCTATATAGTAGGGACACGACATATTGTTCTATACGTACAATTGCTTATATAAATAGCACCCATTTTGAAGGCACACACATAAACATATATCTATCTCGTTCTTACTGAGCACTGTAACTCGCAGGAAAACAATATAGCACTATTACAGTGCGTACATAAAATGAAACATGAATATACGTAAATGTCTAATGAGGCCGAAAATCCGCCATGTTTAGCGCACCAAATGTAATTGTCACGTCAGTTCAGCCGTCTGTTTTGGGTTGTACATTATTTATTGACTTTGATATCGATTTAATATGATTGCTTATATAAAATTTCTAATTTTATCATGCTACCCCGCTTAAAACATACAAAAATAACAATTAAAACATATTTTATAGGATCCCAAGAAAGTCGATGCCACAAAACTATAAATATATTTAAATTCATTATGGAGCACTCATCCGAAAAATCGGACTCCATTTTTCGGTCGGAATCTATTGATCATGACATTGATCATAAATACCTAATACGAGAGGTTAATAAAATGTGTTATCAAAACATATTTAGATATTCTGTTTAGTTATTTCGGGAAAAAGGTTACCGAAAAAATCTCCCTTCGGAGCTATTAAAATATTTATTAACAAAAAGTCAAATCAAAATAATTTAACATAACTCAACCCACACAGTAGAACAGATCTTCCAACGCGCTGAAGGAGGCACAGTCCCCAAGATACTGGCTACGTTGCCTCGTTGGACAGCCAGACTCACTCTCTGTGCAAAGTACCAGCCAGCCTTAGCATCATGTGTAACCTCCTTCAAGCGTTTGGAGATTTCTGTTAAAAATTTCTTTGCTTCAGGGCCCCAAGGGCCCATCGTCTCTTCGGAGCTATTTAAATAAAAAAGTTTTATTCCGTAGCGAGTAAAGCGCTATTGTAAATTCGTTTTTTTTTTTTAATTAAGTGATTTTAGAGAAGGAGTCACAAGGAATGACGTTTGTAATTAGATAAATGTTCTGTAGGTGTTTTTTTTATCACGCGGTCCCTTGATAAGTTTAAAATTTAAATCACTCTCAAATGAGAGTGATTCAAATGGTGCGGCGCACCTACCTTGAGGTGCGCTGCGGTAGTATGTTACGGACTTTAGGTCACCAACACAATTAAAATAGATTGTAATAGAGCGGTACTTAAGTAATCTAAGAAAAACACGTACTCTTATTTTGATATCCAAAACAGCATAGCTAGCATGCTAACGTTTTATCGCCAACATAAAGCTTTCATCCATTTCTGGCATATGCACAAGTGCGAGCGAGACGGCAACATACGAAACGACGATAACATTTAGCATGCTAGAAATGAGCAGATGGCACTGTACTACGCCATATGTTTATGTTTTGCGGTCACTGAGTTGGCAAACGACAACATTATAAAATCAGTGTAGCAACTTTTAAAAATCGTCATATCGTTTACTTGTCTTAGATTTTACACATCTAAATCACATCATCTTTGCACATAACAATATACTTACTTCCTATTAAAGTATAAATTCTACAAGTAATTAATACTCAACAATATTTAAAATAAAAAGAGCCAAGAACGTTTATCGATAAAACCTAATAACATTAAAATCTTCGGAGCAGCACTAAAACCGCCATGTTTAGCGGGCAGGTGACGTCACAGTGGCACGCATTTTCTGTTGACGTTTCATTTCCATAGTCCGTACCACGAGTCCTGTCCGCGGCCAAAAATAGAACTAATTATTTTGGTCAGCCATGTTGTTTGTTATTGTTACTGTCCAGTGCTGTTACTGTGTTCGGTTGTTGTTAAGATTTTTATTTATTTCCCTGAAATAAAGTGTTCTATACAATGTCTAAAGTGATAAAAAGTGGTGGCCGAGAAATGATACTGCAAGTAATGGCGTTTTGTGAAGCAGAACAGTAAAATCAAGGACTTTTTATACCATTAGACAATGTACGCAAGAGAGTTACTGCCATTACAGGTACATATTTAGTATTGCTAGCTAATGTGTTTTGCCATTCGATTTGGATTTTATTTTGTAAGAATTTTGAAGAAATTTTGATTTCTTGCTATTACTATCAGCACTTTGTATACTATTTTACTACAAATGATGACATTAGGGTTTTATTTATTTAAAATTTATCATTTGTTTTTTTAGTTTTATCAATAATCTAGGACACTAAGACTTTTTATTGAGCAAAGGAAGACAAACGAGCAGACGACATACACGACATACAAACGGCATATACAGCTAAGTACCACTGATAAAAAATAAGTTTACTAAATAAAGACTAATATGGTTTAAAAAAAATCCAGGTGTGTCTGAGAAAACCGTATCAAGAATAATACAAGAAGGAAAGACTGCTGCAAGTACTTCAAAAAATATTTTTACACCAGGGAAGAGTCGTCCACGTCCAAATAAGATAATTATAGATGATTTTGAGATTTGTGCTATTCGCCATAAAATTCACCAATTGCATGCTGTAAAAAAGGAACTGCCGACATTAAACAAATTACTTGCAGTGTTGAAACAAGACATTAATTTTAAAGGAAGTCTTACCACATTGCATAGAATATTGAAAAAATTTGGATTTAAATACAAACGGTGCCAGTCCAAAAGAAAAATATTAATGGAGCGCTCTGACATAATTGTTTGGCGCACTAAATATATAGAAAAAATGCGCAAGAATCGAACCACCGAAAAAAGACCCGTCGTATTCGTAGATGAGACATATCTACAGCACATACCAAGTTGTTGACAAAGTGAGGAAGAGCTAGAACTTTTCACTTCAGATTCTGTTGGGAGTAGATGGATAATCGCACATACTAGTACAGAAAATGGTTTTATTAGTAATGCTTTACTTATTTTTAAATCTCAATCAAAGTCTTCTGATTACCTTGATGACATGAATTCAACGAATTTCCTCAAGTGGATGAATGACAAAATAATTTCAAATTTGCCAGCAAGGTCTCTTGTGGTTATGGATAATGCTCCATACTACTGTACCCAAATAAATAAAGCTCCAACCATGTCAACTTTAAAAGACGAAATGCGTAAGTGGTTGCGAGAAAGGGGTATTTATTTTGAAGAGAGCTGGACAAAACCCGTATTATATAAACTTATAAAACTAAATAAAGGACCGCCTACTTATGCTGTAAATGAACTTTTAAAAAGTCACAATCACAAAGTTTTAAAACTTCCACCGTATCATTGAGATCTAAACCCAATTGAAAAGATATGGAGCCTTGTTAAAAGAGGTGTGGCAGAGAAAAATTTGGAACAAAACCCAAAAAACATTGTGAAACTTACAGAAGATGCGTTTGCAAGTGTAACACCAGAAGATTGGGCAATTCAATGTAAGCATGTGGAGCATCTAGAAGATGAATATTTAAAAAACGACGGTCTGATAGACGAAGAAATGAACCGATTTATAATATTTGTGAGCAAGTGATAGCGAAATAGAATCTGATAATGATAGTGATATGAATGTAGATGATCCGAATAGTCCTTGCAGTATGTCTGGAATAACCACAATAGATGACCATAATTATACAATTAACATTTAAAATGTTTTTTCTTTATTTAGTACCGTAGCGTTTGGATATATTTCTGGCTACGCTGTTAACAAAGTTGGCCAGGACCTTAAATGTGAAATATGCTTTGGAAATATAATATTAGTATAGATATAGAAAGGTTAGGCCGATATCAAAAAGTTATAATTTTTATTGTGTTTAAATACTATTACCTATTACTATAAAATCAGTTTAAATTTAAATTTCTTGGAAATTAAATTATAGCGAATGTAATAGTGCAAGCTAGCAACACTCCATGGCGCGACTGTAGCGCCCCGTCTGCGAGACACGACTCGTGGTAGTCGTGGTACAGAGTTTAATTCAGTGAATTACTAGCGTTTTGTTAACAATGGCGTTTATACTGTTTAATTATTTCTTATGGAGATCAAAAAATATATTGAAAACTTCAACAATACTTCAACAAAAAAATGTCAATGAAGACGGGCAATTAGTCGTTAAAGTACGATTAGCGCGGTTTTAATAAATTCAGTTATTTTTAATGATATTGAATATTAACAAGTATATAGAAATAACAGTGATAATTAATAATTGGGAATTTAATTGTTTTTATGATCGAACAATCACCAATAGTCGTCGAAGAAACGATAATTGATCAAAATTAATTAATCTGGACGATAAAAATAAAGATATCTAGTAAAGGAGGCCAACTTAAGGGTGATCATTTGTTTAATTAATTATAAATAAATAAAAGACAAACAAACAATTTTTACATTCAAACATTAACGAACAAATAATTAAAAATTAAAAAATTCCGAAAATCAAAAAAGGGGAGCCAAATTCAGTGAGCCGCGCTAATCATGTTCTGAAAAGGATTGAACATGACATCGTTCTTTTTAGTGTCAGAACTAGTTCCAGAAAACATGTTCGCGGAATTGAACAGGTCCGCGAACATGTTAAGTCTAATAGCTGTTTGTAGCTGTTTAGTTCCGCGGACATGCTAAGTCTGTAGCTGTTTGTAGTGTAGCGTATCACGTATTATATTATTATTATAACTATGTTCTATATTTATTTAAAATCTTATTAATTACACAATATTTAAAAAAAAAGGTATTAATAATACAATTTTTAAAAAACACTATATAAAAAGAGATTACCGCTGATGGCAATTAGAATTATTATTTTGTAAGGTTTTTAGTTTTAGGTTCATTGTTAGAGTTGATTGCATAATTTATTAATGTACTATTCTACTTTGTCATAATTTTAATTACTTCACTACTTTCATTATTTTTCGATGTATTGTACGATGTATCGGAAACTATAACCTATCAATTGTTAATTAAAATACCAAGTTGTTCTGTTATACAACATAAATTTAGCTCGTTGTAGCCTTAGAACCTTTTTCCCATAACCGAGATACCAATATATTTTATTTTCATTACGTAATGTAGTTAACAAAACTAGCGAAAGTGGTGAATGTTTTAAAATTCTCTAATTTTGAATTATGATTTTCTAAGAAATGGTCTACAAACACTCAGGGTTAAGTGCTCGTAGGAATGGTGTATGATCAAGGTCAAAATCCATAGCAAAACATTTTAATTTATTCAACTATCGACTGTTTTGTACTGGTGGTAGGATCTCTTGTGAGTCCGCGCGGGTGGGTACCACCACCCTGCTTATTTCTGCCGTGAAGCAATAATGCGTTTCGGTTTGAAGGGTGGGGCAGCCGTTGTAACTATACTTGAGACCTTAGAACTTTCTCAAGGTGGGTGGCGCATTTACATTGTGTATGTCTATGCGCTCCAGTAACCACTTAACATCAGGTGGGCTGTGAGCTCGTCCACCCACGTAGGTTGTAGAGAAAATGTAATATGAAAGAGATCCACACGCAGTTGCTCCATCTCACTCCTTTCATCTCACTCCTTCGTATTCGCGTTATATTTCGCCTTATCTCTTTACGTGGACTCGTGTCGGTTCGGGACTCGCCGCGTCACGCTTCCGCGCCGCGCGGTACCTATGCTCTAATCATGTCCGCATATCCGTCATATTCAACGCGTTCGTAGTTCCTGCATAACAATACACTTGGAATGGAAATGGAACTGTCTGAACATGTTAATTTTGACAACTCGGATTGAATGATATAGTTCCATACGAGAACATAGTTCCAGTAACTATTTCGGTCCGGAACTACGCATGCCGATGCAGCCAATAAATTAATCTGTGGTCTAAGAATATGGCAAAAAAAGATATCACAATGACGACTTCTATTCTTTGAAAAAATTGTTGGTTCAAAGTATTACCAAACAAAGCAAAAATTTAAAAATAATTTTTAAATAAATTAGCTACTCAATGAAACAAAAAAGGTGTCCATCAGGAGAAAAGGTACACATCTTATTCATAACAAAATAAAATTCATTCAAGGAATGTATTTTCAACAATATATGGATTTTAGATGCCGGCGACCAGTTTCACCTCTTTACTGTGCAGTGCATTAAAAGAAGAGTGCAGTATTAAAAACGTTTGGAATCATAATCTTCATGAAGAATTTCATGTAATAAGACAGGTCAGAATTTAGAGTAAACAATATAAGTAGCTAGAGCTAGAGCTATGTAGAGGCTTGACATTTCATAATTTAAGTATTTTATTTACTCATCAAAGGTCGATAATACATAGTTGATAGTATTATAAGAATACAATTAAAACTCAGTAAGTTCAGAAAATTACCAATTCTCTCTTATTATATTTCATATTATTTTAATGTCTGTAGCCTAATAGATGAGACGTCTGATGTATTAGTATCAAGCTATGCCTATGTCCAAAATTACCTATGTGGTTTTATGATGGAGAAAAACTAGGGGGTGATAAAAGTGTAACTAGTGTATTTATAAGTTCACATAATTACTGGTGGTGGTCGATTTATAGAAACTACAATGGAAAAAATTCTATCAAATAAAGTTATTTGCAGGCCGATAGTCTTACATTTATCGTTCTGTTAGCCCAACAACCAATATGGTGAAATCAGAATACACCATAGAGGCTACTAGTAATTAGGTAGAAAAAAATATCATAAAGCACTTTTAGATGTTGATAGCACTACCAAACATATAGTGAGCCATGAGATCCAGTATAGCACTCTATCATTTAGAAAAATTTAGCACTGGCCTATGGGATTCAAACACTAGTAAAGTCAAATCTCTCGATATGAATGCACTAGGTACCTTATATTGGAGGCCATGTTGATTTTAAAAAAATTTAGGCTGTGTGGTGTCCTACAATAACACCGCCCAATCTCTTCATGTGGGTGTTATAAAAGCAAGTCACAGGAGTACATGCAGCAGCATTATCAGTCTAGTATATCACCATACTGTGATTTCCAACCTGTGTTTGCTGGTAGTAAGGGGTAATGTAAGCTGTCATTTGCCACCGACCTTTCTGTTTCTAAAATAAAATAGTCATACATTTTTGTTTAAAGCGTGAAATAGCCACAATTGAGTTGAGCCTTTAATTATGTGTTCAAATTGGGGCTGGTCAGAATTAAAATGGTAATGTTTATGGGCTCTGGTAACTCCTTTACACAATGGTAATAAACAGGTTGTCCAGAAATACCATTGGGTGGCCATGGATACTGAATTTCCAGGTGTAGTTGCAAGACCAATTGGTGAATTCAGATCCACTGCAGATTATCAATACCAGCTTTTAAGGTGGGTAATTTATTTAAATACTATGACTATATTTATTTAAATGCACAGTAAACACTACCTTATGAGCATCCAGTATGGTATATTAAGGAACTATTTCTGAAGCTAAAATAGATGAAAAAAATTGAAAAGAATAATTGATAAGCTTACAATTAGTATAAAAACTTGAGCAACTTTATATTCACATGCTCTCAACTAAAACAAATTCAGCTATTTGCAAACCTAGGCATCTTGCAAGATTTTTGACTTTGTGAACCTAGTAGATATTAATTTTTGTTCAATATAAATAATGTTTAAATTTTATGATATTTGAAACTACTGTTTGTATTTGTTTTCAGAAATAGCTCTCTCACATTGTTCTTGCATAAAAAGAACTTAATTGGACCTTTTTTTTTGCTTCTGCTAACTTAAACACCAGCTTTACCCAAGCTGCTTACCATGTTAACCTTGTTAACACACTTTACATCTTTACTTTATAAAATCGAAATACATTGGTTTATGCCTAGGTTAAAGTATGTAAATTATTGTAATTTCATGCATGTAATAGAGGCATAATTTAATACTGCTAAGGGACTAGTCCTATGTGCTAATTGTAATCGATTTTAATATGGAACACCAACTAAACTTTTGCTGTATTATTTATTACACTACACTAAATTGCGTTTCCCATATCACAGTTTATTTAATAACCAATTTAAATATTACTCATTTAAAGTATTATTTTTAATTAGATGCAATGTGGATCTGTTGCGGATCATACAATTAGGATTAACGTTTATGGACGAAAATGCTAAAACTCCCCCAGGGTGCACAACTTGGCAGTTTAATTTTAAATTCAATCTTCAGTAAGTAAATTTAAACATCACTAAATTTGTGTCCATCCATTCAACAATTATAAAAATTTATAAATGTATCATCAGGGAGGATATGTATGCACAAGACTCGATAGACTTACTACAAAATTCTGGTCTGCAATTCAGGGAACATGAAGAACATGGTATTGAACCCCTTGAATTTGCTGAATTACTAATGTCATCTGGTAAGTGACTATACTCCATTCCATATACATTCCATCCATTATAATGTAAAATGTACTATGTATTTACCACACCATTTCAATTTGAATGTTTTCCCCAGCTATTATATACAGCATAATGTTTCAGGAATTGTACTAATGGATAACATCAACTGGTTGAGTTTTCATTCTGGATATGATTTTGGTTATTTACTTAAGTTGCTTACTGATCAAAACCTACCTCATGAAGAGAATGACTTCTTTGAACGATTGCGTCTATATTTCCCCACCGTGTATGATGTCAAGGTGAGCAACGAAGAGTATTTAGGTTTTACAAAAAACAAGTAGAGTAGTGTTACGCGCTGGGGTTCGGGATAAATAAAATTTCACCAAAGTACAACTAGAAACTATATTTAACGCTTAAATCACTTAAACACTTCATAAACACTTTAAAATTCTCAATTTGCTTCTTCCGCTTCGCTTCAGGTTATCCGTTCGCCATTTCGCTTCGAGTAGTTCCGGTTACTGACTGACTGCGTGCCATCCCTGTAACGCCTTTATAGTCGATACCTCATCCCTAGAAATTTTCCGCTATCAGACAATAGATGGCGTTGTACTTCTCGAGCGTTCTAGGTGCTACTAGGTCCTTCGATATTCGTTCTACTATTCGGCGATAGATGGCGTTACTCTTACCGACGTAACAGTAGTTATGTTTTGCTCTTTCTGCAACCCACTTAACCCCTGATGTTAATGATTATGACTAACCTGATCGCGGAAAGATTAAGTTCAACCATACACCCAATGTGCTGGACCTACAATCATTCAAAAAAGGAATGGATTTGTGACAGTATTTTAATTTTATTTTTAATTTTTAACAGTACCTGATGAAACTTTGCAAGAATCTTAAAGGTGGCTTACAAGAAGTTGCAGATCAGTTGGAATTGAGGCGAGTAGGTCCCCAACATCAAGCCGGTTCTGACTCACTACTGACTGGCATGGCGTTTTTTAAAATTAAAGAAGTGAGTCTGCTTGATTTGCTATTCACATAATAAACCTTTATTATAGTGAGATAGATAGACTCGGTATCATCGCGAGGATGCTGCGCGCAGCAAGCCCGGGCCATTTGTTCGTTCGTCTAGTTGAGAGTTAAGATCTCATGGCACCACACGTACGAGTTGCAGTGGAAGCAATTGCTTTTGTCTTTATAAATAGAATTATAAAAAAAACTTAAACGAAAACAATATTCGATCCAGGCATTATACAAAAACAGATTATTTAATGGATACGATGATCTATTCATCTCGCGGTTAAAATTTAACCAGGCATCTTCTCTAAGGCCTCTTATTTGTGAAATTATGATCACTTGCATTCCGTAGCCAGGTGTTTGTACTATAGAGAGATATTAATTTCAAACCCTTACTCTTTATCCATTAATTATATATCCTCGAGTGAAGCATGAAATACGCTTGTGCCCACAGTGCGCACAGCAAACAACCAGTGTTTCCACTTTAATGATTTCCTTTCCCCACGCCTCAATTCAAATTTCCCATTCTCAGGGCTTTTTCCCCTCAAGAAATTTTCTGCTGTAGTTTTTACTTTTGGCCCTAGTGTAGTAACTAAAAAAAAGGTTTTTATCGATTTTCTTCTATAGCCTGCCCACGCCTTTGGTGATACTATACTTTGATAATATTATTTACACTAAATTCCCTTTACTCATGATTTCCCGCAATTTCCCCTTTTTCTTCCCCTATGGACCCTAATTTCCCCTCAAATGGGGAATTTCCCCTCATTGTGGAAATACTGCAAACAACTGAGGCGCTTTTGAGCAAAACAAAAAGCTCACACTCGATTGCTCGCTCGTGGCCACGCGCGCTTTCCGCGGTCGAGGCGTCTACATCAGACCGAGCAGTTTCGCGATGAAAATTCCTCGCGAGGCTGCTCGCTCTGTGTGAACCCACCTAATTGCTTTTTTATTTATAGATATTTTTTGATGGAAACATTGAAAGTACGAGTGGACATCTGTACGGACTTGGAGCTCCATTCACTACTAACGCCAACAACTTCCAGGATAACGTGGATAGTGGAAACTCATCTTGATCTGAACTGCCTTGCTAAAGAGTTTAACTCAGTAGTCACTTCTGTTTCATACCAAGGAATAGAAATAAATAACAATTTGTACCTGATTAACTTTGAAGAAATAAGCTTAGTCTAAACTGTGATAAATGTTAGTGTAGTTTTGTCTTCGTGGTAGTTTAATGACTGAATAAAGAGATTGTAAATAAAATTTGTTTTTATATTAGTTTTTCCAACATTCGTTAAAGATGAATATAATTAAACATTTTAAACTTATTGATTTTAATTTCCAACTATAGAAGATCTTGTTCACGTTGGTTCACGCAATCTTAATTTTTTTATTGCAAGTGTGTGAACGAGTTTATGGCTTACCTTGTGCTAAGTGATCACCTGAGACCATAGATATAAAATACGTGGTATTCAGCCTTTTATCGATTTGCCTATATACATCTACATCACAATTTTTTGTGAGATTCATTCTGAAAGAAAAAATGTCAAAATTCCATATCATTTGACTTTTCATCATTACTTCAGTACTTTTCATAACTCAACAGTAGTCAAAGTATTCACTTTAGTTTCTTCTGTAAAGGTTGTTACTCTACAACAGGGCTGTCTAAACAACGAATAACTTATAACGCAATCGAGTAAATGAAATTCATAGAATATTATAAAGCTATTTCAATTGGCGAATCTTTAAATTTATTTTACAATATCTTTAATTTTATAAACTTTGATAAAATAAAATTTATTTAACATTATAAAAAATCTGCTGATTGTAATGTATTCCGTTAAAAACTTTTACTTGGCTCGCATTTTCATGTTTTTTTTTTGCCCGTAAACATCCAGCCTGTTTTAGAAACGATGGAGATAATGCAGAAAATCATTCCCGATCCTACGGACCGAATGGTAACTAGTCGACGTCGCCCAAAACACGTCATTTCGGATCCTCCCGATCCACTAACGGTGCTTTTAAGTACCCCAAGCACCTGTCATCGTTCCCGTCGAACCCTTCGCTTGCGACTAAGGGCGCGAGTAAATTAACCCACAGACAGCCCACTGAGTTTCTCGCCGGATCTTCTCAGTGGGTCGCGTTTCCGATCCGGTAGTAGATTCTGCAAAGCACGGCTCTTGCTAGAGTTAGTGTTAGAAACGGCGTCAGGTTTGAGCCCCGTGAGTTCATCTACTAGTTAAGGTTACGCTGAAATAGTCTCTTAAGACCCTCAGCTTTGGGAGGAAAAATGTGCAGAAAATGTTGGAGCGCTTATGTACCCAGAGTCTACCGTGAAGATCAAGGACGAGATAGACCTGCTCCACAGGAACTTAAAATTTAGTTGAGCTATAAGATAATGAACCAATCTAAATGAAAACATTACAAAGAATAATTGAATGTCACTTTAATGCAAATTTCTACAAACCGTGTTTACAAATTCACATCAAGCTATTAAAAGTAGTTTTTGACACAATAATATCATCTAACTTAAATGTTACTTATTGTACTGCAAAGTTATGGGCAAATCACAGGAAGTTTTGCGGAATATACATACATGCTAGATGTCACCAATAATATTTGTATTGTTAATGTTTGTTAATTATGTTATTGTTATTTAATATTTGTATCTGTTCTAAGGAACATTCCTTGAGAAGAACAGAAACATCGCTCAGTCGAAATTTCATGGCCTTGAGATTAAAAACAAAACGATAGATAGATACTACCACAAACTATGTAACATAGCCTTTAGATATGCGTTTATTGTTTATTTTTATTCATATTAAATTTATTCAGGAAATTAATCAATAACTCAAGTTGAATGCACAGCGAATTAAAAATGGATACCGAAATATTTCAAGGCAGAGGACGCTTCTGCTTCCTTTTAAGAAATGATAAAATGAATCCTCTAAATGAAAAAAATACTTCACGTTTTCTAACATCATACAGCAAGTCTGCTGGGAGGAACCACGAAAGACTGAATAACTGAATTTATTTATTTATATTTATTATATTTTTGTTATTTATATTCTTTATAACTGAATTATATGAATGGTTACCACTTTTTACTTTTACGCGATCGCTTTTTTCAGTTTGTTCTTTGATCAAAGTAAAGAATTCACAATACAGTTTCACCACCAGTTAACAAAACCATTATTTGCGCATAGCACGTATAAGCCGCATTTAAGTAAGTAAATGAAGTAATTGTCTGAATCTACAAATAAATAGACATACAATTTTCAAACAGACACAATAATCTATAAAATCAAAATCACATTCAAGCTTTCAATACGTTTGTTAATACTATTGGACTTCACCTTTTCGGCAGGTTTGAGACGAACGTCTACGTTGAAAATAAAATAATCAGTATTAAAAACTGACAAGGCTCGATTTGAATGTGAGTGACATTTTTGAAAAGACTATTAAGAAGACAATCTTACAAATAGAGAAATCACATTTGTAAGGAACTGTTTTATGATATAATATTTGTGTGTATATAGTTTAAGCTTTCTGTCAAACATTTTAAGGGTAATTATCAAATATTTTATTTCCCTGGTTGACGATGCGTTAGTATCGATTTTGATCACATTCAAATAGATACTTGTCTAGCTGTAGGATAAATTACGACAAGTCTTGTCGCAGTGTGATAAGAATTACTTAGTTTTCTTTTTCTTCTGTTTCTGTGCACTATCAGTAGTGTTGTCAGCTTTGCGTTTGCCTGCGTTAGCGCCTTTGCCAGCCGCGTTGCCGCCTGGCGTACTTGGATTGACGTTACCGCTTTTCTTTTTCTTTTCGGCTCGTTCTTTCTCTTCAAGCTCTTGATTCTCTCGTTCAATTAAAGTAATGAGGGTATTGCATCTGAAAATATTAAAGTATTTGATACATCTCATCAAGAGATATGCTGTTTATCGCTCGCTTTAACCTGAAATATTTATTTATTAGATAACTAGCAACCCGCCCTCGCTTCGCTTCGGAAACTGTAATTTATTATTGATTTCTCCACTATTTAATGGATGTTATTATCCATATAAACGTTCCTCTTCAATCACTCTATCTATTAAAAAAAACCTCATCAAAATCCGTTGCATAGTTTTAAAGATTTAAGCATACATATGGATATAGGGACAGAGAAAGCGACTTTTTTTTATACTATGTAGTGATGACATACTAACCGACGTTGTAATTCGACGGCTGTTCTTGACTTTAGAAACCAATCGAAACGAAACTGTGGCGCGGAATGTACCGCAGCCCGAAGTTCCTCGTATACGTTTTCTTTATCGAATCCTAACTTGTGCAGCATGCACACCAAGAACCTGTAAAATAAATTTCGTTGTTTTTAAGCTATTGCATAGCATTTATCGCGGGCTTTGAGCGTGGCCCACGAATCAAGAAATTCCGTAACGAAAATAAAACCTAACACCCCCCACTCCGCCTACCATGTAGTTCAACACATTCACACGTTGCGCTTGTGTAGTATTTGTGAATAAGCGCGCGGCGTGACGTCGCACTGCATGCGCATCATGAAAAGTCTGCCCATCTCTCTCTCGAGCGGTCTAACTTATGACTGTGAAGGGGATAGTTGATGTTTTGCTTTTGTTCATGTTTATAAATATAGAGTGGTCTTGTTTTATTATTGTTTTAGTATTAATTGCTTGAAACTTAAATATTGACCTGTCTTCCTCTTCAACATAATTTTTGCCCTTGTTTGTTCCATAAGAGATTCTAAGTTGGTGGAATGGTGCTCGGTACCGCGCCATTTTAGCGTCCAACGCTTTCTTAATAGAGGCTCGTCGTTGAATTTTAGCCTCGCCCCTTTCGATCTGACCCATAATTCGATCTATATCTTGAAGTTCGTGGCAACGTTCCCAAAATACAGCTGAGTACTCCATAACCTATAAAGGAAAAGCTTTTAATAGATTTTTATGTTTATTATGATTTCATGTAAGTTTATAATTATGAGTTGTGTTTTGTTGACCTAAATCAAATTATAAGATTTTGATGTTATTTGGTCTAACTCTAACCAAAAGAGATGCCCAGTATACTCGTATCACTCGATGCGAATATGCCAAAAGTACCATTTTCTTTAAATACGTACTTATATTCGATAACGACTTTTTACTTAACCAATAGATTAAAAATTTTTAAACAATAGTTTATCATTTATTAAATATTAATGAACACACGATAATGTTACACACACAATTAAAATGTATAGTTTGCGCTTGCACGCAGCAAAATGGAATTTTATATTAAAACATAAAAGCCATAAGACGATGCAGAAAGCTAACTACCTAAGTTAATTTTAGGTAAATATAGATACATTCTCTTTTATATGTATAGATTACGCTTGATATGTCAAATCAATCAATGCAATGAAAATTTTAAATGCTTTTATTAACAAAGGCATCTTTCATTTTATTAAATTAGTATGTCATACAATATCCTTATTTCATATATTTTGTCACCCTATCTGTAGTTTGAATATTTGCTGAACAAAAACTAACAAGTTCAGCTTGTCTGTGTATGTCTTTTAAAAAGTACACAGTTTTCATATTTTATTTCATGTGTACAACAAAGATTAAACAAATAATGTAAGTAAATGCAAGTAATATTCCATACCTCTTCTGGTGTTTTTCCTTCAACATCTTTTGCAATATTCTCGATATCGTCTCGTCCGTATTTTTCATTTGCTTTTATGAACTGGTTAAAATCACGTTTTGTCCAATTAGTGAAACCTACAAAGTACACATTTCATTACATTTCAGTACATAATATATGCAAAACATAATTAAATCATAAGTATAATTTCAAATTTTCTGCTATTCAATAATTTTAATGGTTGTAACTTTTATGGTCGATTACCTTGAGTTAGTAATTGTTCTTTTTCTTGTACTTCTTCTTCAGAAAGCGCTTCTGCCTCATCTATTTTTCTCTGTTCCTCTCTCTGAATTTTCGCGGCATCTGGACCCAATTCTGGATTACGTGGAACTTTATATCTGTGGTTATGAAATAATTACTAAACAAATTGCAAGTATGTATTTGTAAGTTTTGAATACTTTTATACATGTATTTAAAAAAAAAAACATAAACAAATTATCTCACCCTAAGGTTTTGCGATAATGATATATTTCTTGATCAAGCAACTCAAAAAGTCGTGGTGGGAAAAACTGGAAATCCTGTACGATGGGCTGTTTCGGTGGACGCGGAGCCTGTTTAAAAACGTATATTCATTATGAAATGAAAAAATAAATAACTATGTAACTAGCGTGCATATAAAGCTAATTATATATTTATTCTGATTAGTTGCGTGATATATGCATATGTATGAATAGATATAAATAAATACATAGTAAATAATAACATGTGTGTGTTAGTAAAAATAATCGCGCTCTGAATGAATGTTGAAATTTGCAACTTTAATTTATTGCTTATAATTTAGATCGTTAATATAATAATGTAATAATAATAATTATTTTTTTATGAAAACTACTTTTTTAACCTATTTTTTTTATATGGACTTTTACTTAAATGTCTATCCATTAGGAATATTTTGCTTCTTTGTTTTTGGTTTGTCTACATTCCTATTATCGGATTCTTGTCCAATGCAATTCACAAAATTAAAATTGAAGAGACTTTTACAAAACAGACGAGATATTCATAATCTACTATGTAAGCTAAATATTTATATAAGGCATACATAAATACCAGTATAAAGAGCTAATCAAAATACTGTTACATAAATGATTAAATGAATACCAATACCAACTATCGCCAATAGGAGGACTCCTGTGGAATCCGATTTAGCTCTTTACACTTATTTACCTGTACCTTTGGCGCCTTNACTTTTACAAAACAGACGAGATATTCATAATCTACTATGTAAGCTAAATATTTATATAAGGCATACATAAATACCAGTATAAAGAGCTAATCAAAATACTGTTACATAAATGATTAAATGAATACCAATACCAACTATCGCCAATAGGAGGACTCCTGTGGAATCCGATTTAGCTCTTTACACTTATTTACCTGTACCTTTGGCGCCTTCGGTTCAGATACACGTAGAGCCTCTCTGAAGTAGGCGTCCACGGCATAATTAGCTTTACGTTCGCGCTTAGGCGGCTCTATCCAACTACCCATTGGGATAACTTTTTGCTTCTCTCTGTAATCCTCGCCTAAACGGGCATAATAATATTATTAACACTGTGAGTATAAAATAATAGATTTTTGAATACTTTACCAAATTATCAGTTCAAAACTGAAGTGAAATTCATTTTATCAAATAGTTTTGAGGACAACCTTCAAATTGATAAACTGAGTCGGTGGTCGCGCCAGGAGTGTCCATTGAAAATGCTCGCAAGGACGACTCGCCCAGGCTCTCCAATTTCTGCTTCAACTCCTCAGTCTATAATAGTATATTTAAAAAAAAACTAGTTTAACACATGTTGTCAAGCAAGTGGTTGTATTACAAACCTTTTTTTTCCTACTATATTATATTACAATACCTTGCTCTCTCCTTTAGCTAAAATCGTATCGATGTCCTCATCAGTAACCTCCGAATCCTTAGACGCAAAGACGTGGTTGGCACCATGTCTGATCATGTTGAGCATCTCATCTTTGTTCAGCTGGTTCTTAGTGTCGACCAGTCTACCGGACTGAATTACAAGTTTGTCCAGGCGCAATTTCACTTCCGCACGTTCTACAATCTTTTCTTCAACCGTGTTGTCTGTTATCAAACGGAACACTCTGACCTATAAAACATTTAGATTAATTAATTTTACAAATTGCACTAATAATTAATCGTACCGGTGTGCAAAAGTTGTAAAATCATATTTAAGATAAACCCACCTGCTTTTTCTGGCCAATACGGTGAGCTCTATCCATGGCCTGCAGATCCATTTGAGGATTCCAATCAGAGTCATAAATAATAACAACATCAGCTGATGTTAAGTTAATACCAAGACCACCAGCTCGTGTAGATAACATAAAAACAAATTTCTCACTCCCCTCCATATTATACTCTTCTATTTGTCGGTTTCTATCTTCATGTGGTGTTTGACCATCTAGACGGCAATACTATAAAAAAAANTCCATGGCCTGCAGATCCATTTGAGGATTCCAATCAGAGTCATAAATAATAACAACATCAGCTGATGTTAAGTTAATACCAAGACCACCAGCTCGTGTAGATAACATAAAAACAAATTTCTCACTCCCCTCCATATTATACTCTTCTATTTGTCGGTTTCTATCTTCATGTGGTGTTTGACCATCTAGACGGCAATACTATAAAAAAAATTACAATATTGCATAGCTATATGTTATATGCTATGCATTTATTTTTATGAAGAGTTCATTTACAGCATTGTCTGTGGATGCAGTATTTACATTTAAAGGCAGCTAAATAAAGATTAAAAGCTAGCGAAAAATTTTTTTCAAATCATGCTTAATATTACCTTATATTGCCTCCAAAGGCAATAATCTTCTAAGATGTCCAGCATCCTAGTCATTTGTGAGAAAATAAGTACTCTCGACTCTTGCTCCTGAAGCTTAGGTAAAAGCTTATCCAGTATAGTAAGTTTACCACAGTTATATACTAAATGTTCATCAGTTGTGTATGGTGGACCCGGCTCAGCGCCATCAAATAAATAAGGATGGTTACAACATTTGCGTAGCTGCATAAGAATGTTCTGGAGTCGCATTTTTTCAACCTTTCCAGCACCATTTACTGTAGGTAATAAAATTATTACAAATTGGTAATTAATTTATTAATAAGCAAATAAACTTAAGACAACAGGTGTAGATGTATCTTGCCCTTACTCAACATCACCCAAGTATCTCGGACACCGAATGCAAAATCTTAGCCATGAAACGTCACAGTTCATATCAAAGACATGTCGAAACAAAAGATCTAAAGCTGGAGAGTTATCTATTATTCTTATACGTATTATTTATTAATTAGCTGTAAAGAGAAAAGAAACCAATGGAACAAAAGAACTTCAGACCAGTTGTGTAAGGTTAAAGTCACTGTAATGCTTTCCAAGCTCCTTTAGAAGATAGCACTTGTAGAAAAAATTAGTTATATTTACTTTATTCTCAGTTAATCTATGATTATAGTAAATTATAGTAAATTTCCAAAGTAAGTTAAATATGAATAATTTAAGTAATAAACTTTTCATTTCATATCTTGGACAATATAGTGCAAAGGCATATAGCAGATGCTTTCCTAGTTACCTCAAGACTATGGATATGTTAACTACCTATTGTTTTATTGTGACTTCTTAACCGTTTGACAGGTGAAACCCATTTCTAGAAAACATATTACCTATGTTTAGGGAAACATTTAAGGCATTGTTATTCGGCATAATGAACATATTCTGACTTACCTACATCAATATCCTTCATAAGAACCTTAGTATACCACTCTCTTTGCATTTTACTCAAACCCACATAAACTTTTAATTCCTTTTTAGGCTTTAATTTTTTCTCAACCTCAGATTTGAGTCTCCGAAGCAAAAATGGTCTTAGTACAGCATGTAAACGTGAAACCAATTGGTTATCACCCAAGGCTGCGTTTGTATTAAACCATGAGTCAAAGTCCTAGAATAACAGAAAAAAAACATTGAATGTTAAAAAGGTTAGTGAAAATAATATTTCATTAAAATAGTATTCGTAAATTTTGCATTTTTTTAATTGTGCATTTCCTTGTATTATTACTCACATCAGAACTATTAAAAACATCAGGCAGAAGGAAATTCAATAATGCCCACAACTCATGAAGATTATTTTGCAAGGGAGTACCAGTTAACAGCAACCTGTTCATACTCTTAAATTCCCTAAGTAGCTCCGATAATTTAGACTTTTCATTCTTGATACGGTGAGCCTCATCAATCACCATATAACGCCAGTTAAACTTTTTAAATACAGATTTCTCTCTTATAATCATTTCATATGATGTAATGCAAACATCCCAGTTTCCAGGCATCAAGGTTTCTCGGATAAATGTATTCTGAAACATATTTATTTATTAATCCATTTTCCTACCATACTCTTCATTTGTATCTAGTCTAAAGTGATGTCTATATTATATTTGTTTTAAGAAAACTAGTCTAGGTTAAGCTTTGCACATAAGTTTTTTGCATAATATATATATATTTTTAGCATATATTTTTTGTTTCTAAAACAAATAACAAAAAAAGAACATATAATAGTGCAATACAATATAATCAGAAAAATGAAGTCTAAAAATAATAATGTACAATGTTTTTTTTTCAATTCTATACAAGGTTTTATATTGCTCTATAATGGGTGTTAACGGTTTCTCTTCTTTCTGTGTAATGTGGAATATTAATGATTTGGTAATATTCTACTAATATCTTGTATTATGATATATTAAAATTTTGCTATAAATATTAAATGGCAATGAACATTATACATACCCTTGTTTCTTGATCACCAATAAGACACACAGCTTTTAGTGAAGGGCACCACTTTTTGAATTCGTTCATCCAATTTGTCAAAGTGGATTTTGGCACAATTACTATGTGAGGACCAGGAACGTTTCTGAAATTTTTTTAAATACTTATTTAGATATTCACGACATATCTTTTCCAGTGTCTTTATTTAAAGTATAAACAAACAACACTGTTACAACACACCCACTGTTAAAACCAAATTTCCTAATAAAAATTGGTACCTGCCAGTACAGGTAAGATGACATTACTTGACATGAGTAAGCTGTACACATCTCTTATCCTTTAGAACATGATGATGGTGTTGCCTTTGTCATGAAATCCACTCCAGAATGTGGGTTAGGGACTTACTTTACTTTACTTACTTTAAGAAGCATTGATAACTGCCTGCAGTATTTTAACAATTTCACCATGCAGATCATTGCAAATACACTGGGTACATTTTCGTATTGGCCACAGGCACTTCAAAGCTTGGTGAAAATCATATACTTTACACTGACAATAAATTTATAATTTAAAAATCTACTTTCAATCTTTTATGGCTTTAGTGCCCAACTAAAAATCTTACTCAGAATCATAGGTAGCTTTATACATATGATTCTGAGTAGATGTACACACAATATTAGTATCCCAAAATATTGGGATACTAATATTGTTTTCTTCTGATAGGACCTCTTGTGAGTCCGCATGGGTAGATACCACCACCCTGCATATTTCTGCCGTGAAGCAGTAATGCGTTTCTGCTTGAAGGGTAGGGTAGCCGTTGTAACTACACTGAGACCTTAGAACTTATATCTCAAGGTGGGCGGCGCATTTACGTTGTAGATGTCTATGGGCTCCAGTAACCACTTAACACCAGGTGGGCTGTGAGCTCGTCCACTCATCTAAGCAATAAATAAAAAATAAAAAATACTTTGACACTTGAACATGTTTTCAGTTCATGAGAAAATTATCTAAACAAAAAATTGATTAATCAGCAAAACAAGTAATCCCAACTGGTGCAACAGTTCTTCCAATGGGCTCAAGATACATGTCATAGAACTGCCCATGCAACTAAAGCTTCACTGTGGCAGACACTAAGACTCATCATTAATCATGGTCTGCATTGCAGGTAGCATGCCCTACCAAGTGATTTTGATAGTCTCTAGACTGTTGGTACAGATACTTCATACAGAAAAGTTTAGGATTCCAATAATGAAAAAAAAACACATCCAGACTTTTTTACTACTTAACCTGTCCTAAGACAGATATTACTATCACAAAGCCATAATCACACCTTTAACTTACATAATACAACCTAGACAATAAATGATAACATAACTTACTATTGTACTGTTTGAATACAAAGCAGAAGCAAAGTTGTTACACTTGATTGCTATCAAACTTTTTATTTTTTTGTGTATTGGGTACACAGGCACTTAAATTGGAAATCCCATAAATATATTGAACTGTTTGCATATATTTTATAACAAACTGAAAATTACATATGTAAAAATTTTGGACTTACTTAAAATGTTTCATATATCCAAGTAGAGAAATTGTTTGCAAAGTTTTTCCTAGACCCATCTCATCAGCCAAAATTCCATTAATACCATTTTCATACAATGATATCATCCAGTTAAGCCCTCTAACTTGATAATCCCGCATTTCTCCATTTTTTATGTAATGTGGAGATGCTTCAAATCTAAATATTGTCTTTTGTTTTGAATTTGTTTCTGCCAGAAGTTCTTCATCTTCTTCTTGCTCAGTTTTTCTATGTCTGTGACTGACACATGAAAAAAAAGTTTTGAAATCTTATTAATCTATCTTTCAACAGTATTCAGTGGACATAATACTATTTATATTTTTTCACCATACTTGTATAATTTGTTAAGTAGATTTTACATTATTGATACACAGATGTGATAGTTTGTCACAAGTAATACTTTGTAATATTGATACTCACTCTCCAGGACCTTCAGGTTCAGTGTCTATTTTTATCTTTCTGGGTCTGCCAGCCTTTGCTTTTGGAGGACTCCCACCAGATTTTGGAGTGTTGGTCATAAAATGAGAAAATATCTCCGTTTGCTTTAGTAGAAAATCGAATCTCTTGGAACGATCAGTTTCAATCTTACTCTCGAAATCACCTTCTTTCCCTCTTGAAGATGTCGTGTCACTTGAAGAGCCATTCTGAATTCATAAAATTGGGTGTGGTAATATTAGTCTGGATTCATTAAATGTTTTAGTTTAAGTAAAATTCAGTTAGTTAGTTTATTAATAAAAAAATTAAACTACTCACGGAATTGTCGCCAATATCGGCAACGTCCATGGCATCATCCGACTGGGCCATTTTTATTTACAGTTAAAACAATATTGAACTAGATGACCAAGATTGCGAAGTTAGAAAATATATTCAAATAAACCAGAAACCAGCAATTGTACACTGGTTGAACAACTTAAAGTTATAAATTGACTGCATGAAGGCTGAAAACATACGAACATTACAAACTAGATACTTCGAAGATTAAAGTATGTATGAAAACCAAAGAAGAACACTTTCAACTTGTTCGAACTCAATAAATTCTTACATTTTGTAGTACAATGTATACCTATTGACTGAATTGTTTAAATATTGTTCACAATTGAAGATTAATGTAATTACATTACACTACAACCGGGCGCGAAAATCGCAAACTGACAAAAGCAAAAAATTATCACAGAGTGTCACAAACACTATAGCTAATTATTTAGGCAAAGGACACCTTTAAAAGTGTTTGACAGCCTGAATTTTCAAACAAATCTTGATGTGTTCTAAAGGCCAAATCTTTTTTCTAATGGACAAAAAGTATAAATAGACCGGAATGCGATGATGATGAGTTATTGGAAGATGATTATGAACGTAATTAAATGCAACGGAATCGAATAATATGAGGGGAAAATATTTTTTGTTTAAATGTGACAAAAAAAAAAACACGTGTAGCACTCGGGGACTGCCGCGATAAAGCTATTTGCACAGCATTTTTTATCAACTTATCCAATTATAATTAGACAATAATAATTTAATATTAAAACAATAATAAAATAAGACCACGCTATATTTATAAACATTAACAAAAGCAATACATTAGGTAACTGTCCCCTTCACACTCATATAAGGGCTACATAGACCGCGCGAGAGAGAGATGGGCAGACTTTTCATGATGCGCATGCAGTGCGACGTCGCGCCGCGCGTTTATTCACAAACACTACACAAGCGCAACGTGTGAATGTTTGAGCTACATCGTAGACTGAGTGAGGGTTGTTAGATTTTATTTTCCTTACGGAATTTCTTAATTCAGTCGCCGCGCTCAAAGTCCACGATAAAAGCTATGCAATAGCTTAATACAAACCAAACAAAAAAATCTAAACACGTTAAATGCAGTCTTAAGTTTGTGAACTTACACGTTAAATGGCTAATAAGCCACAATTAATACACACTTAAATCCAAAGAATATGTAAGTATGTAAATTAAAATTCTAAATAAATTCACACCTCGCGTTCCCGCTTTTTACATTTCCGATCCTGCGGACCAAATGGTAAACAGTCAACGTCGCCCAAAATATGTCATTTCAGATCCTCCCGATCCCCTAACGACACTTTTAGGTACCCCAAGCACCAGTCATCGTTCTCGTCGATCGGTCGCTTGTGACGAAAGGCTCGGCAAGCGGTTCGTGTTAGCAACAGCTTCAGGTTTAAGCCCCGCGAGCTCACATAATAGTTCAGTGAATCTAGAATAACCCCTCGAGGTTACTAGAACAGGCAGAAAAAAGGTACCGGTAAAATGGGACGATTAGGGATTGAGAGGCGAATCGGGAAAAAACCGGGAAAATCTTTTGACGCTCATTATAAGTTTTATATTCGTTGCAAAATCTTCCATTTTTTGTAGTTTAATAGTAGAATGTTGAAAGTTCACAAAACAACTCTGAATATGCATGATAATAGCTGCTAACTTATAAAAAATCGCGTTTCAAATTAACTTCCTGTGGTGGTAATTATTTTAGTGCTAGAAACTTTGCTCTCTTTTATTTATTTGATAATAATAGAAGACGACTATGATTTATAAACGTTATTTAGTGTTTGAACCAGCATATATATTAAAGGTAAGTCTCAGTTGTTATTGGTTTTAATGTATTTGATTAAATAAAAATACATGTAAAAATCTGTTGTTTTTGGGGATATTGGGGACGTCTTAGGTACAAATAACAACGAAAAAGGGGTCAATTGGGATGAGAATACGTGAAATGGAAACGACCTAAGTATAAATAGGTACAGGTTTGTAGGGTTGTCTATGTAGTTATAACAATATTTTTTAAATTTGTTGGTAAAAATCTGGTTTATTCGAAGCGAAATTGGGAATAAGTCTTTAGTTGAAATAGATAAGCAATTTAATATAAGTAAGTCGATTTTGCAGAGACATGTAACAAGATCAATGAAATCTCAAGGTGGACAAAAATGTCTAAGTAATACATAATAAAATATTTAATATTTGTTCAGAGTGGGGGTATTCATCTGATTAATCCATGGAATAACCGACACACCTAATCTCTTAACCCAGATAGAAATATCAGCACTGTCGATTGCACCTATAATTGAGGTGATGTCTGCCATGTACTTTTGTCAGTTTTTCAATTTTTTTTATTGATGATCACTTTGTTGGTGCAACTAAATAAATAAATAAATTAAAACTATATATAAAAATAAAAGTAGTGCCAACCCTAGCAAATTTCTCATTTCGTCCCAATTAACCGCAATTTTCGGGTAAATAGGGATTACACCTATTTTTGCATTTTTTGCTTAAACTGGAATGCTAGTTACATAATTTTAAATTAGACAACAAAGATGCCCCCAAGACTCAATCATTTTGATCCTGATATAGCATTATATACATCAACAACTACCTTAAAATTGCTCATAAAGTTGGAATTTGTCCCTAATCGCCCCATTTTACGGTAATACCAAAGCGTGAGACGTCTTCGCTCTAAGGGGGAAGGGTGCCTTGGTGTAGGAGTGATACGAGCGCGGAGGCTCTAATCTCGGCGGTCCATGCTGGAGGCGCAATCTCGTCGTTTGATGAACCGTCCGCATCGTCGAAGCGGTGCGCCCGGTTCTCACGGACTGTGTGGGCCGCGACCGCGGACGTCTCACCTTTCGGCTGACGCAGATGCTTACCAGCCACTGATGTTCCACGCGCCCCCTAGGCGCGGGGACCTCATAGAAGGCTAGGCCACAGGCCAGAAAAAAAAAGCGTGAGACGAGAGAGCCTGTGAGTGTGAAGTGTGCACTGAAGTATATAGGTCTATGGAAGTGTGTGTGAAGTAGGTACTGTGAAGTGCGAATATGACATTTGACATAACCAATAAACCAGATTATAACGTAGTAGACTTGCGCAAAACATCACTTGCCAATGTAATGTGATATGACATCACTTTTACAGACAGGTGATATTACTCGAAAACATTACACATCACTCTTAACATTACTCGGTGCGTTCAATAAGTAGGAATAAAATAAAACACTGAAGTAAATAATAATGGGGAGATAACATGCACAAATACTAGACTTGCGCAAAACATCACTTCCCAATGTAATGTGATATGACATCACTTTTACAGACAGGTGATATTACTCGAAAACATTACACATCACTCTTAACATTACTCGGTGCGCTCAATAGATACTGTGACGACGAATATATTGTATCTATACACCCGAATCATTACCTAAGTGATGTGTTGATACACATCACTTAGGTAATGATTCGGGTGTGTCATTACAGTAGTGTATTACAATACAAAGTATGAACTTTGTATTGTAATACACTGTAATATTACTTGACAGAGATTGACTTACTTAATAATATAATAATTTTATTTTTTACTTAATATAATTTATTGTGGGATGAACGGATTTCATATGGCGACTTAGACTGCAAATTGAGCTCGACAATAATGTTAATATACGAGAGCAGTAGATGCATTGTTTCGGCGCGATATCCTCAAAGTGCATCCAAGGAGGACTGTACTNGATAACATGCACAAATACTAGATTAAAGGGTTCACTTGATTTTGTGAATTAAAGAATATTTAAATATGAGTACTTTTATAAATATTGGGCGAAAACTGTTAATAACATCAATTTTTCGACTGCAGTGTGTTTCACAATTTAAGCTTAAACCAGGTTATACGCGATCTATTCATAGTAGTACTGGGCTATTCATTAAAATGTATATGGAAAAAGAGAATGAATATGCATACAGTGTGTTAGAAAATAAAGGTTATGCAATAAATATTTATACAAAACATTCTAGCGAAGCTATATCTCAAGAAGAGTTTCAGCGATTAAATAAAGAAGATTGGACTAAGAAAACAACCCAAGAAATTTTTGAAATATTCCCTATATTCGGAAAATATTGTTCACAACATAGCTTATGCATATCAAGTGAAATATTTGATAATTTCATAGACAATCTAACTGATACCATACAAATGGCTACTGACTCACAATTAAAAACTCTTTTTTATTCCTTAAACATGTGGCCAGAAACAGCATCGATTAGAACAAGAAACTATATTGAGGTATGGGCTGCACTTGATGATGAATGCCTAAAACGATTAAAAAATTGGTCACACGATGAAATATTATCTTTTATATCATTGTTTTTTATGTTGAATGTTACAAGAGTAAGTGATTTTTCTTGGAAAAGTATAAATAAATTAGCAACTAAAGCAAATCAACTAACACCAGGACAACTAGTTCAAACATTATTTTTTGTGGGAGTCCTACGTAAACAACCACATGACATGCATAATTTAGAAATTCATTTTTCTAAAAACTTTGCATGTTTTTCAGTTGAAGACATTGGCATAATGAGCATGGGTTTTTTTAAGAGTAAATGTCCTATAAGAAGTATGGAGCTTGCTTCAAAAATAATCAATAAAGTTATTGAAGGTTCTGAACATGTTCATGAAGTTGCACTAGCTGCTATTTTAAAAATCATTAGATATTCAGTGAAGCAAAATAAAAATAATGAAATATTTTCACTGCTAGATGTTTTACAACATCAAGTCACAAGGCTTTCTGTAATGTGCAATGTACATTTAGCACTAGTTGGAACATCATCACTTACAGTACACAATGATTGTCTTACCAAAATAGCCCATTATATAATGGATCATATGCATGAAACAAGACTAAAAGACCTTGAAAGATTAATTTTTACATATGGCACATTTAATTTAATACCAGCTACGAAAGATAATTTTTTTTCTAAAGTAATTGAAGAACTGAAAAAACCTGAAAGATTTCCTGAGATTTCACAACATGGAAAGTCATACAGTTGCTGTATATCATTTTTTGGATTGGTAGGGATATATCCTGTAGATTTAATAAGTAAAGCTTTAAGCCCAGAGTTTATAGAAAATACATATGGCAAACACATGTTTAGTTATGGTAAAGAATTATTAAGCCTACATAACAGTGCAGAGATATTTTGCAGGGAGTCTGCAATGAATCGGCTTAGTGAAAAAGCTGTGCTCCTCCTGTCAAAAAAATATACAGATTATGTACCATCTGAAAATTACAAAAAACAGTACAATATTAGTGAAAAAATGATGCTAGATATTATGAAAGTTTTGGGAGATTGTCGAGGCGGCCAAAATTATGTCATAGCTGAACATATTTTAACCCACCATCAAAGAGGAGGTCAGTTGTATGAAATATGCATCTGGTTTACATATCTAAAATCATTCTTGATTAATTCCTTTGTACTGACAGGAATAAGCTTGCGAAACTTAAATTTGTGACTAAACCCCCACCACATCAATCTTATGATTGTAATGATTGAAAAAAATATATATTTTGGGATGTTTTCAAGTACATCATATATTTTACTAAATTCTTTTACTTGACCAATGATTGTTATTGCGCAGCTTCCACAATAAAACAATTGCACTGTGTAATAAAATAAAGCAATGGGTCTCCACCACTATCCAGCATGCTTTTCGCACAAAGTAACCTTAAGCAGATGAGAAGTGCAAAACATCTGTTATACAAAGATCTCATGTTTCACTATTTGTGGTGACCTTCAGTAAGGATTTAGGTGAATTGCTCAACCTCAAGTGTACTGTGCTCTGGTGCCACCTTTAAAGGCATAAAAAAAAACAGTTGTATAGACCAATGTTTAACTGAACTTTTGCCAATCAGGTTAGATAGGTATAAACAGACTTATCTAGTGCTAAGTTATTTAATACGAAATTTAATTAAAATAAATTAAAATCACACTAGCTAGAGTAGCTTTTTTTTAGCCTAATGTATATTAAAGTGATTTTCACATCAATGCAAACAGAAATGGTAATAAATTAAAAAGTAAATTTGAATTTGAATTTATTGTCAATGGTCAAATGTGACTATTATGGTATAATAATGTTCACAATGTTTATTTATAGATATAATCATTTGCAATGATCACAATGGAAAGCCTATGCCAGTCAAAGAAGCATTTAAAAATGATACATTTGGGTATATTCGGAAGCCTCCTGATGACAATGATTGGATTGTACTTATAATAGGTGGAAAAAATTCCCTAATTCAGAACTGTAATGTACCTACAGGACAGTTTCAGACAAAAATTCGAGAACTTGCAGCTTTAGGCTACACTCCAATATTGGTAAACTTTTTCAAAATAATTTTATTGTACCATATTAGAAATATGATAGGAGCACGACACGATGATGCCATTCTGAGACACGGCAAACTGCGAGCGTATGCCATCACATATCCACCGTGTCCTTGTTGCAGCCAAAATGGTGGCACTCCGTCGTCGGCTTCTTTTCGGTATTGCGACCGACGATGTACCGACCGATATAGTTGTATTCAGCCAACATCTGTGTAAGCCGGAAGGTCATATGCCTTCTGCAATATATTCCCATAACCGTATACCGCAACATATGCCTTTTTCCATTATGCTGTGGATGAATGCTTAGCGGCAGAAATAGGGATGACTGTGGTACTCAGTCGAATTTACAGCATGCATTATCGGTATTAAATAGTATTTAGATTTATTGAATTAGCATCATAATAATCATAAATCTTTACTAGATTTTTTGACAGTAATTATTTTCAAGATAATTAAAGCAGGTCTAACTAAACCCTATACATGTTTCAGGTGCCATGGAAAACATATTCACAACTAGATAATTTTGAAGAGAAAGAAAGTTATCTTTGTAGCTTAATCGAAAACAGATCAAGGAAAAATCATAGTTGTACTGATACTGTATTTAATAGTCTTCATAGTCATAATTCTTAGAAAGTGCTAGATTTATAAGTTTAGTTCTCTTTAGGTCTCAAAAGAAAAATATGAATGAACTGAAAATATTTTTCATGGCAGAATTTCTTGACATTGAGGTAGCTTGGTGAGTTCGTAGTGGACTGAATTGCGTACCAACGAGTCTATACTTGTAGTCCAGGGAAAGGTTGAGGATACCAGGCCACCACGAAAATCGCCTTNAATTCTTAGAAAGTGCTAGATTTATAAGTTTAGTTCTCTTTAGGTCTCAAAAGAAAAATATGAATGAACTGAAAATATTTTTCATGGCAGAATTTCTTGACATTGAGGTAGCTTGGTGAGTTCGTAGTGGACTGAATTGCGTACCAACGAGTCTATACTTGTAGTCCAGGGAAAGGTTGAGGATACCAGGCCACCACGAAAATCGCCTTAAGATGGACTGACCAGATTAAAGCGGCAGTAAATGGGGTCATCATCACTGAATGCACTATCAGAGCGGACTGGCGGCGTGTTGTGAAGCTTGCTACCAATACATGAACTGATGACCACGACCACTCTGTCAAGAGCGATACCGACGAAGAAGAAGAAGGCTGAGTTCGTCCGTTTAAAACAGATTATGTACAAAGCTGTAATAATATTAATAAAAATGAAATTTAAAACATGTTCGTTAAATTCAAAATAAAGGATACTTTAACTAAAAAACAAAACCTTGTGTGATTATTTGGAGTTGACTGAAATACAAACACTCGTTTTAAAAAGTTGTCTCTTTTGTCCAGGTTAATACGGTTCCACCGTTTCTATCGACTCGTTCGTAGGTACAGAAGAATGAGTTATTTTTATTCGCCAAATATTATATGTAATAAATAAACGCAAAAAACATGGAACTCGTATGGAACCGCGGACGTTAATAGTAATTAACTAATTTGAAAAAACGGCGTAACACGATAACCGCTATCGTGTCCACCGCTAATTACATATCCGAGTACGAAACATGTCCTTGTCGGATCTCTCGGATAGGCAATCAGTACTTTTAGGGTCTCCAAGCACCAGTTACTGCCCTCGTCAAACTCGTCGATTATGACGAAGAGTTTGACGTGCGAATTATAGACACAACCCACTGAGTTTCTCGTCGGTCCTTCTCATTGGGTCCCGATTCCGATTCGGTAGTAGATTTAGCGAAGCACTGTTCTTATTAGGGCCAGTGTTAGTAACTGTCTCAGTTTGAGCAGCGCCTAGTTGGAATAGCCCCTAGGTTACCAACGAATGGGTGGGAAAAAAAAGTAATCAATTAAATCAAACGTTTAGTGTTTTTGGAAGTAGCATGTTGAGAGCAATTTAGCGATATTTAAATAAAAGACTTGATTACTTAGAATCAGATTAATAAATCAATTGACATGAAATCTCTGCCACCCATATGAAAAGTGTTAATGAAATAAATTAAAAATGCCTTTTAACTTATTGTCTTATTTTTGCACCAAAATTTTATATACCTACCTACTACATAAATGAAACTAATATCTATAAAGTCTAAAGTCTGTAACGGCGCCTAACCATTGTATTTCAAATGTAGATATAACTCTAATTTATGAAACAACTGAACAATAACGTTCAAGTTTCCTGCGAGAAAGCAAAGACTATAGAGGAGGAAACTGAGTACCTAGTTTACTTACTTTATCAAACTTATAATTTGCATAATGACTGTTGGTAGAACGTCTTATGAGTCCGCACTGGTAGGCACCACCAATCACCCTGTCCATTGTGAAGTAGTAATGCGTTTCAGCTTTAAGGAGGGGGCAGCCATTGTACTGAACTTGAGACCTTAGAGCTCATATCTCAGAGTAAGTAGCGGCATTTACGTTGTAGATCTATGGGCTCCGGTAACTTCAGATCGGGTGGGCCGTGAGCTCGTCCAACCACCTAAGTAATAAAAATAAATAAAAACTACAAGATCCCACAAGCGAACCCTAACCAGTTACCATTTGCATTAAATAACACATGCAATTTTGTACGCAATACCTTAAGACTTCAGACAGATCCAATGAGGAATGAGGAGATTTAAAAAAAAACCCAAAATAACCGACGTAGCCCGAAGAATTGCGAGGTTAAATTGGTTATATGCAGAGCACATTGTTCGACGAACTGATTGTCGTGGGAGCCAAAAAGTTTTAGAGTGGACCTGGTAAAAGTCGCACAAATCCAAGGTCTATGTCTGTCAATGGACGTCTGCGTACACTAAGTTAGACAAGAGTACAAGTGCAAATGAATGGCAGAATGGTATCAATACCTCAAAGATATAAAAACAGTTTATCTTACAATACGTTTTCAATTTGGATTTTTCAATGAAACCCGCATTTTTGAACTGGCACAAACAAACGTTACACTCGCTTCAAGCATTATGTAGAATAAAAAAAAATAGAAATTAATATTGTTTGCCTTAGTATTTTTTTAAATTATGATTTTTATTATTAATTAACAGCTAGACGTATTCGTTTGTAAGGTTTTAGACCAGGATGATTTTATAGGTAATATTATAAAATTTATGAGGACTGTAACTCGCTAGATATTTTAGTGTATAATATAATCAAAGCGAAGCTAACCTTTGATAGCTAATTTACTAAACTAATAAATAAATAATTCACCCTTCAAGTTGATTTATATGCTTTATTTTATTGACTTAGGTTTCGATGAAACAAATGTATTAGATATGTAGGTCTATTAAAAATAACAAAAATATTATGGAATAAGTATACACTAGTTATGTATCAATAATTATTAGACAATTTATTTTACGCAGATAAAATTACTCATGAACACGATCACAAAATTATATTAAAAAAAATATTTCAACCTAAGAATAATTTAAGACAGTTTGACTATGTTATTTTTTAACTTTCCATAAATTATACAATTATCTAACTTTGGTTTATAAAATTTTTGAAAACTCCTTTAGAATCGCGAATAGCTCCTTTTCTGTATTTTTCCATTTTTTCCCAATTTTCTAAGTCTATCGACTCGCGTCGTTCTGAAAAATGAGACAAAATTAAAATCAAACAACTATTTGACTATCAAAAAATATAATTGCTTTAGTTACAGTGCTTAACTCAAACATAAATCGGATGCGTGGAAGTTAATCAACCTAATCATATTTAAACCAGCACCTTAAATAATTAGTTAAAGCACAATTGTTTTGTAGGTACTTTTTGGTGCGATCTGGAAACTGTGATTTTTAAATAGACTAACAAAATGTTTGTATAGATACTTTGGTTTTGTTGAGGTGGTATGTTTTGTAGTTTTTATTTTTAATGTAGGTATTACATCAGTTTTAGGTCAATTCTCAATTTTGCTTGTTACTTTAGGTATAGATATCGAAGGCGGTAGGGGTAAGAGATTGTTGCCATATCTGGCATGAAAATTTTTGTCTATAGATGTACTGTCACTACCGGTATCATCAAAATTCAAATTAATATTTCCACTTATGGATTTGACCTGAAAAAAAATTGATTTAATTTTACTGCTTGAAGCTTATTGTTGGATTCACAGAGCCTTGACAAAAGTTAAAACTATAATAATTAAAAAACAGTCACTTTCTTACGGGCTACTACGATTTTCGTTTTAATGAGTTCCCGGTAGGCATAACGGAGCTGTGCCAAATCGAGGCAAGAACCCGTAAATAATAGTGTTTATGATGTATTATAGAATGTAGATAAAAGCGAAATGCTTAAAACAATTCGTCATATTTACTTACCAAAGCTTCAGTTTTCTTACGTAAATTAGATCTAGACAAAGTTAAAGCTAGTTCTGATTGCAGTCTGTTCGTGATAGGTATATCATTCCCATCGCTTAAAATTCCATCTGGCATATCAGTACCTAAAAAGTCTAACTTCGTTGGTTCACGTCTACTGTTGCCGTTGTTTGAATATTCACATATAGTTACTGACACGGGTCTTGCATTTTTCTTCATGGTCGTAGTTCCATTTGGTGCTTTTACGAAATAATTTGATGGCGGCTTTGGTGCGACATTAACGGGATTCTTAAGTTTATAAGATTCGAGTGATTCTAGTTCAGCTTTTTCGTCTTTGACAGTTTTTAGCTGAACGTGTGCCTTGTCGACGTAGTCTGGTGTCGGAGTTCGAGTTAGAGTACCGTTTTTTCTACAATTTGAAGTTTTAAGGTCTAAAACTGTCTTTAATATGTTATCAGCTTTCGCCAAATGGTTTCCGTTTTGTAGACCGTTTGTTATTGGCATCTGAAAACAATTATAAACCATAATATTAAGAACATTAAGAACATGTTTACAAGTAAATTCTTTATGACTAATTTCCAGAAATGAATATAAACTGATAACGTTAAAATTATTTTATTAAAAACAAGCTTTTCAAACTTCCATGTGAGCTTCTTAACATTAACACGCATTGTTTCAGTAAACAAATTCTAATAAAATACTTTAAGAGTTTCTGTTTTCAGAGAACAACTAGCCTAAGGAATGCCTACTAAAATAATTTCATAAAACAGTTGCGCTAAGAAAAGTTAAGGCGTTTAAATAAATATTATTTACCGGTGGTGGAGGCGGTGGATCCTCTGTAGTTTCGCGTTTGGGTATTGGAGGATCATTTGTAGCCTCGAACGGAAGGTGATCGGTTTTCTTGAGCGGCAAAGTAGGTTGTCTGTCCTAAAATCAAAATATGATTGAATATCGTTCAGAATTATTAATATCGATTTATAATTAGCCAAGGTTTCTTATATTTTTATCGCACGGGAAGACGAAGTCATGGTTCACCTCTAAGTGGTTACCGGAGCTCATAGATATCACAATATACCGTTGCCTACTTGTACGCCAGTTCTCACCGGTAGGTAACACGATCCTGCCTATTTTTACCGCGAAGCAGACACACATTCCTATTTCAAAATTGAGACGGTAGTTGGTTTAATATTTTAATATAGAGAGTTCGACCTCAAGTATCAAGGTGGTGTCATTTGTGTTGTGATCAATGTATTCGCATGGTTATGTGTTCAAGTAGCTGTTTTGCACCATGAGGGTCGTGAACTCCTTTCACATATTTATCCAATTAAAAAAAAATTACGATGATAGTACGCATGAATGATCTGCGACAGATATAACTAAGGACGCGCGGTCTTAACAAAATGCGGGAAACTAAGAGAGGAGCTAGGAAAATATGAAAAATTTGTATATTATTAAGTATAAGCTAGGTGGTGCGATGACCTCCGAATAGTGGCCGGCAAGAGGTGGATTAGGAGAGCCGAAGATCGGGCTTTTTTATTGCTTAGATGGGTGGACGAGCTCACAACCCATCTGGTGGTTACCGTAGCCCATAGACATCTACAACGTAAATGCGCCACCCACCTTGAGATATAAGTTCTAAGGTCTCCGTATAGTTACAACGACTGCCCCACCCTTCAAACCGAAACGCATTACTGCTTCACGGCAGAAATAGGCGGGGTGGGATAGGGTGAAGTGTCTTTACCAGACAACCATAACTAACTTAAAGTGTACGAATAAAATCTTTGTAAGCTAGGGTGTACCTAAATGTAGATAATTATCTCAGAAAAGTAGCGACTAAAAGCAGAATGCTAGAAATGACAGACGCTGCTATGTAGTTAGCTCTAAGCGTGTAACATAATCTCAAGGCTAAAATTCCATGGAAATAAGTATGTATGTATGTACCAGTATGTAATTAGTTACGTAATCTAGTCGACTGGGTATTTTAATCTCACGATTTAACATGCCAATTTCTTATTTTAATACAAAAAACTGAAAAACGCGTACCTACGTATGTACTTAAATACATATTAATAGAATTTCCGAAGAAACTTATAGCTATGGTCTATTAATATAATAGGTCTTATAACAAATAATAAAATTAAATCATCAAATTAACTTCCATCATTATGACTTGCAAGTAAGTTCGAAAGCGTCAACAATTGATATTTTAAATTACGCTGTCATTGACATTGAACTTTGAACATGTTGAATTAATGAAGTTGACCCGTGGATAATATGAATTATTTAATGTATAAAACTTATACATTGTATAAAATTATACACATATACTATAATGTATAAAACTTATACATTAAATAATGTTTTTTTTCTCCGAAATCGATGCATTCCTATTGGCTTTATGCGATTGACTGGAAACTTGTTACAGTTTATTATTGCTGATATTTCAGGATGCTTAGTGCACATTTTTTAACGTTTTCGATAGTGTACAAGTTAACTCAAATTTGTATGCAGTTGGAACAGTGCTCCTAGCGGCAAACTTAGGCATTCGTTTCAGAGATAGCCTTTAAGCTGTCGAGAACGTTAAAAATTTTCGAATTAAGCACACAGGGAAGTTTTTTGGCACCGTAAAAATGCAATTGAGTGCTGAGTGAACCATCTCTCGTTGAAAAACAGAGGATCGCCATCTAGCAGGGATTAGGAAACCTCGTGATCTTATTAGAAAAAATATGTTAAGTCGAGTTTTAAGGCAAAGTTAGATTGCATTCTTTAAAGGTTGTATGTGGCGTGAACGTGATTTGCAATCGAAGTAAATTGTCCCTTCATAATAAAGTGACACCTTACAAAGCTTGCATACGTCTGGTCATGACCTATGTAAGTATAGTGTTCGCACGCGGTTCGCACTAACTTGAAACCCCTTCAAATCATACTATCCCGTTTTTGGAAGATAGCCGTCGGAGCGCCGTGGTACGTGAGAAACGTGGACCTCCATGAGGACATGGACCTAGAGTCCATCAGTAAGTATTTGCAGTCTACATCAATGCGCCATTTCGCGAAAGCGGCACAACACGAGAACCTTCTCATCGTCGGATTCGGATTGGGAATGTTCCCGATCCTGCGGACCGAATGGTAAACAGTCGACGTGGCTGTAAACACGTCATTTCGGATCTTCCCGATCCACTAACGGTGCTTTTAGGTGCCTCAAGTACCGGTCATCGTTCTCGTCGAACCCGTCGCTTGCGACTAAGGGCGCGAGTAAATTAAGCTACAGACACAGATCACTGAGTTTCTCGCCGGATCTTCTCAGTGGGTCGCGTTTCCGATCCGGTGGTAGATTTTGCGAAACACTGCTCTTGCTAGGGTTAGTGTTTAGCAACGTCGTCAGGTTTAAGCCCCGTGACCTCACCTACTTGTTGGGTTACGCTGACATAGTCTCTCAAGGCTATCAGCTTAGATAGGGAAAAAAACCATAAACGCGAATGAGAGCTGGCAACTTTGATTATAAACACGACGTGTATATAATCAAAGGTTGGCAACAGATATTTCGCCTCTAGAATTCGAAGTAATACTTGTACAAATGATACGATATAAAGCAAACAGCGATAGGAGGCGAAGTAATATTGCGAAAAGTAATGTAACTTGAAATGAAATAGATAATTTATCAGTAATATGGCACGCTAGTTGTACCAATAAATCGTGCAAGTGACAAATAGGCCGATTGATAAAAAAGTACCTATGTTATATTTTTGAATAAAGTTTTTGTAAGGAGAATGTTGTGTTTAAATTATTTTTTTTTATAGCTTAGTTGGTTGGACGAGCTCACAACCCACCTGATGTTAAGTGGTTACTGGAGCCCATAGACATCCACAACTTAAATGCGCCACCCGCCTTGAGATGTAAGTTCTAAGGTCTCAGTATAGTTACAACGGCTGCCCCACCCTTCAAACCGAAACGCATTACTGCTTCACGGCAGAAATAGGCAGGCCGGTGGTACCTCGGACTCACAAGCGGTCCTACCACCAGTAAATAATTTAAGTAAGTTAATTACACCATTAAGATATATAATGACCATTAATTTATTACACATCATTTACGTCTCTGAGTACACACTGAATATTGCACGAAAGGTAAGTTACAGCAAATATTTGGTGTAATTGTAAAGACGAATAGCGGTCATGATGCATCGAAAACATGTTTTAGCTTGACGCAGTTTAAATTATGACATCATCTAATAACACTCAGGTAACTATAGTTAAAGCAACATATATTTTTTGCTGATGAATGGAAAAACTAATTTATCCATTTTACGGTTTTTTTCCACAGTACTTACTTACAGTTGATGTAGAAGTTTAGTAAAAAAAAGTTTTTTTTTTATAGCTTTCATGGGTGGATGAGCTCACAGGCCACCCGGTGTTAAGTGGTTACTAGAGCCCATAGACATCTACAACGTAAATGCGCCACCCACCTTGAGATATAAGCTCTAAGCTCTCAAGTAATAAAAACAACAATAATAAAACCTTAAAGAGTACTTTTAATTAATAGCTGCGATTCGCGAAAATCAAAGCTACAACAATAATTTGTTTAAGGCATTTTCATTATTCATCGTTCATAATCGTGATATATCTACCTACTATATTTTTATCAATCACAAATATGTTCTTGTATCAATAGATAAACTTCACAATCAAAACCGGCATGACTAAAATGTATATTTGCAATAACATTCGATTTCATGGATAAAATGAACGATAGGTATATAACATTATTTAAAGATTACGCTGCATTATTCAATATTATTGTTAAAAACTGAAGTACCTATACAATGTTGTTTAAATAATACGTGGTTTCCTTCGCTCCACAAAATAAAATTCGCACTTGGCATCGTCGTACACTTACTTCGTAACACTGGATGATGACCAAAGGTTTCGATTTGTTAATTCTCTTCATTTTTAACGTGGCTTATAAACACACGAGGAAAACGTTTGAAATTATCATAAAGGTTAATCGCGAAAACACATATGGCTTTCGTGAAGGTAATTTTTTTGCTCGCGTATTTTTATATCTTCGGAAACAATACACTTAACAATTGTTTGTGTTACGAACTTTGTAAATTTGACTTATGTTAAAGAGTCCGCCAAGGTTAGCAATTATTGTACCGGTGCGTGAAAAATCGCATTCGTAAATCAGCCTTGTTGGCGTGAAGGCGCGGTACGCAATACGATCGACGGAGCACAACGCTTGTGAACGACTGAATTGAGTCTGCGGACTATTTGTTGTCCAGCGGCGGTCGGCACTGATTTTTCGCTGTCGTTATCAGTGCACAAAGCAAAATCAAGGGAAATTACAGCATATTTCCAGTCTATCGGCCGTGTCTACAGTCTGAATGCAATAAAAGCGAAATCAACCGTCGCCTCGCCGACATGCCCGTTGATGATATTAAATCGTTTTTTTTTTTTATATTTTTTAATTGCGCTTGCAATGAAACGAAATAGCTTATGAAAATGTTAAGAAATTTTTATCTTTTTCAATATTAATGGCGAAACCCAAATAGGGATTTGTTTCTTGTTTCGTCCTGTTAGACCTTAAAGTATTGCTAGGTAAGAATATGTATTTATATTTTTATATCGAACTCTCATATAAATTTCTACAAATAAAAATTAATTTATATTAAATAACACCAATTTACTATACACTATATAGCTTATGATGATTAAACACTGTCGGGAGATTTACCTCCAGTAAATTTATTTTATAAAACACTAAAACAATACAAGATAAAATCTCACCACAAGCTTTTATATGACTTTATATAACTGTTGCAATGTTCGAAACTGAATCAGCTTGTAAAAATTCTCCGTAGGTTGAAAGGCAGCGGTTTTAATTCAGCTTTGTAAAATAAGACTTAAACCAGCGTGCATAGAATGGTAGCAAGTTAAATAAAACCTTTTAAAAATATGGCGACTCCCTTTAACTCTTAAGTACCTACTTGAAATTTTTAATTTCATAAAACATAAAGCACAAAAATATCAATCATAATTACTTTGAACATAATACGTTACGTAGCTTTTAGATTAATTTCTCAATGTTGAAAACAAAATCTCGAGTCCCGAAACGAGCTTAATTAGTAGATAATAGAAGAATTAGCATCCTTTCCTTTCCGATTTTTCGCAACAAAAAACCGGGACACTGGAATGGCGCCCAGACAAAAACTGATAAGAGATACTATAGAGCTCAACTATAATGAAAATGAAATCTTTTATGAATACGTATGGGAATTACCTAATGACACGATTACGTTCCCAACATATCCATAATAGTTTTGACAAAAACTTGTCATACTCTCCGGTGAATCCCTCATTACTTGGTTGATTTTTACGTCAACGTTGGAAAGAAGCTGAGAGGTTTTAGGCTAAGTAAAATTTATATTTACTAATAAAAAATTAACTAGTTCATTATACCAAAGTTTTCAAAGGATGTGATGGAGTGGATGTTCGTAGATTCAAAGATAGTACATACTTTAGATTCCCCATGATATGCTTGCACATGGTTCCAATCGTGAAACACACCATAGCGCATGACAAACATGCAATACAATTGGTCACTGATCCACAACACACTCTAGAGCTATAAGCAATGATTTCCTATTTATGTGTTTTAATTTTTTATCTATCACATGCCTAATGCCCTTTCCTGCATAAAAATAACTGCACAATTTGAATTGATGTAAAATGCAGTTCACATAACTGCGTCGAATATACGCAGTGCCGAGCATTAATTTTATTTGAAGTTAAAACTACATCTCTTTAGAGTTCCGCTACCGAAATTTGAAATATCTTCAAAAATAATGAAGTGCTACCGATTACTATCAATTTAGAAGGGACTCTCTTCAACAATAACGTACAGAACATATCTTCATAATCTTCCCCTCCTGGCTGAGCCTTTGCTCGCCCACCTGTCCTGGTGAAACTGGAAAGGCCTACGGGCCACCAGTAATCATTAAAAAAAATATCCTCATAATTTCATAAATTTTAAACGCCTAAACCTCGGAAATGTATGTTATTTAAGTGTTTTATTCAGCACACCTATTCAGTACAGTAATTTAATTGTACTTTCAATGGAATAAAATAAAATTATAATATTATTACCCCATTAGATAAGTACCTACATTACTCTAAGAAAATGAAGTTAAATATATAAAGGATACTACTATCAATAACATTTAGGTACTGATATTATTTTCAATTATGTGAAGTTAAATAATTAATGAAATAAATTTTAAAGTACATACTTAATTTCAAACCACTACATAGTTTGTATTTGTACCGTCATGGCAGGGACGCGTATGACAATGTACTCGATATTGCTGGTATCGCATTGGCAACTTCAAAGAAATTTGCTAGCAAAATAGCGTTCGGAGAATACGCCACATATACAAGCATATTTCATCGCAACAAGCAATGGTCCAATAAGCTATTTCATTTTATGTAAGCAGGTAGTAACGATTCGTGTCGAACTCGTGGTTAATTATTTCGTAAGTAATTGCTTTCAATTGTTCAATTTTATGTAACAACTGCAAAGTGAAACTTAGCACATGTCCGCGTAATAGTGCACGTAAAGGTTTTGGCGAAGTACAAATTATTTAATTGACTACAAGATTCGTAACAAAATTCATGTTCTTTCTGCATTACCCACTGTAATCCTTTATTATTTCTTTTTGGTAATTCAAACTACATACTTTTATAGTTTAATCTCGCGTTTTACGCCGGAAATAATACATAAAATGAGCATAAAAACACGAGATTAAATCGTAAAACTACACTCGCAAAAACGGAAGAAAGCACAGTTTCTTCTTATTTGTGTTTTTTAATTTTTTTTATCTTACAGGTGAATGAATTCACAGCACACTTACTGTCAAGTCCTTACCGGAGCCCATGACTACGTGAATGCCGCCACTCATCTTGAGACATGATTTCAAAGTCTCAATTTCATAATATTATTATTACGGCTGTCCCACCCACGGGATAGAATTAACTATTCCATAGTCCCACCCTTCAAACCGAAACGTATTACTGTTTCGCGGCGGATACCTGTAGGCTTGGTGCTTGGTACACTGGTACCTGTGTAGCTACATAAGACGCCCTATCACAAGTCAACTGTTAATGAATTTTCTTATTCCTTAAGAAATTAGGTTCTGAGTTATACTTCTGTTTACATTTTAATTTTTTGTCTGCTGCGTAACCGTCTTTATTATAAACTAGCGACCCGCCCTCGCTTCGCTTCGGAAACATTAAAACACACATGAAACAAAAAAAATAAAAAAAATAAAAAAATAAAAAAAATAGTAGCCTATGTTCATCAGGGACAATGTCGGCTTCTAATGGAAAAAGAATTTTTCAAATCGGTCCAGTAGTTTCGGAGCCTATTCGAAACAAACAAACAAACAAATCTTTCCTCTTTATAATATTAGTATAGATTAGTATAGATATAGATGTCAGGGAAAAAGTGACGGTGAGTTAGTTATTTCAAGATCAATCAGCATTCGACGTGCAGGAGCAGATGAAGAGGGGCCGTTAGTGGCATTCTGAGCCAAAATCGGGGGTCCTAAGGAGCTTGTGTAGCCTCAAAACGTGTAAGTTCGCATTTAAATAAGAAATATAGACGAATATAATAGCGTCTAGAATTATTATCAAAACAAGATTAGGAACACTGACACGAAATAGATTGGATGTCAGCGAAAAATGGATCTTACTTCTCAGGAATCAATACGAAAAGAAATTACTGAAATTAGAGATAGACTGGAAAATACTTAGGATGCTTTAATTATAGCTGCTGTAGTCTCACTTCCAACGGAGCTACGAGGATGAGGATTTATAGAGGTAGCGAAATTTGTATTGAAACGTCATTGAGGCTGCTAGTAAGACATAACAAACAAGATAATGTACATTTAATAAAATATTGCCTGCTTTACGCTTTTATCTTTTGATGACCTTATCGTTGATAACAAAGGCGCTTAAATGATTGACAGTAGATAGCACTTTGCACAAGTAAGATATAGATACTTAAGTACTGACGTGCTGTTAATTCTTCGATACGATACATTTCAGTACTTTTTTAATTTATTTTAAAAGAAAACTAGGTATTTTGTTCCATTAATTAAGTTGAAAATTTAATTAATAAGTCAACGAAGCTTTTACAATATCACTATAAAGAATGTTGCATGGTTGCGGTGAAATCCGGTATGAAAGGCGTAGGACCTATCCGCTTTAACTAGTTCTAAGCATACTCATAAAAATAACTTTTTAGTTTTGACATATTAATTTAACCAGATGATGACCGAGCTTTGCTCGGTTTTTTTTTTGATAACGTCATCTTGTTGTGTCTTTAAAGCGGTTAGTTGCCCTCAATTAAGAAAAATAGTATTATTATTCGCCAATAGATGTCGGAAAGAGTTGACTATTGAAAACACGAATAAAACAACATTTTCTGAAAATAAATCGTAGCTAGATCGATTTATCGGCCCCGAAATCCCCTGTATACTAAATTTTATGAAAATCGTTGGAACCGTTTCCGAGATTCAAATTATATATATACAAGAATTGCTCATTTAAAGATATAAGATCAGTATTTGAGACAAATATTATCATTTATATTATTTCAAATATACAGAAGCGCTCATTGATTAGATTTAATTTAAAGTTACAACAAACGAACCTTTTTGCCTTCCTTATTTTTCTCTGGCTTAGCAGACGAAAATAAGTTCCTACTATCAACTGATTTTCAGTCTAGCGAAATCATAACTTAACATAACATAACAAATAACGACTGCCCTTTTTGTGGCTGATAGCACGTTCCGGTCTGAAGAGCTAGATGACTGTTACTCGAATGTAACTATGACCCACTTCTCAAGGTGCATTTCATAGTTCACATTGCAGTATTTATGATTTCCGGTAACCGCTTAACATCCTGTGGGCACGCCTCCCAACGCAGTTTTAATGAATGCAAAAACTTTAAAAAAATACATATTATATGCAGCTAGTAACGTCCTGGCTAGATGGTGCGATGACCTCCGCACGGTGGCCGGCAAGAAGTGGATGAGGAGAGCCGCAGACCGTGCTCAATGGTGTGGATTGGGAGAGGCCTATGTCCAGCAGTGGACGACTGTAGGCTGTTGATGATGATGATGATGATATGCAGCTCACTTGCTAACAGTGTGGTTAGTGTGTACACAGTGAGTACCTACATACCTCGCGATATAAAACCGAAGAATTGAATTTAATTTAAAAGAGATTGAAAAGAGAATATATGCAAACCGACCCTCCCCAACGAAATGGATGATTAATAGTTACCGAACGATCTTACAGATAAAAATCAAGTTTTATTTAATAAGTAGACCTTAAATTGCAATTTTAAGTCAGCGCGGAAGCTATCATGCGTTTATGTGTTTGCTTTGCTTTCGTCATCAGAGAACTATGTTATAGATTCATAAATTATTTGTTAATTTTTTTTGTTTTTTTTTTATTGCTTAGTTACTTTAATTTTACTTTTTGTTATAATGTTAGTATAGTAGATACTATGAATGAATAGTGATGGAACCATTTAAAACTATTTTACGAAACTGTTTGACTTACCATTGGATCGCTATTGTCTATGTTATGCGTTGCTGTTTCTTTGTCAGTAATATCCAGATTAGCAAACATTTTCCTGTGCACTTTTTTAAATTCGTCCATGAGAGCGTCGTGTTGTTTTTTCTTGTCATTGTCAACAGTTTTTGTTACTATTTTTTTAGGCACAACAGGAGGGGGAACGTTTTCGGTGTTCGTAGATTTTTTCATCTGTAACAAGTAATTTTCTTATATTATTATTGAATTAATATAAATTTATGATTAAAATATAAACAGTATTACTAGGGTTTACTTATACATTAATAACATTATAGTATACGAGTATTATCAAATATGCTGCTAGTTAATGTAATTTTGTTCTATATACTTTTATATTACAGTTATGTCTTGGAGAATGGTGATAATATAAAAATCCCCACATTGGTTCTTGAGTCCATACAAATGTAATATATACAGAATAAATCAGAGAAATCCGCAAAATTATAATTTGCGTAATTACTGGTGGTAGGACCTGTTGTGAGTCCGCGCGGGTAGGTACCATCGCCCTGCCTATTTCTGCCGTGAAGCAGTAATGCGTTTCGGTTTGAAGGGTGGGCAGCCGTTCTAACTATACCTGAGACCTTAGAACTTATATCCCAAGGTGGGTGGCGCATTTACGTCGTAGATGTCTATGGGCTCCAGTAACCGCTTAACACCGGGTGGGCTGTGAGTTCGTCTACCCTCGTCCACCTACCCATCTAAGCAATAAATAAAAAATAAAAAAAACCTTATTATTTTCTAACCTGTTTTCTTCTTAATATTTCTTCTGCAATAGCATTTGATAAAGATACCGTGCTTGAAACACTGGTACTATCTGAACTAGCCTCCATCATAGGTGGAGGAATAAAGTTATTACAAGCCGGCTTCCCACATGTTGTAGTATTGGTGTGGTGTAGCTCAACTACGATTGTCTTCTTGTCGTTCCCTCTGCCTCCATTATTCAACGAAAAAGTACTTTTCCTTGGAGACTGATTACTATCGTAACTACATTGTATAGTTGCACCGTCTTCCGTTAAATTAATTATTGTTTTATTCGATGGATTCGTTACAAATTCTTTAACACTTTTGTTATTATTATTATTCCTAGTTTTTGCTTTATTTTCAAACGTATGTGGATTGTTTGGTATGCTTGGACAATCGTAATCGGGTTCTATATCGGAGGGAGCATCAAAGTTATGAATATCCTTGTGCTTCCAATCGAAATCTAAGCTGTCCCAAGTGCGTCTTTTCAGTCTATTCATGGTCAGCCTGAAAATATACTGTCGTAAAATATATTATAAACGTGGGTAAGTAATTAATAACAGTGACTCGGCAATTACTAAATGAATTTTGAAGTTATTAATCACATACATTTTTTAAAAATTTAATCTAGTACTATTAGGCGGTTCAAAAGATTCGTAGGCTTCTTCCGTTATTTTTCGATGTACAGTAAAAGCTCTTTATTCGCGGGGTATATGTAGCGTAAGTATACCTCGAAGATGGAATAGTAATTTTAATTAAATTATTATTTAAAAATATGCTTTACGAGGTGAGTTATAAGGTTCACACAGTTTTTGTTTGTATACATTCTCAAAAATGCTGACCGCGGCAAAGGATATTCGGTTCGAAACCTACATATTGAAATACTTTACATACCCGATCCTGTAGACCGAATGGTAAACAGTCGACGTCGCCCAAAGCAAGTCATTACGGATCCTCCCGATCCACTAACGGTGCTTTTAGGCACCACAAGCAACGGTCACCGTCCTCGCCGAACCCGTCGCTTGCGACGAAGGGCTCGATGAGTGAATTAACCCACTCCGGTTTGAGCTCCGTGAGCTCACTACACATATAGGTAGGAAAAAAGGAATCCTTTTTATCAATGTGTATATACGGATGAACAGATTATATCCGCGAATAAAGAAATTTTTAGCCGCGAATATTGAGTCGCATTTTGTTAATTCGCGAATAGTGAAAACGTGATTGTAGGAAACGCGAATAAGGAGCTTTTATTGTAATAGCCATCGAAACCAATATATTTACGATAATTCTGTCTTTACACTGATCTCATTTTCTTGTCCATCGAGCCAAAAAAACAGATTTCCAGAATTGTTGGAAAGCGAACAAAATAAAAGTACCGTAGCCCTTAATATTTTATACGTCACCTGTCGGCGCGATCGGCCGCTTCTTCAGCGACGCTCGCGAGACGGCGGCGTAAAGCTGCAGGAGGTGCGAGCGGTACGTGCGGCGTGGGCGCGGGACTTCTCTCTCCCGCCGCAGACGAAGCGGAGCTGTTATACCCTGAGCTCTCCGGCGATACTAGTTCAGTCCCGGCGCCTTCGCGTATCACCAGTTCTAAGCGTCCCGTTGCTTTCATTGCCGTTATAGCCTAATAAAAATGATTTATGAAACATTAAAATAATACCTATAAAAGTGTGTTTTCTTTTTATTTGCATATGCATGTTTAAAATAATATCATACTAGTGGTCGCCCGGTAGTCTTTTCAGACTATTAAACTTCAATAAATACAAATTTCGCCAAGACTACACTACTCGTATAGATAAATATTAATAAAGACAAACAATATTTAATCCATTCTCAATTTGACCACCGACGTCAAGAACAAAAGTTTGACAATAAATAAATAGTATGCAGGTGTGTGTGCGTAAAATACATGGTAATGATGGTAGTGTGTGTAAGGTTTTTCATATTGATTTATTGGATTTTTAGGCATAATTTAAAAAAAAAATTATAATGCTGCACTCCTTCTCTATATTCTCTATAAGTGTGGGAAATTTCATACTCCTCCGTCCGCGCAATTTTCGTAAAAAGTGATACAATTTTTTCCTTCACATTTTAATATATAGATTGTATGTTTCGATTTTTTTACCAAATTTATCGTTCACACAAACCTTAATACTGTCACTAATGTAGGGGTATTACATAAAACGATACGAAATGTAATTCATTGCATTGTTCTCGCATTTTCATTTCAAAGAGAGTTGATAAAAGTGATTTATAAATTTATACGGTCCAAAGCAAAAAAAAAAATGAAAGTAATGCTTTTAGCTTATTAAAAAGATTGGAATTAATATTTATTTGTATTTTACACTACGATATCTTTGTAAAACGTGACCGGCGCGTCATCGGTATCTTTTACTGGTTTTACTGGTGGTAGGGAGTCTTGTGAGCCACCATGGGTACCACTACGGATACCACCACCCTTCCTATTTCTGGCATGAAACAGTAATGTGTTTTGGTTTGAAGATATTATTTTTTATTGAAAGCAATTCTATTTATGGCAAATGTTATTTATAACTTATAAATTACAATAAAATGTCATTTTTTGTTTTTTGCTACTATTAGCAAATTTATTGTAATTTTCATAATTATTATCAAAGATTTGTTTTGGCCTGACTGCAGGTATCTTAAATAGGTACGATCTGAACAGGAATAAAGGGTATAGGTAAATAGGCTTTTTTCAATTTAGTATCTTATTCCTAATTTACGAGTACTTTAAATTCACAGCCTGCAAACCGGACGATACAAAGTGAATTGTGCCAGAACATAAATCACATAAATCAGAAATTGGACACATTCTCTCTATTTGAACGAAGTCCCTTATGAAACGATGCGGAGGGTTACCCTAACCGGGAAAAAACGTCCGTAACGTAAGATTTTTATTAGTAATCCACAAAAAATAACATATTTTTTTATCATTTTTTTTATTGCCTTTGTAGGCAGACGGGCATACGGCCCACCTGATGGTGAGTGGTTACCGTCGCCCATGGACTTCAGCAATGCCAGGGGCAGAGCCAAGCCGCTGCCTACCGCTTAATACTCTCCACAAGCCTCGTTTGAAGAAGGACATGTCATAGCGCTCGGGAAACACCGTGGAGGGGAGCTCATTCCATAGCNAGGGGCAGAGCCAAGCCGCTGCCTACCGCTTAATACTCTCCACAAGCCTCGTTTGAAGAAGGACATGTCATAGCGCTCGGGAAACACCGTGGAGGGGAGCTCATTCCATAGCCGGATAGTACGTGGCAAAAAAGATCTCTGGAAACGCACTGTGGATGACCGCAGTGGCTCCAGGTAGTATGGATGAACTCTACTCCGGTGGCGGGCGATGCGATGGTAAATTCATTCATTGACCACGATCTCAGAGAGTTCGTTTGAGCAATACACTAACTCTTATGTAAAAAACCGTGAATGAAGTGTACCACAATAAGTTCGCACGTTACCGAATTACCGTGGGTTGTTGCGAAACCTCCAATTTTATTTTCTTTATACCTCGAACAGAACCTAAAATTAATATTTTTATAATAAGGAACTTCGTTCCTATCCGGTGTCGCACGACACCACACATCTTTTTTTTAAATTTATGTTCCGTTATATGTAGATAGACTTCAAATTATTAGGTTTCAAATTAAAAGGAACGTACCTCATTAAAGGCGATATTGCCGAAATCTGTGCCATTGCAGGATAATATTTGATCACCTGGACGTAATCCTGCCTCTCTCGCAATCCCTCCTTCCCTTACAAACTGAACAAATATCCCCGGTTTCCATTCAGGTCCTTTACAAATCCTAAAAACAAGCAATTGTTCAGATTTCTTTGTCGTTCATTGAGCACACTAAGTGCGGTAAAGTAGGTTGAGTGAAACGAAAACATTTGTCTCTTATATAATATGAGATTCAAATTAATAAACATATAAAACTTGAATATGTTATAAATTAACAATTCTAAATTCTATTGACTTATGTTATAATTAAATTAAATGGAAATACTTTTTTAAATGGATTTCATTAATATATTGGTTTTATTTAGAATTGGATATATCTAGAACAACGGAATGGATAATTTATCAATAACGATGAAAAAATCCGGAAGTTATAAAAATACAGTATTAAGTAAGCAGTCCCATTCAGTAACTCACCCACAACCGAGTTTGGCTCGGGGTGGAACCAAGATTGAAAGGCGTAGATCCACAAGTCCTTCCGTGTCATGACAAAGCGTTGGAGAAGATGACACGTCGGACCCGAGCGATGCACGTTCCGACACGAATTGCCACGATAGAGCTTCGTGTCCTTTCCTGAAAAAAATAGGAACTATATTAAGCTGTCATACCCTACGTATTTTGAATTCGTCGTGGCTTTAGGCCACTACTTTTCTGAGATAATTATCTACATTTAGGTACACCCTAGTTTACAAAGATTTTATTCGTACACTTTAAATTAGTTATGGATGTCTGGTACAGACACTTCATCATCATCATCAGCCCTTAGTCGTCCACTGCTGGACATAGGCCTCTTCCAATGCACACCACTGAGCCGCCGTTTAAAGTCGTCGTGGCTTAAAGGATAAGACGTCCGGTGCATTCGTATCTAGCGATGCAACGACGGTGTTCGAATCCCGCAGGCGGATACCAATTTTTCTAATGAAATACGTACTTAACAAATGTTCACGATCGACTTCCACGGTGAAGGAATCACATTGTGTAATAAAAATTAAACCCGCAAAATTATAATTTGCGTAATTACTGGTGGTAATGTAATCTTGTGAGTCAAGCAGTAATGCGTTTCGGTTTGAAGGGTGGGGTAGCCGTTATAATTATACTGAGACCTTAGAACTTATATTTCAAGGTGGGTGGCGCATTTACGTTGTAGAGTCTATGGGCTCCAGTAACCACTTAACATCAGGTGGGCTGTGAACTCATCCACCCACTTAATCAATAATAATAAAAAAACTCAAGGGTAGAGTATGTTTTCATGTGAGGATGAACCAAGAAAATACCTTCGTAGTTTAATTCCAAAATGTCAGTGGCGGAACACTGTCGTGTTCTCTCAATTTGTCAACTTTGTTACTTCGAGTATAAACGTGTAATAATACGGAGTTGTAATAGTGACTTAACCATTCAGTATTTGAGAAAGTGTACAAGTATCGGATATTGCAACAAAACGACTGGACATTGCTTAACATGGATTATTTATAAGTAACAAAAATGATTATTGAAAAAGGAATAGCAATGTTCGAAAAAAGTTATTCAATAAACGTGTCGCTAATCCAAAAGCATATATTTCGACGGAGTTAAAGTTATGTATTTAATTGACGCTCGTAGTACACAATAAGATCTAATACAGTTTAAAGCTAAATTACCGTTACAAATTTGTTTATTTCCTTAATGTTGATGGAAATCTATCATTTCAACTTATCATTTGGTATACAATAAAATGCATTATTACAAATACTCTGTGATTAAAATGCAAAAGAAAAGGCTTTTAATTGAATGTTTCCAATTTTTTGTTGCTTACAAAATTGGAATGATGGCGACAAATATAATAATACCATTAAAATATACAGTTATGTTTCGATCTTGATACTATAGTGACCTTGTGATAGTATCTAAAAATAGTTGTAAAATGGAGTACCTAGCCTCTCGTTTGAAAATGAACATTACGCCACCTCCTCATGCTTCTATGACAAGGCGGCGGTTGCAATGTTGGACTTCGTTCCTTTTTTGAAATTAAGTATCCTAATAATAATAACGTATCAGCTACTTTCTCAGTTTTTTAGGCTATTGTCCATAACTTAAAAATATATATATAAATTGTGTAAAGCGGTTTCTTCATAATTAACTTCTACATATTTGCATTAAATGAAATATTTTGTTATTCCTTTTATGTTATCTATATAAAAATTCTACTATTACAGATACTCACTCTTTGACTGGTAACATGCCAATATCTGAAATCGAAAATGAATTACTTTATTAATAATTGTTAAAAACGAATTCAGGCCGTCTAATCAAAAAAAATAAGTACGGGCCATTATATTAAGTTTTGCTGACGACTTTAATAACCTGGGAGTGTCAAATGGCTACTAGAGCTGATACTTTGTAAGGTATTGTATAAATTTCCTACACTTCAAACCAGAACATATGACCGATTCGAAAAATACACAGAATAGCAAAAAGCCAGAATACTTTTATTAATAGTAACCCTAACGTAAGTGCTGTATTCCTGTGAAAATAAAAGACGTAAGTGCTGTAGATCGAGTTCTCGTCTCCAACCTTCAGACCTAAGTGCATGATTACTTCACGGCTGAACCGAGCAGAATGGTGGTACCAACCCGTTTTGACTTTTAGCACAAATGAAAAGTAATTTCCTCTAGTAAGATAAGATTTTGATTAAAAAATATAATAAACACGACGGATTATTCAATACAAGTCCCTTACGTAAGTTTTAGTTTTTAAATTAAGAAACTTATGTAAAAATTAACAAAATACATATTCAACAGAGTAACTTAATTACTATATTATAACTATCAATCAAAAACAGGGGCCCTGATTCTCACAAGTTGTTTACGCAACAATAATAGATAGACCAGCTGCCCACACGCTTTCACACTAACTCCAACTAAAAACTTTGCTGCCTTCTCTACAGTGACGTAACTACTGAAAACGTTCATTAATTAACATAATGTTATTCGCTGTTACATGGTTAACAATTGTTCGTGTTATTTACAAGTTCAGAGAGGGAGTTATATAACCAAAAAATGGTTGATTGATAAATAAATGTTTTAAAAGAAAAAGGCTTGAATGCGATTTACTTAATATTTTATCCTAACTATTTTATTTCGAATAGAAGATGAAATTTCTGTTACAGTTTAAGTGAAAATAATTCAAAAACTGCGGCATAGGTAACATTCCATTGTTGGGATAAACGCTTAAGTTAATTAACTTTTTTCCAAATAAGTCAAACTAATTTTTGCACTAAATCTAACTCTAAATGTTCCCAATCAGGTTGTTTAGAACATTGACACTTTTAAGAATTTGAGAGTATATCAGGTATAATAAATAACTTCTTACAAAAATTGTTCAGTGTTTTCAGTTTGCATAGTGCGAGTTTTTTAACATCTCGATCGCGTAAACTTTACTTATCGATACTGAGTGACGACCCCTGATTATATGTTTTCATAAATAAAATCATAATTACATAAAAAATAGCATAGATTTGTTTATTAGTATCTATCTGCAATTATTACGTTGAATACTTACGTCTCACTTTAATTTTGAGTCTGGATTGAGAAGCGAGGTAGTGAATTAATTCTCCGTGGACTGCATCGTCTACTCTATATCCATTAACGCTAACCAACTGGTCACCGACCTGTAATCAAACGTAAACTGTTTCTAAAATATTCCACACAGTTCAAGATACATTGAAAACTCCTTGATTTACATAAACGAACATGCATTTTGACTTATCAAAGCTAAGCATCATATTCAGAAGTAAATATTTCGTGAACAGTTAGAAATAATGAAAGGCGATTTTTTTTCCCCTTCTACCTATGCTGATAGCCTTGAGAGGCTATTTCAGCTTCTCCTTGACGTGTAGGTTGCTAACACTGGCCCTAGCAAGAGCAGTACTTCGCAGAATCTACCACCGGATCGCAAACGCGACCCACTGAGAAGATCCGACGAGAAACTCAGTGGGCTGTGTCTATGGGTTAAATTTTCAAGCTGCTTGATTTTTATTGGTAATCATTTGTGGCTCATTTCTTTTAATTGTTCGAAATTATATTTTGATAATTATTATTTTTGTATTATACAAGATAATTTGAAATTCCTTTTCCCATTTGCATAGAATTTTAGGCGTATTATAACATAAAGTTTTATTGCTCATAGATTGTAAACAATCGTTAACAATTAAGTATTGTAAGGTCAATGGCGCAACGCATTCTGAAACGTAACTATAGCAATTTTATTGTTAAAAACATAAAGAATATGTAGTCAGTTAATAACATAAGTGATAAAACAAATGTATAAGTTAAGTTTAGCATATTTTTCGTTTAAATAGTCGTGATACAGTATTTACCAGTTTTTTTCTCATTCAAATTTCAAGCTGTGTTTTGGTTGCATGGTTAGATTTCGTTTGTGCAATTCCTCTTCTGGTTTATCGGTTTCATTGTAGGCATGTTATGTAAATAAAGTTAGCTTGCGAATTCGTCTCAATAGGGACAGAAACCATGGCCTACTTTCCAATACACACCTATCACTTTTTTTTAAGAAAGTTAAGTTTTCTTTTATAAATATATTAAATTAAAATATTCAAATTCAAATTCAAAATCATTTATTTCAACTTAGATGTCAGTATAACACACTTGTTGAATGTCAAAATATAAATAACAATGTTAACTCTACCACCGGTTCCAAAAAAAGCCACAGTCCTGAGAATAATCGGCGAAACAAACTCAGCGGGCTTTTTGTTTTTTCGTTTTTTTTTTTTAAATATGTAAAAATATTTACAATAAACGAAAAAAGAAGTCAAAAAATAAAATTTAAAAAATAATAATATAATAATGAAAAAAGAAAAAGCCAGGAGCGAACGCCTCATTTAATATTTTGCTTGATAACGTTTTAGGCGACTTATATAAAGTTTTCGTTCATTTATTAATGTAAACAAACGAATTGACTTCGTTACTGATTATCTAGATCATATAATATGTATATTTATGTCCGGCTGTAAACATTCTACTGGACAAAAAACTAGTCTATTTTATCAACTTCGCTGACAAACACTTTCATCAAATTAATGGCGTGCGCAGAGAAGCCGGACAGACCAACTCGTGGCCCACATATACGGCAACTTTCGATCAAGCATTCGTTATAATCACATTTATAAATTCGTCTTTTCGCTAGTCAAGTTAAGGAACGCCAGACATTACGTCGCCCCGTCCTATGTATTTCACTTTATTTATCATCATAATAATTAACCAGTGAATCCAAGTGACTCAATTCAATAACATATTTAATATCAAATTAGTAGTTAATGATATTTATTAAAGGCGGTAACTTCACATTGCTTAAATATGAAAAACTAAGTTTTAACAGACCTGTTTTGATTGCTCAAAGTGACTCATACTGAAGAAACATATGTTATATTGTTTAACTGAATAACTAATATCTTATATGTACATAGTACACCTGCAACATTTTCAAATAATACAATTATACTCGTAATCTATTGAATATTCTTCATAAAATCAATTCGTATGAAATGGAATAAATGCATATCGTGTTTACGATGTCACAGACCATTAATCATTTACAGTTTAAATATGGCATAGATGGATATTACTGACGGGCGACATAATTATAGTCTTTTAAAGTCTTTGAAAACATGTAAGATCAAACGTGACGAAATAAATTTTCCGCTTAGAACGTTCGAGACTACAAATTCAAAACAATCAAAGAATAACACAGAGAAAGGATGTATTTCGTTGTAATTATCGATTTTTAGAAATCCTGCATATTATACTAAAATGATATTTCCGAGAACCTCATCACTTGCACACTAAGTTGATATGTCAAAACGAACGTACAACAGTTTCATCATTGACAGCTTAACTTAGGTTCAAAGGACTACATGGGTGCTTTTCTTTTTTAGCAGTTGTTATACAAGAAACACACGCGATCTCAGAGTAGAAAGTCGCTTGAACACATGCAGGAGAGCAAATTGAATGACTCACGTACCGGACACGTACAGTTCTGATTCTTGGGAGTCCGAACTATTACAAAATTGTAGTTTAATTGCATCGTTAACCTTCTCATTTCCTGCGTTTACCAAGCCGTCGAAGAATATAGGTTGTAAAACATTTTCAGTAAATGGTTACAGATATTCCGACTTAAAACAATATAGCGTATAATAATAATGATCAGCGTTGAAATAATTACAAGCTTAAATAAATGAAACAAAATAAACAACTGACTTTAGAAACATCCCTGATAGGGTTTTCTGACTTCAAACATCAGTGCGATTCCATATTCATAAAACCCTCCGTGACGCCAACATAATATTATTATCATTTGTTACACCTTTGGCTAAACCGGTTCCACGTTCGCTTCCGTGTATTACTTCCTATATTAAGAGTGACAACAGTAATAATGATAATAATAGTAACTAGCGGTAGCTATAGGGGCATAGAAGAAATCTGACTATAAGCTTGAATCGTGCTAATTATAATTTTATATATGTATTACATACTTAATATACAATTTTCGAGCGCAAACAATCAAACCGTCGACCCACCGACTAATCAAATGCTGTGGAAAATCTTCAGATCACAATACAAAACGATGACAATTGATGATTTATTGGCGCGAGGAGAATTCGTAGAAGACGCAGTCCCTGCGCAATTTTAGGCAGAGGAGAGAATTAATCTCAGAGTAGGTTTGGTCCTCTTGCGCACAATTTGAAGTGAGGTCACTTTTCTTTATTAATTTTCTTGGCAGTCAAGTAAGTAAATACCGTCGTTCATGGACGTTAGAATGCCAAGGGCATAGGCAAGCATCGTGGACAGGAGTACATACATTTACTAGTGGTAGGGCCTCTTGTGAGTCCACATGGGTAGGCACCACCACCCTGCCTAATTTTGCCGTGAAGCAGTAATGCGTCCCGGTTTGAAGGGCGGTGCAGCCGTTGTAACTATACTGGGGCCTTAGAACTTATATCTCAAGGTGGGTGGCGCATTTACGTTGTAGATGTCTAAGCGCTCCAGTAACCACTTAGCACCAGGTGCGCTGTGAGATCGTCCACCCATTTAAGCAATAAAAAATAAATAAATAAAACATTCCAGAGCCGGATGGTATGGGGCAAAAAATATCTCCGAAAACGCACTGTGGGTGAACGCAACGACCCCAAATGGTATGAACTCTGTTCGGTTGGTGGAAGGTGGGATGGTAAAAAGGAGTTGAATGGATCATCTCGAACAATACCTCAGCGCACTCCCCTGGTTTCTTGCCTAATTCACTAACACTCTAGCACTAATCCCTGAAACGGATTCCAGGCGAACAGAACAACATTTTAAAAGTGGTGATATATTAACTGGAAAGAACAACAGTTCGCCCAATCTAATATCTACTATTACCAGAAAGACATGGTGACGTCAAAGGTGAGGTCAAAGACATGACAAGACTTCGGCATGGAAGACATGCTACATTTTTAACGCGCTTCTATTAACTTCGCATTCGTTCGCTCAAGACGTCCAATGAATTTGAAATTTACACCCGTATCAAGGACCGATAACAGTACAATAAGTTTATAACCATTAGCCTGATCAGTAAGTATCAACAGGATAAAGTAAAAGACGAAATTAATTGTTAGTTCCGTTTGCTATTGAAACGTGTCTTATAGTTTTTATAAAATATATACTGTAAAAAAAGTATTTCTTCCAGGAATCCTGAATTTAACATGCGTCTAACTTAATCAAATACCTAAATAATTATACAAATATTAGTAACAAGTTCTACTAAGTGTTTTAATATTCAATAGTTAAGGACGGATGAGGAAACAAAGTAGGAGCTTCACTTCTGGAGATAGTTGACGTCGATGGTGATGAAAGAGCGGCAGCAAATGGAAGCTCACTTCTATTCTCTTGGAAAAAGAGGCAGTCGACCCTATTCTTTAATGATTCAAAATCATAACAAACTGTCACACACTTAGCTTTTTATACACTACTAGCCGTACTCGCCCGCTTCGCTGGGCATTTAAAATTAACATTATTATTTATTGTCATTATTATTAGGGAGTCCAACACTCATATAAAAATTAGCCTATTCATTAAGTACATGTATTTTCTACATGGGTGCCAAGTTTCAAGTCAATCGGATGCATGGTTTAGTAGTTATAACGGAACATCCGTAAAAACCACTGTAGATTTATATATTAGTACTAGCTGACCCGGCAGACTTCGTGGTACCTCAATCGATAAATAAAATACCTAAACTTTTGTATAAAATAAACTTAAAACAAACAAAAGGAATCCGTCCGACGGGGGACACATCAAAGGAAATACAAAATTGTTATTTTTATTTAATTCCAAGCATTTTCATATTTATCTAACTTTTAAACCTTCTCTGGACTTCCACAAATAAATCAAGACCAAAATTAAAAACAGAAGAAATGCAGGTGGTTCGCAACTATTGTTCTTACGGAGACGGCGACATTACGTGACCAGTCTAAAAGAATAGAACGCTTCTTGCGACAGCGTTTCAACTTGACTTGTTCAGACAGAAGCTAATTGTGAACTCGGTTGTTCGCACGCATTCACAAATAATTTAACCATGAGAAAATCAAGCAGCCGTACAGTCAATACAAAAACTGTCAACAACAAAGGATTCAATTTTCTCTACGTACCCATAAGTATGTTAGCGCAAAGCAAACTCGTCACAATAAGATAATGGTATCTTACCCAATCGAATCGAAAATGTAGTGTGTAAAAACACTGTATTATCTATCTATATACATATATAAAAATGAATTGCTGTTCGTTAGTCTCGCAAAAACTCGAGAACGGCTGGACCTATTTGGCTAATTTTGGTCTTGAATAATTTGTGGAAGTCCAGAGACGGTTTAAAAGGTAGATAAATATGAAAATGCTCGGAAATAAATAAAAATAACAATTTTGTTTTTCCTTTGATGTGTCCCCTTGATGTGTCTTTTATTTATCGATTGAGGCACTACGAAGTCTGCCGGGTCAGTTAGTTTGAAAATATCATTAAGAAATTTTGTTTAAGTTAGTAAGCCTGCGGTTACATAGAATAAGTTCCGAATTAAGAAGTTCCCTGTTTTATATTTGAAGTAGGTTTACAATTTAAACACAATATTAATATGTCAACTAACCTTTAGGCCCTGGAGGTGGGCTTCCGAATTAAACTCTACTTTCGAAATGAAGAAACCGGAGCCATATTCTTTCCCACCTCGTAACGAGAAACCAAATGCGGGAGTAGATCTGCGGGGGCGTAGCAACCTCAAGACTCGCACTCGGCGCTCCGTTGAAGCCACTCCCGCTGCCCGTCCCGACCCTGATGTCGTAGTTGAAGCCGTTGAAGTAGCGTACATTTTGATTTCTACAATGAGACAAGAATATAATTAAAATATGTTAAAAATGGTGGTAGGACCTCTTGTGAGTCCGCACGGGTAGGTAGCACCACCCCGCCTATTTCTGCACTGGTGGTAGGACCTCTTGTGAGTCCGTACGGGTGGGTACCACCACCCTGCCTATGTCTGCCGTGAAGCAGTAATGCGTTTCGGTTTGAAGGGCGGGGCAGCCGTTGTAACTATACTTGAGACCTTAGAACTTATATCTCAAGGTGGGTGGCGCATTTACGCTGTAGATGTCTATGGGCTCCAGTAACCACTTAACACCAGGTGGGCTGTGAGCTCGTCCACCCATATAAGCTATAAAAAAAAAAAGAACTCTAATCTTTGTTTGGTGTCAAAAGTGTGTATAACGCGCACATCCTTATTTGTTCTACTCGTGGGTCTTGGAGGGGCATGCATGCGGGCGGAGCGGCAGAGACGTCGCCGGGCAACCACGAAGTTTTTCCAAAAAGCTGTCAGTCGATATAACACCAATGAAATATATTTTACATCGTTATACTTCATAAATTATACACCTTAAACTGGGATAGTTTTAATAATTCGTTATAAGAAATCCATAGATGAGTGACTGCTGCCTTCAACTTTAAGATTGAGTCGTGCGATCGACGTCTCAATTGCATCTGCATAACGATTATTCCCTCCAAATATTTTAGTTTGCTCGTTGTAGAAATAGGTAGAATCGACCGTATTGTAACCGTAACTTAACATACCATTCCCTCAGTAATTAGATAAAATTATAAAATAAATGTTATAAATTTTTTTGATTCGGTTTTATTACACTTTATTGTTCCTTCGTCTTGAAAGTCCTTTATGTATAATTTGATGGTGCATCTGATGTGGCGGGTAGCCATCATATAACGCAAGATAATTGACAGATGCCTGAATCTGCGAATCAAAACACTGTTTGTGTTTTGAACAATTTCCTGGGAAAAGACCAAGAACTATTAGTGTTAAATGAAGTGTTAAAAATGTACAGATCAGGAATATTCACAGCTGGACAGCTGGTGTCTAGCCCTGGGAGTACAGAAGCGCAAACGATTCGAAGCGATCGCATCACGTCGGGGTCACCAGTTTTAGGAATATACGACAAAGGGAAGATCTTCCACCGAGCGGGTGATATTGCTCGGTAGACCGACGGTCCGAACGTTATTGTTCAGAACTTGTATATATGCGCTTTATCTTGAAAATGTCGTAAGCGAGATTCAGGCATCTGTCAATTATCTTGCGTTATATAATGGCTACCCGCCACACATCTTAATCGAAAAAAAAATAGCCAGGAATCGAACCATACTTGCAAGATTACTAGTAAACCGGGCCTCGTGTTATTATTAGAAGGAATAAGTGGTGCCGCTGGTCTTTCCACGTGGACATGTTGTCATTTGAAGTCGGTTAAAAAGCGTGATTTCGGTACCTTAAATAGCTCCTTAACATTCTATTATTCAAAAATATTTTCACTTTCTACGTAAATGAAGTCGCGGGTAAAATTTAGCGTTATGCCAAAATAACTATTCCACGCAGACGAAGTCGCGGGCAAAAGCTAGTAGTATTATACAATGGCAACCCCACCCTCCCAACCGAAACGCGTTACTGCTTCGCGGCACTAATAGAAAGGAGGGTTTTAGTACCCCTGTGGGCTTTTAAGATGTCCTTCTACCAGTACCACCTTTATTGCGAAAAAAATACAGGCGAACCTATCAGCCACTTTGTGATATGCGGTTATCGGAGCGTAAATATTGCAACGTCAATTCCATCATCTCATTTAGACACGACTATGAAGTCTCAATTATTGCGTCTTGTACTCGTAAGTAATAGAAGGTGTCCTACCACTCAAATCATAATGCACCACAATGCGTACTGCCTATTTAAGCTGCAAAGTGTCTTGCACTTGAAATAGGCAGTACGATTATTTGAAATATTTATCATCATATTAATCCTTTTTTATATAAAACTGTTATCCACAGCTTCGCCTAAGTAGTCAAGGAAAAGTATTACATAATTAGGTTTTTCTGAAGAATCACATAATTTTTCTAACATGTAAGTACTTTATCTCGAAGAACATTTAATTCCCACGAGAAACATTATCTTATATCCTGATACCAATTTTTTAACATTGTTAGCCTCAACCTACGTGACTCTCTCGATCTAAAACTACGACATTAAAAAAAAACATGTCAATCCTTTGCTGCGTTTCGACATGAAATAAGGACATAAATACTGATAAACAAACACACTTTCGCGTATATAATATTAGCAAGTATGGACAGCTATGGGCTCCTTTTTTAATTGCCCATGTAGGCAGACGAGCTTACGGCCCACCTGATGGTAAGTGGTTACCGTCCCTCATGCACGTCAGCAATACGTGGGACACAGCCAAGCCGTTGCCTACCGCTATCGCTCTTGTAAGCATTCCAGATCAGAACTTGAAATCTACGTAACACTTTGATTGAACATTTTAGAGCTTGATTAAGGGACAAAATCTCATGGGCACACAGTTTTTATGTATATATTTTATGTATATGTATATAGGTATATGTCCCTCAGGCTTCGACATATTGTTTTTATGTAAAACTAACATTGCAGTATTTATATAATAAGGCAAATGATTAACAGCAGGTAACCCAGAATCCCGTAAAGCTCTAATTCTCATGCTGGAACTTCCCGCCCGCTTCGATCAACCTCTGTGCCCTTGAACCAATACGCTTGACTGGTAAAGTACCTGGTACGCTACCAATACCTTCCAGCTTTTCAAAGAGTTAAATTATTATCGCGCCTCGTTTACAATCAACAGGTTCTATCGCCTGATCTGCATGTGGAGTAAACTGATCGTTTGTAATAAGGTGACACTTTAGAATCTTGTATTCACATCATAATGACGTAGGCCAGTGTGGGATCCGCTCATGCAGCCGACAGCCCCCCTCCTCCCAAATCCTTTCAAATCTTACAATCCTTTGAGGTAGCTTTTGGAGGATCTCGAACCCATAGGCAAATATTTGAAGTCAACCTCGGAACATTAATTCGCAACGATACCCAAGACATATCGGCCGATCGATCCACTCTCAGTGCAGTACGTGTAGGAAGTGTAACTAATAAAGCTGGAAAGTCCTCCGGGCGACAAGCAAGTCCGTCACAGAAAAAACAAAATTTAAACAATAACTGATATTGTATAAATGTTATTTTTTTAGGGTAGCAGTAGTATATTTTTTTCTTTTTCAGAACGGTGAAAAATACTTTACACCCTATACAGATTAAATTGTGTAAATCTGCCATAACTTCTTCATATTGGTTTATTAGAGCTTTATAGGTAGATGGTCAAATATCGATAAAACATAATTGCTGGAGCTAGATCGCATTGTGAGTTCGCACGGTAGGTACTACCATCTCGACTGTTACTGTCGCCATTCCGCAATTGGTTTTAGTTTAAAGAGTAGTTGTTGTACAATACAACTGAGACTTCGACTTCACATCCTAAGATGGACGGCACGTGGTATTTTCTGTAGACCGAAGACTACATTAAGTGCCCTGTAGGCTCGACTTCCTCTCTATAGCGATTTATAGTAAAAAATATACCTATATATTCATGATCTAAAGAAAACAAGTTTTTATCATTTACACATAATATGTTATAGAACAACAAAGAGAACAAAGCAAAAATATGTACAAATAACATAACTAAACAAGATCAAAAGCCTTGGCATTAGCATCACAATGTTTTTAAAGGTCATTTAAATGCTATTATATTCTATTGAGGCCTTTTGGAGTACATATCATAGGGGAAATCATTAACATACACCGAATTGCTGTTGATAAAAGCGTAAAAGAAATGGAAGACTACTTTCCTACTAAATGAAAATGACAGTCCTAATATTGAAGACTACAAACGAGTCAAAGCGAAAAGCAAAATTATGAGTGTGGCTAACTATTGTCTATTAACTATTGTAATTGTCTTTACAAAATAATTGTGCGTGACTAAATTCGACGTTTGTGTATCGAAATGATACAAAAAGTTACTGCATGTAAGAGATGCGGCAGTTTAGAATTAGCTTTATTTACCAAAAGACAAAGGATGTAAAATGTGGGAATGACGGAGTGGGGCGAGGGGCGAGTGCAGCCTCCTGAGGCGAATAGTGCAATGACCTTAGCCAGCGCAGCCTCTCGGCCATTATTTCGCCGCAAATGTTCGCCATATTCATTGGTATTACGTGGTATGGATGAGATTAACCTAAATTATTTTGTGTACACTGTCGCTTCATTGCCTATAAGTTCTCGACTGGGTTAGTTGGATCGTAACTGAGAAACCGACAAATCATAGTTACAAATAACAGACGTTTGCCACTATTATCAGCAATGTGAAGGCTACAAAAGGTGGAGGGCGCATGAATTTTGGTGAATATACTAAAATGAATACCTAGTTATTTTTTGAGAATTGAGAATGTGCGATATGACTCTAAGCTTAGAGTTACTGTAGCGCAGGTGGTGAGGGCGCTCAACCGTGAATCCCCACCGGTTCGGTCGACGCCTGTTCCCCGTTTTTATGTCATCCAAGAGCAACGGCCTTTTACTTAATAATACAAATTCAAAACTATCTATAACAAGAATAATCAAAATACTAAAGTAAAGCAAATAGAGCTTCAAATAAACAACTGTTTCCCAAAAATATGCATATTTCATTACTTGTTTGAAAGATACGCTGCATAGATAAGTCTGAAACAGTATTTAGGATTGCTCGTACATATTATAATTTTACTTGACTCAGTAAAAGAATACTGTCAAAAATGTTGGATCGATATCGCTAGGATACGAAACTAAAACTTTAGGGGAGACAGTTTAATTCCGAGGGGATTCTTAATATCCGGCTAAAACTGGGAAGCCTTACGCCACGTCGCGTGAACACGAATCGAATAACTTAAGCCCATTGGATGGAAAGGCCCGAAGGACAATATGCGTGTTGTTTCGTCATGAGTAAGTAAATATAACAAGAGAGTTACAAAGAGGCTTTTCAAATAAAACATGAACTAAGCAGGCTTATTCGAGACTAGGAATGCCGTAAAACAACGACCGCTGGACAAACCGGCCGTGGTGACTCTTCGCCAATTAACCGCGAGCGACCTCTGAGTCGCATGCCGGGCTGATTATTCCGTCCTACACAGCTCATAAACGAGAAAGTGATTCGAATTATTGCAATCTTTTTCAAAATGAATTCTCACTAAGTTTTATCTACTTATACATTGTCAACAGTCATGTTATGGAAACGAAAATCGGAATTATAGCTCTCAACCGATGGCTCAAACAATTTCAGATAAAACCTCATACTTTAATGAAGAGTTAAATATGGCGAACATAGTCTATTCTACACGGACGAAACGTTTGATAAATTGAAAAAATCTCGGCAAGTTAGAATTTTCAAACAGCGACACCACTTGATGAGCCTTTACGCAATCGCATCTTTGTGCACCTGTAGACTACACGCAATTTGGAGCCGTGATTGTTTTGTTTGTTGCGCTAGTTTAATATTGTGAGTATATATGTATATAAAATAATTTACAATGTAGACCACTTCAAATAAATTATAAGTGATGCATATTATTATGAAAATTCATGAGTTATTCAGATAAATACGAGAGCAAGTTAAACTATCAAAATATTCTTAATGCATACCTAATTCGAAGTCTGATTAACTTAAATTTAATGATTTATTCATTAAACATAGCTTATAAATAAAGAAGAAAGTTCAATACAGAAGGTCGGAAGAAATCTGTGGAAAAAAGTGATCGGTTCCATGAATGGATGGAAAGTGAGCTGACGAACGAGCCCGCGTAGTTTCTGTTCACACGCTCTCGTGTTAACATGAACTGATGTTGTTTTCTAAATGAATATTTATACCGTCTGTCACAGAAATCATGAGTATCCATTTTACGTAACCAGTACTTCAAAGTGATGATAAAATTGAGCACCCACTCATTTTATATTATTAATATCTCAATCTATACACATTTACGATATCTTAATCTTTAGGGGCTGGGAAAACAATTGCCTGACACTTCGGTCCTTCGGATATGTACTATCCATAACTGCTATTTATAAATATTAAGTCATTGGTAAGCGGCAATTTGACTCTGCCGCCACCATAGTCTGTTTACGATCAGCGGACCGAGAGTTCTATTGCCTACGAAAAATATAACGGTGATATAATCCACATCACACAATATAGTACATCACGTCAAACATTAATAATACCTACCTGTGCATGCGAATTCTATCTAATCTATAAATTATACCTATGGACTTACGTATATTTTTTTTTATAAAATCCAATATTCCTATATTGTAAAACTAGAATAACAATATTGAACGAAATTCAGCCTTTCTTTGCTTATTGAAGATATTATTCGTCGTGTACGACTGTTTTACCATATTTAAAACACTTGGATAAACAAATATAATTTAAAGTAAAATTAACGACATAGCTATACAATACAATAAAATTATAATTATTTTATAATGAACTGTAGAAAAACTTACTTTATTTTAAGAATGTTACTGGTGTTATGAAACAAAGGAAGCCTCATGGGAAAGAGAAGACGGAATGCGGGGTCCCGTACCGGTTTTTATCACACGCACATCTTACCTGCTCCAAGATACAATTGATAAATTTGGCATTCTAAAGTTATTACTTGTTACGGAATATTACTAGTTTGCAANTATTTTATAATGAACTGTAGAAAAACTTACTTTATTTTAAGAATGTTACTGGTGTTATGAAACAAAGGAAGCCTCATGGGAAAGAGAAGACGGAATGCGGGGTCCCGTACCGGTTTTTATCACACGCACATCTTACCTGCTCCAAGATACAATTGATAAATTTGGCATTCTAAAGTTATTACTTGTTACGGAATATTACTAGTTTGCAAACCTATTCCAAAGTTCACAAAAAGAGAGACCAGAAGGCAACAACCGTTTTCAATATTGGAAAAAACGCGCCTGATTTGATTGACAGTATCTCAATATATTAATGTATCTCAATGTATGGTAGTATAGCACTGGGGAGATAGAATTGTCTTACATTGATATCTCTCAAAGTAAATATTTATCTGATCAGTTCGGATTATCTCGTGGTGCGTTTTTCATATTATATAAAATATCCGAAAAGAAATATCCCACAATTGATCACTTTTAAGTGGTAAAAGCAAGGTAGTTATTTGCTAATATTAGTAAGTACTAATAGAAAATATTGAAATGTTATTAACCTATTAAATATTTCATTGTAATAAAAAATAATTTTAGTGATTATACATTGATTATCCAACACAAAATTAATAATAAATGGGTGGATGTGTTCTGTACTAAAGAGTCGCAAAATTATACGTTTAATTTAACTAACACCATTTAGATATTTCATCATTAAAATGAAACAACAAATATTTTGTTAAGTAGCAAAAAGTTTCATGAAAAACTCTTGTCACTGGTCTAATAAATCCAAAATGTTGAATAAAACCAACCTGTCAATCCAACTGGAAAGTTAACTTCACACTAAATCACCTCTGGTAAAAATAAAACGAAACATTATCACGTTAGACCAACAATGACCGTTAATAGAAAATATTAATCACTTGTTCCATAATTAATCAAATGAGGAATATCTATTAAATTTATTTATAATTGAATTAATACACGTTTATTGGGAAGCAGCATAGAGGATACACTATTTAGGCAGCCACGACGTTGGCTGCCCGTTGTCGAGAAGCGTAGCCGACTGTACTGAAGCAACGCATTCGAGTGGACGACCGGCGTGGCTCAACCGTGCGTTCACGATAAACGACCGACACGATTGCCACTATACATAAAGCAATTTAAGAAAGTCCTACGTCACTACTATAAAAGCCTTTACGTGGCCAGGTATTTGATTTGGTACTTGTAATTTATGTTGCTCGTTCAAGAAACAATACGTAAGTGTGCCGCCGTTTTATCATAATCCAAGGTTATTGAATCCCCATTTTGGTCATGAGTCAAGGTTATTAATAGTTAATAGTTGAGATATTGCTATTATAGGTTTTATCTATCTTGAAGAGAAGGGAAATGAAAGATTCTGAAAATAGTACATAATTTCAAAAAATGTAATAATTCTTGTAACCAATAATAGTAGTGGTAGTACAATAAAAAAACTGATAATACATATATATGCACATATATACTTTGTTTAATGCAAAAAATATTGTAATATTAAAATGTTTGATGAAATAAAACCAGCACAGTAAACACGGTTGAACATATTTTATTAATAGCACAACAACACTAATACTAATCCTTCGCACATTACAGTTATCACATCGTTACCGTTTCTATATCCTTTCTCTTGACACAAATTTCCAGTGTTATATTTAAATAATATTACCAAAGATATGCATCCTTCCTTTCTAAAATATCACCAAAAATACAGCCTTCTATAACACCTCTAAATCATTCCACACGACTCTGGCATCATTTTAATCTAATTATTTACAATAAACATCTATGTAACATCGATTTCATCAATAATTCTCTAAAATACATCAAGTTTAACAACAATATGCTAATAATTATTAGGCATTGTTAATTGTCTTGTAGAAACACGTACGTATCTGAAATTTAAAGATATTTTCCGCAACATGCCAAATGCTATGGCGATACGGTTATTGCTCGATGATTGCTTACCGTTGCTGCCCGTGACGCACGCTTTTGCATTCCCTTATTATATCAATTATAATACAGGTAAACGATGTAACATATCTATGCACCTACAGTTCTACACGCGTCACACGCGTATCGCGATTACATTCATTTTGTCAAACTGTGACTATTCCCTATAAGATAATTCCCCGGAAGGGTACAGGGGGTAGTCACGCTTAACCAGTAACTAAACAGGATCTATTTATCGAAAAAATATGAAAAATGTCTCAATAATTATATTAATCAATACATTACCCATGAATCTGCATAATGCGACTTCATTTTACTAATGACGGGATAAACCGGTTTATTTATCAAAATAAATTTATCTAAAAATTATAACAACTCAACAGAGGACAATAACTTCCCTTATTATCTATTAATCTACAATTTGAGTTAAGTACCTAAAGACGAATCTAAGTTCCTAATTCATTATCTACAAAGGTAATAATGTAGGTTCAATATTTTATTAAAAGTACGCATTTCCGAATACGATTAACTAGAAATACTTCCTGAAAGTGCACTGACCTCCTAATTATTTGAATGCTTCTACTGCCTATCTGAAGTTTTGGCTTCAAATTTTCGATTGAAATACTTTTAATGCAACTAATAAATTGCAAGAAGTTTTTGTGCAGTTTCAATAGTGTGATAAAAACCTCATTTCATGAATTTCAGTTAATAAATTTGAAATAGCGCGGATTACAAAAAAATTGGCACTGATGCTATCTATTATACGTATGACCTATTTATTTCAAAATTAAAAGCTATAACATTTTTTTGTGAAATTAAATGTTATGTGAATAGTGAAACCAGTTCACTCTCCGGTATGCCTAAATGTAAGAAAAACACCGATTGGTAGAGACTATGTAATTATGCACCATTCAGCCATCGCAAGTTATTGATGATGAAATGGTCATTACAACTGCACTAAGTTCTAAGTCAATCGGAACCATACGTGAACGCATGGAAGACGGACATTTGTCATGACGTTTGAAATTTGGAGTGGTGCGCTTGAAAGATACAGTCTCACGTTCAAGGGCCCTGAACAGAGCGAAGTAGTGCTTCACGAATGGTTTACACGAGCTAAGTCTGCTAACGTCTGTGAGCCGAGACTCTTAATGTGCAACTACCTCCATTTGACTCGATACAGAAGAGGTCCATTCGGTTCCTCCATAATCGCAGTCTCATAAATTGTTCAAAACCCCTGGGTATATTGAGAGACTTTAGTTCCCTCTGTCTTTTACGTAGTATTCCATGGGGAATGGTCTGTCATCACGTCATATCTTTCATATCATTACACCAAGTGCCACTAGAGCTTAATTTATTGGTTTAGATAGACAGACGAACTGACGGTATATTTGATACCAAGCCGCTATAAAAGCCACAAAGCATAACAAAGCTCATCCCTACTAAATGAAACCTCTGAAATCATGTTATAATGCGTTCCGACTTTATAATATAAATGAATACCTCAGCAATTGTTTATAATGGAAAAAGTTGATTATTATTTATGGTAAATACCCAATTAACTATCACTGGTTTAAAAGATCAGATAAATGAGAGCTCCTAATTCTTATAGTGTATATCTGATAACTATGCAGACGTATGTATGTACATAAAGTATAGAAATGAATATGATAAGTTTAAGAGAGTCTTGTTTTTGCTTGTAAGTTGAATGCAAACTATTCACCTTCAAATTGTATTCTATGCTTTATACAGACCCTATCGTAATAAAGATATTACGTCATAAAAAAGGACTTGTTAACAAGTGTGTTGTTTTTAAATTTAAATTCATTCAAATAAATAATTGCACAAATTGACAATATAAGAGATGATTTATTAAATCATCTGAAAATTGTTTCGAAAATATAATATTGTCTATGAAAAGTATTGTTTTACAATTAGCACCACTAATCTACTTAATTAAAAGAAAACATCCATGTACCTTGTTTCAGAAGAATTTTATATGCTATGCAACGATACACAAATCATATGTATAGGATGGACATAACAAATAATCCTAATAATATAATTATTGTTGTAAAAGACAGAGTAGGTACTAAATTTTATGTCAATTCCGTTTATAACGTGAGCAAATATGATAAATTCACTAAACAACCATTGCAAGATGCAATTAATATTCGTGCATTTCTTTGTGTTTAATCGACACATGGCATTAATATTCTTTTGTTTTGTCGTCTCGACACTTGTCGGAATTTAAATCTTTTTTAAAAATCCAAACCTTACCTATGATTAATTATTTACACTATAACTTAAATGAGCTTTATCTTATTTATTGGCAAACTGAGAAAAGTCCAAAAAAACTGTGTGCAACTTATGTTTTAGATAAATTATTTTGTACTTTAAACAGATTTTAATAAATAGTATAAACTTTAAGTAATAAAAAACTCAAATAATGAAATTAGTACTTTGATTTGAGCTTTGGTTTTAAAATGTTATTGTTTGAAACAATAATCTGCAAATGTTAGACATTAAAACTTCTATCATCTTTTTTAAATTCGTTAGGTTTTGACCCATTGTTTTTACTTGTTTCTGATTTGGAAATATTATTGGCTGAAGTCAATGCCATACTTACATTCGACGTTGGCGCTTGTGATTTTGGCGTACTCACTGAAACTGTTGATTTTATTGCTGATGGTACTTTGTTCACGTTGGTTGTTGGTATTTTCACCGAAGCAGTTTTAGCTAGTGGTGATTTTACAACATTCTTTAAGGCTGTCGAATTGTTAAGACCAGAATCCGATTTTACCGTATTAGTAACAATGGGTTTATTATTTATTGCAGCTGGAGAAGAAACACTTGTTTCTGATTTTATACACATACCGCTGCTGGTTGTTTTTGTCACAACCGTAGTATTCTGTGTGGAACTTGGTTTGGAATCTAAAGGTATTTTAGGTCTTGACGTGGAGGCAATTGGTGTTAGAATAGTCGATATAGGCGCTGTAACTGCAACGGGTTTCGTTATAATTACCGAAGAGGACTTGGGCGAAGTAGTAGAAGTGATGATTGTTGTAATTGGACTATTAATAGCGCTTGTTTTTATAATATTTTGATCATTGATGATTGAGACATTATGCTGCGTCGAACCTTTGGATGACTTTATAACATCAACAGGTACTTTCGTAGTTTCTTTTGAAGCACTGATAGTAGTAGTTTCAGTTTTTACAGATTTTGTTTTACATGGTAAATCATCAATATCTTCTACAATGGCAGTTTTCTGCCTTGGTAACTGTTTTATTGCAGACACCGTATCTTTGGATGACTTGTTGCTATAAGAAGAAATACCACATTTAACACTCTGTAAATTTTGCTTTGTTGATATATCCGTTTTATTTTCTCCAGAATTTAAAGTATTATTATTTTTTGAGTTTTTAATGTCATCTGCTTTATTCTCGCTAACATTTTTCTTTTTCATATTTTCACAATTATTACTCGACTCATTTTCCTTTGAACCTTTACCGTCTTTTTTGCCGCTTCCACCTAATAAAGTGGTCTTATTTTGTTGGGATTTATCCTCTGTTTGTGGGACAATTTTACTTTCTAGCGACAGTTTTGCTTCAGGGTTCACTGAAACATTGTTTGTCGTATTTTTAGCATATTTTAGAATGTTTTTACCGTTTGCTGCAGTTTTATCTTTAATACTATGATGTATTTTCGTATCAGATGGCTTAGTCATTATACCTTGACACACTGCATCAGGTTCGGCTTTCTGTTGTTCTTCTTTTACGTTTGTATTCGCCGTAGAAGTCATAGTTTTTAATGTATCATTGGATTTCTTATTGTTTGACATGCTTACTTCAATAGTTGATAATATTGGCACGGCTGTCATCTGTACTGGTTCCAAGTTTTTAGATTTATTATCATTATGTATTCTAGCCGTTGTAAAAATGAGTGAGCTTGGGTTATACGGAATTGACTTACATCCCTCTATTTCAACCAGTATTTGAGTTTTGGGTAATGAAGCATTTCTAGTAGGATCAAAGCTATTGAAAACATTTGTATTCATATGATTATGAAAAGGGGCCGTTTCTGTACAGTCCAGCTTATGTGGTGGAAAGTCGTTTGTGTTATTTTGAATACCAGTTAATTTCATTTTCGCGTCATTAAAAATATAATTTTTATCACGTATGATATCATTGGCACTCTCTGTTTTTGGTGCGGGAATAAATTTGGCACTTTGACTATTGTTATCTGATTCATTTCTAAGTAAGGGTTCGTTAACGGCATCATCAGATTCATGACTTAAATTCTGTACCTTTTTCTTGATAGAGTTTCTCTTAGTTTTTATTATTGACACTTCAGCCTTTTTTATCTCATTTTCTGCTGCACTCGTAACAGATGTAGAGTCACCTCCATCTTGCGATTTCTAAGGAATAAGCAAATAATATAATTAAATTAGTTGTTAGGATTTCTATACAAGTTCACGTCAAAGCTGATGGTATTGTGTGCCTGCACAGAGAAGTACAAGCGCCCTGCCTAGCTCTACTGAATGCGAAACAATCATGTGTTCCGATTTGAAGGATAAGAGACCCGTTACATACTTGGAGACTTGGAATTCGTATGTCAAGGTGGATGAAGTGTGTATTCTAGCAGCTCCAGTCAAAATTTAACATTAGGTGAGCCATGAGATCATTCGCCCAAACAAAAGCCAAGAAGATGTCTATAGGCTCCAGTAACCACTTAACACCAGGTGGGCTGTGAGCTCGTCCACCCATCTAAGCAATAAAAAAAATACAGGTATACAACGTGCTTCCGATTACTCAGCCAAAGCTAAGCCAACGACGCAGCTAAGCCAGCGACCATATAAGTCAACATATGATACTCTAGTAAAATATGTTTCCTATTTCATTATTAAGGACCACCAAATAGGGCAGTTCATAAACAATCTCATCAAATATTTATATCAAACTACATATTATTATCATTTTGAATCATTATAAAAAATACAATATTTTTAAAAAAATATCTCATAGTGTTCTCACTTTCAAAACTAATGTTACTTAGTTAATTATATTACGCCTATCTTTTTTAAAAGAACAAATTTAGGCAATTTGAACCGTAATTAGGATCTAAACAACTGTAGTGAAAAACACTGAAAGGTTCTGATACAACGCATCAGAAAAGCATTAAAGTAACAAAAAAATCTGAAACATTAGGTTTTTTGTTCGCAAAATATTAAACTCTAAAGAGCATTAAATGGATTGTAAGCATAATTGTGTTCACAGTAATATCTGAATATTGGTCTAATGAAGGGTTATAGGGTTATATTCATTTTAAATAAATAATCGGGGACAGATAAAACACAGTGACCTGATACTAAGCTATGTTTTTCCCCTTGCCTAATCGCTGATAGCCTCCAGGGGCTATTCAAGTTTCTTCTTCTTCTCAGTCGTTCACTCCTGGCGGAGTGGTCGTGGTTACGTAAGTCTTAATATTTGGTTGCGGCTTTTGAGAGGCTTCTCCATCTCTCTCTATTTGTGGCGGTACGTGTACACTTACGTACGTGTACACTTATTCAAGTTTAGCCGGTTTGATATGCGAGCTCACAAAGCTCTGTCTGAGAGAACTTGCTAACACTTGGCCTAGCAAGAGCAGTGCTTCGCTGAACCTACCTCTGGATCGGAATAGCGACCCACTGAAGACAAAGTGACACACATATTTATATAGTTATAAAATGATAAAATTGTATCACCTTCCGCTTAGCGATGAGCGGATGATGCGGGGGTCAAGCACCACGCTCCCTTAACACAGGACGTCCGTGCAGAAGCAGCACTGGCGGAGAAAGCTCTGTTTCAACGCGCAGAGTAGACAAGCACGTTGCCGTAGAACCCGCTTGACCCCATTCTTCAGTCGGTCGTGCCAGTACTCGTGCTTTCTATCAACATCAAAGGATGGCTTTTATGGAAATTTTCTTGTATAAGCTATTGGCTATTAGCATTCCTACCCCTACAAGGTTTTGCTTATTCAAGCATGCTTTACGATTATCGGTACTTTGACCTTTGATGATCTATTGAATCTTGACAATTATTACCATATTTTTATATACATATATAAATTATATATTTTGTATATTATGTACATAAATGCTATCACACTCATATTGTACGGACACATAGTGTACACTACTTCTATGTTATATTTGCAAGAAACATCAAAACAGCATATTCTGATTGCGAGCTTGCATTTGCAAGTAAAACGAACTTAATACAACGAAACTTAAAACAATTTCAAACTATCAGTCTGTATATCAGTCTTTAATTTTCATTAGATTAATCCATAACGCCACCGAACAATAAAACAATATGACAGGGTTTTTGTATCGGGCCTTTTAGCTCGGGTTTACTAACATCTTTGCGAACGCCACTAGAAGAGCTACTTGGCCAGTGCATCTAGCATTGGAACGGACTAACGACCCGCTGCGAGGATTCGGCGAAAAAGTGAACGGGCGAAAAACACCATCTTACGTATTGGTGCCGCTAAGAAATCATTTGTGGAACATTTTTAGTATAGTTTTACTTTAGACAGCCGCGCCAACATTTAAACTATGTATGTAATTACCAACCAACACACAAAATATTATATTTAATTTTAAATATTGTAAATACCACCAAAATGCTGTTGTTGAATTCTTATACTTGTTAAATGTTAACAAACCTCCATTATGGTCAGATCATCAGGGCCACTGCAAATCTGATCGACAGCCATCAGCACAACGACGACGACGGGTAGCACTCCCAATGTCCAACCCACAGCATCGGCCCACATTGGATAAACATAGTGCCCATACGAAGCAGGCTTGTACTCAATCCAGTTGAACACTAGGATGAACTGTAAATTAATTCACCTGTTAATTTATTCTAATTGATTAATTCGGCTAATTGATTAGTAACATTATGCCCCAGGGGTTCTCCAACCCACAACAAGTAGAAAATTTGTTAAAATATACATGGATCTGGTGGTAGGTACTTCTTACTGATCGTATACATATCTCCGGTATCAATAACACTGCAGAAGATCTAAACGTTGAATTTTTATATTCTTGTATGGAATCCTTATGAAATGGACAATTAATTCAGCGTTGTTTTTATTATACCCTTGGTGATACACATCACGATGTTAGCTGGTTGCCGTAGTGGCTACAGGCGAACAAGAATACTGCCACTCACTTTGACATACGAAATCTCAAAAATCTCGAAAGATCAACTATATTTTAAAAATGCTGTACTATTCTTCAAAACTATACAAACAAGTAGAGGCTTTTACCTGGTAAGGTAGAGTTTGCGTTTAGGCTTAAGGTGGTCTTGAACTACCCGCTGACTTATCATTCAAACCGTAATGCTAGAATATTATTAATACTGAATAATTCAAGTTAAATTACATACCACCAATGCAGCGGGGGTGATAATGCGCCACATAGCGCTCCAAAAGTACACCCACAATTTGGACTGACGACCAATCATACGCTGAATATCCCCGCAGAATTTCTCCGCACCATATATCCAAGCAATGAGAATGCATTCTCCAATGGCTATGATCAGGACCGACCAATTCGCNTATTATTAATACTGAATAATTCAAGTTAAATTACATACCACCAATGCAGCGGGGGTGATAATGCGCCACATAGCGCTCCAAAAGTACACCCACAATTTGGACTGACGACCAATCATACGCTGAATATCCCCGCAGAATTTCTCCGCACCATATATCCAAGCAATGAGAATGCATTCTCCAATGGCTATGATCAGGACCGACCAATTCGCAGCATATTTATCCATCAGTTGCAGCCAGTACATACCACTCTGAAATTGGTATTTATATTATTGCTCGCGAGAAGTCAAGCTCAGGGTTAGACAGAAATCGATGGAAGTGTTAAGAATATAAGGGGAAGTATTAGGTACCAGGAAGAATGACTGGAAATTAGTAGTACCTAAAGACACTGAGAATCGAATACCTAAATGTCGATAGCTAAAATAGTTGATACGAGATAATCTGGCATCTCAGCATTTGTTTTGGAATTGTAATTAATTTTGACAAATTCGCTTTAACGAATAAAAACCATAAAAATTACTTAAGTTAAGCTAAACTACTTACGTTCGTAGTAAAGATGAGTCCACCTAGATATCCAAAAACAGCAACAATAAACACTACCCAGCCTTTTTTCTGGCGGAAGTTGGGAAATCTGTCTAATATGGCAGTTGTAACGGTTTCCATCAATGCAAACTGAAATTGCAAATTGTAATTTAGTCACTATTATATTATATTTTTAATTATAGGCCATTTGTCTCATAATTAGGGGTGTAAGAAAACCAAGGCAGATTTTAATGCCATTTTAATTTATTCTGACACGAAAATTGCAAAAACCGAAAAATATTGAATAAAATCAGCTGACGTGTGGATTCAATGAACTCGTGTGACAAGGGGAGTGTCTGTTTAACTTTATATTGTGAGTTGACAAAACAGAAAAGTTATGCTTCATTTGGGAAATTAACATCGTTCTCTGTTTATAAACGTAATAAATAAATAATTTAAATAACGGAATCGACGATTCGCTTTGGCTTTGGAAACGTTTCTCTTAATTTGTATATTTTTTCTTACCTGTGAATCCAGTCCAAGGGTCAAAAGCATAACAAAAAACAAAATGGACCAAAGCGGTGAAATAGGCAGCCTTGTCACAACCTCTGGATAGACGATGAAGGCAAGTCCTGCTCCCTGATCAACCACGCGATCTACACTCACATTTAACTCATGTGCCAGAAAACCGATTACTGAGAATATTACCAAACCAGCAAAAAATGAAGTCGCTATGTTCGACACGGCCACTATTAGGGAATCTCTGTAAAAAAACAGTTATTGTTTATGACACAGTTAAATGTGATTTATTTAAGATAAGTAATTTTATATAATAAGTACATATATGGATGTTCCCAGAATTTTGTATGCACAAATTGGAGAAGCTCCTCAAATTGGTTTCATCTTGATGTGAAAGAAAGTAACTATATCATTGAATTTATGGTTCCCCTCAGTGACGTGAAATGTAAACTTATCAATCGTTAAGTCTGACAGCTTTAAAAAATACCCATGAAAATCGGTAGGTACTTTAGCTTTTGCGCGATGATCGAACAAAGTACCAGATAAAGATACATTTATAAGAAAAATTAAATGGATAGATATGAAAAATTCTGTTACATGAAATCAGTTGTACTCACATATAGCAATTGTTAGAGAATTTGTTATACGAAGAAAGTGTGATCAGACCACCCCATGCTGGACTTAATGCAAAAAATATTTGAACAGCTGCATCTCCCCATACCTACAGAAATTAAACACAATGCTTAAACTATTATATTTTTAATCGCATACATTATATATTTCATTACATTTTATTGATTTATTAGTTACCTGAGCGTTGGCTAGCTGACTAAAATCCGGTGTAAGGTAAAATAGAATACCAGTAATTGCGCCAGGTAATGTCACTCCTCGGAAAAATAGGATTACCAAAACCACATAGGGGAACAGAGCAGTAAAATAAACCACCTGTGACAAATAAACAATTTAATTCAATCAATATTTATAGTTTATAGACAGATTGGGCGCTTAAGGAAGTACTCGAGCATGCCAGAATGTAATCAAATGATCGGTGCCACCTTCGATCAACAACTATTGATGATCGAAGGGTGCCACAAACAAAACTCAAGAAAATAAGACTAATTTATAAATATCATGTATTCAGGTTTACGTTCCTTCTTCATCCATCTAGCAGTCTGTTCAAGGTGTTCACAATGGTCGTATTTGTTGACTTTTCAATATTTTTATTTTCGTATTTTCGGAACCCGTATTATGAGGAATTCATTCGGTCAATACTCAATCCTTAAAACGGTTGAAACCGGGGTCTATTAATATTTACCAAGTTACAGATTTATTAATGTCAATAATATTAACGCTTAAAATGAAAAAAACTCGTCAAGTATGTACCTTTAAGCGCTCATAATAATTATTAAAAACCATACGTGTATATGCTTAGTCTGGCCATAAATACTGCTACAATAAAAAAAAATATATATATCTATTGCAAATAACATTTATTACTTTTACAGTGTGTTAGTTTAATACATAAATATAAAACAATTTAAAGTATAAAAAGATTATTCGAAGTGGTCTCCATTGGCTGCAATACAGTCCTTTAAACGTTGAGGCCAGTTATCAATAGAAGCACGCACTCTTTCCATGGGAAAATTTTTCACTGCCAATCGTACGGATTGTTTTAGGGACTCCAAATTAGCATGGCGTTTTGAGCAAGCCGTACTCTCTAAAACTGACCATAAATCATAACCCAGCGGATTAAGATCGGGACTAGACGACCGCCAGTCTTCAGCTCTGATGAAGTCCGAAACGTTCGTTTCCAACCAAAACTGCGTAGACCGAGCTTTATGACCTGGCGCCGAGTCTTGCTAAAAATTGCATTTGGCTCCATATCTACTTTGTGTAATGCAATCACAGCGATTCGGTTCTCTTTATCAGCCCGCTCTATTTTAATATCGCAAAATATTGTACAATGTATTGGCGCCAAAATGAGAAAACTCAATGAGCAATCATTTAAAAATGACAGATTCCAAATTCAAATGTAATATTTTGTTGATTTTTAATTGTAACACTATTTATGGTCAGACTAAGTAATAATTATAAAACCTAAATAAAAATAACACAATTGAGTTTAAATTGTATTCAAGACATTGTATATTCGTATATTTTAATTTAGTGCTCACTTTATTGCTGCTCTAATTGCATTTTTCCCTACAAGTAAACTTCCTTCATCGTTTAAATAACGAACAATTAACTTGAAACTCCAGCAAAAGTGAAACTTCGGAAATGAAAATGAGGTCATAGCTTAAGTTCGTTTCTGATCGTTAAAAACAATTGTTAGCCAGTATTGAAGTTTTGTATTATTATTATTAAGTTTATTTGAAATAACGACAAAACTTAATTTGCGTACCTAATAAATAAAAATTAAAAAGATGGTGCTTAACAAACCTTGCCAGAAGACTGCACTCCTTTGCACAGGCATAAAAAGACAATCACCCAAGCAGCTAACAAACACATAGCCATTCCCAAACGAATTTCGCCCGTCTCCTCTATTCCACTCGATAAACCTAGCACTTGGTTCCTAAAAACATTTAAAGTTTTATTAAAACGTTAAATAGATTTCTTTTTTGAAAGGATGACAAATGCGACTATCTTACGTAAAGTATTCTTCAGCTGGAGGTCTTCTAAGCGCGGTTTTGGCTAAGGCCGTTATATTGTGTGAAACTGAATAGCTCTGGTTGAAACATTGTCTCAAATAGTACGTTCCGTTTTGAGCTTCGCATTCGTCTGCTTCTTCATAAGAGTAGCAATCTAGGGAAGAAAAATTCAAAGAGAAACTTAAAGTTTTTGTCATTTTGTAGAACACATTTTTGTAATTTATGTGAACGTACGTTTTGTACTCCATTCAGCCTTGCAATTTTGCCAAGGTAATTGATAGAATATACTCGAAAATGAGACAGTCATGTAAAATATTGTCCAAGCTATAATCAGATTGTAATATAGCATGACAATACTAGAAACAATGACCATGCCGTATCCAAGCCCTCGAAAGAGAGGACAGAATTTGTTGTANCACATTTTTATAATTTATGTGAACGTACGTTTTGTACTCCATTCAGCCTTGCAATTTTGCCAAGGTAATTGATAGAATATACTCGAAAATGAGACAGTCATGTAAAATATTGTCCAAGCTATAATCAGATTGTAATATAGCATGACAATACTAGAAACAATGACCATGCCGTATCCAAGCCCTCGAAAGAGAGGACAGAATTTGTTGTAAACGGCAACAGGACCCAAAGCAGCATATTGACCGAAAGACAGTTCCATAAACATCAGTGGCAGACCAGCTATCACGAGCATCACCGTAAATGGAATCAGAAAAGCACCTGTAAAATACACATTTCATTATATACATAGATCTGATCGTAGATCTAATACTAGTTTTTTATACTTATTATTGTTACCTCCGCCATTATTGTAGCAAAGATAAGGAAACCGCCACACGTTTCCTAAACCGACACTGTATCCCAATAAAGACAAAAGGAAATCAAACCGTCCCGTCCAGTTACCACGTTCCGGCTCAATTTCCTCACTTAGAGGAGCTTTTGACTTTTCTTCATCACCCTGAAATAAATAGGAACTAATAATTGGTTCTGTTTGTTACAAAAAAAACTTAAATATTATGCAGGTACATAAAATCGTGATTGAAAAATTATATTTGAATTAGGTTTTTTGCACTGCACGCAATGTAAGACAAGTAAAATTCAGCTAGCGCTCAGAGTTAACAATCTCTCACGACACTAAAGGTGTTCGCCGATTGAATTTAAAAATTCGAAGTACTTTAAAACCCATATTATAGCTGTTAAATAATCGTATTTACAATCTAGATTTATAGTCTATCATTAAATTCATTTTTGTTATAATTATTATGTAAAAGTAGCAAATACAACATAGTAATTCAATTCTTGGAACTTTTTTCAAAATTAAATGTTACGATGTGAGACTAACCAGCAGCTCAAATTATTTTAACTACAGCCATCACCTGTAGTTAATATTAAGCCATAGATAATAATATACACGGCACGCTACGTTATTTGAAGAATATTCCAACTCGTTTCGATATTGTATCTTATGATTACGAGAAAGGAAATCCGATGTCTACTAGCCCAGTAGTAGTTTTTACGTGACAATTTTACAAATAAACATATCTTCAAAGTGTGACACTACAGTTTAAACAATGGAATTTTCTCTCATCATTTCCTACAAATTTTCATGCGGAGTAGGTATGTGGAGAAAATATTCAGGTTATTCAAGTACTCGATCTATTTAGCACTTTATTTGCTTTTTACATTGTTTATTAAATTTTACTGCCGCGGATTGGTTGCTTAAGTTGATTGAATCAATTTTGTAAATAAAGAGTTGTAGGTATCCGTGTAGATTCCTCAATAACGGATTTTCGAACGAAAACGGTTTTGAAATAAAGTTTGAAGTTCTTTTGATTAGCATGTTTAAACATACATAAAAGCGAGCCTACGTTAATATAAACTAAACTTTGCCAACCCCTCTCCAATTCACCAATCAACTAGCTTCAAATGAAGTACGGTATAATATTATCTCTTTGAGTAAAGAAAGGCATGAGACGCGACGACCTTGATACCTGGACGTTTCATTTGTTCCATTTTTCAAATCGCATCACACAATTGCACCGAGGCTAACTACGCACCAGGGTGATACCTAACGTGGGAGACCACAAAACGCCCTAGCAATGTGCATCTAAATAAATCACAATTTGTGAAATTATTTAGTAAATTTTAAAACATGGTCTAGTACATGATTCTTAATATTTATTTTTTAGTTATTATTTTATATAAAACTCATTGGGAAACAGTAAAGAGCCACATTTAGAAAACTATTTTAAAACCTGTTTTATTGCTATTATTGTCATTAAGTATATAGAAAATAATAAAAATAAAAGAAAAAAAGAAATTTATTTAGTTTGTATTTAGGCGTGTAGCTTTACTAACAGTACTAGTGAGACCCGGCGAACCGCTTTTCTGTGACAGCCCTAAAACGTTCTAAATTTTTAGAAATTTATCCATTCAAGAAACCCCCTTTGTTTATTGAATTTTTGGGTGAATGAGCTCAGGGCCCATCTGATGTTAAGTCGTTAAAGGCACCAACAGGCAGCACAATGTAAATGCCATCACCAACCTTAAGACATGCTTGAAACATCATATTGCACATCGACTGTCATTATCTTCACACCCCAAAACATGACTGCTTCGTAACAGCGATAGGCAGAACAGTGGTAATTACCGGTGCATGCTTACAATAAGCCCTACCATCAAAAATTATGGAAAATAGACTATTCGCTCGGCACTTACATACGTGTGTAGCTACTTCAATAAACCAACACCAGGGCGTTTCGTAAAGTGCAAACTTCAAAGCTTCATCGCAATCGATTGACTCTACCTAACACGTCCGTGACAAAAGCAGATACAGGTAGATAAACTATAAATTTCACATTTATGTAGATTCCATTTCAAGTAAATTAAAAATCTGAAAATGTACATTTGTAATTCATTCCTGTGCATTCCTGGACAAAGTAATGTAGGGTTTAAGTAAGGTTATTACCCAAAAGTACCGAATGATGGAACCGCACATTCCTACTTTTTTTTTCAATGTAAGTTGGTAACCTTTTAGGCTATGCTACGAATGAGTAGGTGAGCTCACGGGGTTATAACCTGAGGACGTTGTTAACACCAGACCTAGCAAGGGCAGTGCTTCGCAGAATTTACCACGGAACCCATCTGTCATCGGAAACGCGACTAGAAAAACGGCGCAAAACTCAGTGTGCTGTATCTGTGGGTAAATTTACTCGCCGTACCCTTCGTCGCAAGCAAGAACGGTGACCGGGTGGATCGGGAGGATCCGAAATGACGAATTCCTACTGATAGCCGTTCTTAGCACTCGAGATTTTGAGACCGTCTCTTTGAGGTGGTGCCGACACTGATATCGTAGTATCAACGGATTCGAGTTCTCATTATCAACTGGACGATTACGAAATCGACTTAGCTATACATACATTGCGCTGCATATACCTACGTGAATGTGCATATGAATCAAATCTTGATTTAAAAAACACATGTCTTTTACAGTCATTTATGTAACAGATAAATGTTCGATGCTCATCAGCTTTCAAGTTCTCGATCTGTGCAGTGTAACGCTCCCTGTGTTGGTGTAGGTTAGTAATCAATGTGTACCAGAACAATCAATACTTTTGTTATACCTTTAAGTTTAATGCAGCTATTGTTTTTTTAATGGAACGATATTTTTACTAAAACCTTTTCAAAAAACATCCGAATCAGGGAACACGCTGTAACATAACCCATAAATGTAATACTTCTCTTTATATTAAGCTAAATAGGTCATTGCAGCTGACTGTCATCTTATGAAAGCAAATCTAATACAGCGCCTCTATAATAAAATACACCTTACAGCTAGTGTGCGCGGTACTACACTTAAAAGGAATTTCCTTAAACTATACCTACATAATGCCATTCATGTAAAATGAAATCATGATTGAATTATTAATACAAACGAATACAGATAACGTGAGTCTTAGATGATTTATAGGTCACTGGTACTCACTTCAGAAAATTTGACGTCCATGGCCGGAATACTTTTAGTGACTGCGGGAATATAGGCTGAGCTTTCCATTTTAAGTAAATCAAGAGCCAAAACTATTTGAGATCAAAGTGACGTTGAACCATTATAACGGCGGCCACGACGATGTCGATCGCACGGGGACTGCCGTACATCGCACTACACATCCCACTCACGGAGAGTGTTCAACAGTGTCCATAAATGATACAGAAAAATGGATTCCGGAATCACGACGGAATCCACGGGACTCGTACAAAGATTTTAAAGCGAAAACAAATGAGACAGCCCACGAGCTTAGTGGACATTTAAATCGAAAATACAAAACGCAGGAACGCGCAGATGTCAAGTTTCGCATCGACCGAACTCTGAATGAACATCTAGGTCAATATCAAGCCTCCGCCTCTCCTCACCCCTCACCCTTCTTTATCCCGACAGATTTTCCTCGCTTTACTGACATCAAAATAGAGATTTTTTATTCTACGCAATGATCCTGTAATCTCACATGTCTGCAACACGATGGAAATAAATGAAATGAAATCGTGCTCTGCTGTCCAAATTTATATTTGTATTAAGGAGATATAGCTAGGGGGCTAGATGTGTTTTTTTGATTATTCTAGATTATTTTCAAATATAGGTTTTTATCTTTAGTTTTGTATTTATGCAGTCAATGCTTTATTCGAAAAAAGTAGCCTGGACTTAATATTATACACGTATAACTACCTACTATTTGAAAAAAAACCTCAGGGTAAACTACTAGAAGTTTCAGATTTAAAAAAAAACTTTCAAAATCAATAAAGCCTCAGTCGCATCTAGGGCTGTTAGCGGATGCCAAACTTATTTTAACTCACGATTAAACAACTCAAAAAATATTAAACAAAATTATACTTCAGTAATAAAGTTTGTTTTCCCGCCGCATAGTTCATCTCGTCTAGTTGCACCTTAGCAATTATTTTCATTCTTTTAGGTGCTTTATTGGATGTTTGTTCCAGTATGGTAAGTAATATAAGTTATTGTGCTAACGCCAATTTTCCACCACATATTTCATAGTTTATGGATAACCATAATAGAGCTTGAGAGATTTCTTCGCCAAAAATAGCGAGTATTAGTTGCAGGGTTTAAATTAAGTAGGCAATAAGAAAACCGAAGTAAAACAAGCTGGTACATATATATTTTTATTAAACCTCTCCCTTATCTGATACAAAAAAAGGAATGATCAACAACATGGTCCCATATTAGTAAAATGACAAAGCCGTAAAAGCCTAAAAACTTTATCCAAATAAAAGTTGTAGAAGAAAAAATTAAATTTTCATACATCAAATAAATACCAACATGAAAATGTATTTATCATAGTTTCACTTATCACATTAGTATATCAAAAGTAATCAGACTACTTATTAGCAAGAAGCGTTTTGATGAGAGATTCCAGCTTCCTAGTATCAGCAGCAAATCGTCTTATACCATCTGAGAGTTTGTCAGTAGCCATGTGATCTTCATTGAGATGCCAACGAAATTCAGATTCAGTCAGTGATATCTTCTCAATGTCGTTCAAAGCAGCCAACTTTGGATCAAGAACCTTGAACAAACACAAATAAGGCATATTATTAATTAATATTTGTATCATTTCATAAAAATAAATAAGCAGACATTGTTTTCTATTACATATTTTTTTTATTGCTTAGATGGACGGACGAGCTCACAGCCCACCTGGTGTTAAGTGATTACTGAAGCCCATAGAAATCCACAACGTAAATGCGCCACGCACCTTGAGATATAAGTTCTAAGGTCTCAAGTATTGCCTTGACTGCCCTACCCTTCAGACCGAAACGCATTACTGCTTCACGGCAGAAATAGGCAGGGCGGTGGTACCTACCCGCACAGACTCACAAGAGGTCCTACCACCAGTAATTACGCAAATTATAATTTTGTTTGTATATTATATACTATGTATGTAAGTATATTTGTATATGATAGTCTAAACATTGTTTTCTCAAAATTTCCCAATTTATTTCATTTATATTTCACTGGATTTTTTATTGCCCTAGCAGGCAGACGATATACTCATACGGTAACAACTCACCTGATGGTGAGTTGTCACTCATGGAGGTCAGCAATGCCAGGGACTGAACCAAGCCGCTGCGTGCCGTTAAGTAATCTCCACAAACCACGTTTGAAGAAGGACGGGAGGGAAGGGAGTTCTTTCCAAAGCTGGATGGTACGTGGCAAAAAAGAACTACTTTTTACAATATTTTCATTAAAAATCTTATTTTGTAACAAATAGAAGGTCTATTTTTTAAAAGACTACAAAAGATAGGTGATCGCCTGTGACGGTGTCTACGACATAAGCGACTACTGCTTAGTGCTCCAGAGTGAGAAGCCTCACAATGAACGGTGTCACAAATGACGACTTTCTGCACCAGACCCTTAATCCAGTTTTTGGTCTCTGTAGCGAATGCTTCTTATCATAAGGTTAAGCTTATCGGTATCAAACAGTTCAACGACACAACTATTAATGTCACTTGGCAGCAGTGTTGTGGTTCTACCTTTATGAGGTTCTCATCATGAGAACTGATCATATCAACCAACACTGTTCAACACGCCGATTGATCTATTAGATCTATTATCACATCAGGCACATTGGCGACCTTAGCCCTATCCGTACTGATAAATCGGTCCCAGTAGATTACTAATTATTTTTCACGCATCGCCAACGGTCAACAAGTCAACGGGACAGCATCAGGAACGTTAATTTACTCAATTTGATTAAAAAATGACTCATGATTCAGTGATACCTACAGAGTGTCCCATAAGTGTAATGTTCCAAAATTTTAAAATACAAGCCAAAAGAAAATTAACCTTTTCTGTTTGTTTTTTGTAGCTAATAACGAACTTTGGTTTTGTCAATTAAGTGTCCTGTTTCTCCACCTTTACAAGAAAATTGTAAATAGAAAAAGCGTAGAGATAAATAAATACATAAAATAAATATAAATCTTGTGATGCGAGAGATTATGATCTTATTTCGACCAAGGGGAGAGCAAAACTACAATAGTTTCACATTAATCTTCATTTTATGACTTACCTTTTTCAGTGGCTTGTCACTGCTAGCTAATTCTTGCAGTAATTTGGGACTGATTGTCAGCAAATCACAGCCGGCTAATTCACGTATTTCCCCGGTATTACGGAAAGATGCACCCATTACTTGGGTCTTGTAACCAAACTTCTTGTAATAGTTATAAATTTTTGTCACGGAAACTACTCCGGGGTCTTCCTTGCCCTCATAAGTCTTCTTTGTATGTTCAACATACCTGGAAAAGATAATTTTTAAAACTTAGTGTATGATGATGATGATGTCTGTGATCTGTCTGATGATGTGAATACTATCAAAAGTCTACTTTATTTCTTTATAAATATTTGTAAGTGTAAGTGGCGACAAGCTCTTAAAACAATTCCCTTGCTGTGGCAGCAATAACAAAAATTTTGATACAGAAACTAAGTCCAAGTTGTTAATTTTATTTTACAAAAGTTCCATGTTAATTTAACAACATAAAAACCTTTCAAAAGTTTCAGGCTCGTTCGATGATAATGTAGATCTGAATATTAATTCAAGTCTTAGAAATCAAGTCATAAATTGATGTTTATTTGGAGCGTGGTGTCAGTAGATGATGTTGCATTGGCGATGTTTGTATTTGTACTTCAACTTTTGCCATCGGGCTGCTCCACCTTCCCCCTCTTCCACAGCCCCATCACCCTCTCCGGTCAATCTATATCCTAGCCTGAAGGTCCAGTATTTGGGAGTTACCTTCGATAGGTTCATTACTTTCCCTATCATCAGTAAGGCGAGTAAAATATCCCTTTGTAATAAACGGAGACTTTACAAAATATGCATTAACCTCAAGATCACTTGTGCCAGAGCGGTGTTCTCTCAAACAGCCCGCACTCCCACAGACTCCTCAATTTTATATGCTATCTGAGTAACCTAATACGTAAAGGTCTTCACGACAATAGATGTCTCAAATCCCATACATAAGTATATGTCGTCAGCGTTGGAGCTCTAATTCACGACACGATAACGGCCTTATCGTGCCGCCGCTATCTACACCCCTGACCCGGCTCACGGAGCAGCCAGCCGCCGTCGACGCCGCAAACACGTCCTGATGAATCCTCTTGATCCAGTCTGTGCTCTTGGATGCTTATAGTTCTAATGCTAGCAGCAGCCATGGCACAAGTCACCGTACTCGTCCAAGTGTTCGGCATGACAGATAGCCCTTTAAGTTTCTCGTCACAACTTCTCAGCGGGTCGCGATTCCGATCCCGTACTAGGTGCACCCGCAAAGTAGTTGGTCTTGAGCTGTTACGTATTGTTAGGGTATTTGTTAGCAAGCCTAACTCCTCCCAAATGAGACCGCCACCTCTCCACCCATCGTGGTAAATTAGAAAACCCATATGGGCGAGCAAGCAATACTAACAAAAGAAAAAAGAAAAAAAAAAGCAACAAATATCAATCAGGTTTTAAACTAAAAAACATGTGATGAAATGATTATTGAAATTAGTTTTTTTTCTTTGTTATTCTATCTTCATGTTTGTATACATAACAATGGAATATACTGCGACAGCAAATAAAGACTTGTTGAAAAACAACTCTACTAAGAAGAGATATTACAATGATCATTAATACAATGAGAGCAACTTTTGTAGCATTCAAATTGGGGAATAATATTAGTAGATATAAATATAATTAAAAATATCATACCAATCCAATATACGACCAACAAATGGTGATATTAGTGTAACATTTGCTTCAGCACAGGCAATAGCTTGGTACAAAGAGAACAACAGTGTAAGATTACAATGGATTCCATGCTTCTTCTCCAACTCTCTGTGTAGTAACAGAAAAATAATGTAAAATTATATTTGGGTAGAAAAAAATGCTCTTGTATGTCTACAGCTTTTGATGGTAAGTGATATTTCATACATAAATTTTATGAACAATGTATGCTCAAGAATGCTCAAGCCTCTTATCATTATAAAGATATTGACAGATTGGACCTGAACTGGGTCACAAAATTAGGAACACTATACAAACTCAATTGAGTGTTTTTATAAATAGCTTCAGTGCATAAAATACGAATATCTAATCTTTCAAATTTTATAACCAGAATAAATAAATTTCATAACTCAATTACAACAACTTTAGATTGATATTATTTGCTGTCAGTGGGTCAAGGTCATCATGAGAATATTCAATGTGTATCAATTTGAATGATTTCTTAAATAACTTTTTTTTTAGTTAAATAATGAGATACAACAACAACAGTTGTAAGTAATAAGAAGTAAGATGTTAGTAGTGACATTCACACTGATTTCTATGGGTTTGAACATAACAGGTTATAATATAATGTTCAGGTGTTCCTGAATACCATCAATATAATATATGTTTTTATCTATCTGTTTGTTAATTTGAGCATTTGAAATTCAAATTTAGCAAGAGATAAATTAGACATTGATATCTAATTTAACTGGCAATGATAGCAGATCGAATGATAAGATCCATTGAGTTCCAATTTTTATGAACCTAATAAATTTCATGAAATCGTCATAATCAATTTGCTATATTATCATGTTTTTAAAGGCTGTTCAACAATTAAAAGAAATATGTCGATTATTTTAATTATTGTCTACATGGATATACTGCAAAGGATGCAAAGAAAATGCTACCAGAACAATAAGAACCTGCTATCGTTACGTGATAGAAAACTATCTTGACTTATTGGATTTACAATATTATATTACAAAAGAGACTTGAAGTCGTCGTGACCTAAAGGACGTTTTATCGTCCGGTGCATTCGTGTTGAGCGATGCACCTGTGTTCGAATCCCAGGCGGGTACCAATTTTTCTAATGAAATACGTACTCAAAAATGTTCACGATTGACTTCCACGGTAAAGGAATAACATCGTGTAATGAAAATCAAATCGGCTAAATTATAATTATAATATATTATAAACACCCTGGATATAAAAGTATGAATCTTCAATAAAAAAATAAAAACACTGAGTTTAAAAAAATGTTACAAAAGGGACCCTTAAAACTGCAATTTCATACTTTTTATACTTACTTGGCTGCTTGAATTCCTTCCCAAGTGGAGGCCAATTTAATTAAAATTCTTTCTTTTTTAATACCATGTTCAGCAAATAAATTGATAAATTTAATTGCTTTTGCTATGCTTGCATCCTTATCAAATGATAACCTACAAGAAGAGAGCAAATAACTGATTACAATGATAATAGTTAAATTAAAATTGTCGCAAAATTATCTATTTATTTCAGTTGTTTTAAACCAAATCTTTAAAAAAACAAAAAATTCAAGTTCTAATATGAGAATTTTTTTGGATTAAATTAGTAACATTTAAAAATATCCATCTATGTCAGAGGACTAAATTAAAGGTTATATTTGACATTCCAAACAACTTTAACATTGTGGAGTATAAATGAAGCAACAGATTTTATGTGCCAGTTGTGTGCATTTTCTAATAATAAATCAATAAAATGTAACACATAATACCGTAAAATTACTTTACACTTACCTTGCATCAACTTCCACTGATACTCGACCAGGAATAATTTTTAATATTTCACACCCAAAAAGCACACTCAGCATATCCAAAGTTTCAGCCACTTGTTCTTCAATGGAGCTGAAACATTTTTGCATTTTATTTTCAACTTTTGATTTTATTTATTTAAGTTTAACTTGTCTAATTTATAGAAATTTTATAGCAACTCTGTATTGTAATCAAAGTTTTAAATATGCATATTTATCAGCAGTCCAAATACGAATACTCCAGTTATTCGGGCACATCACTCGTTATGACTCCATTGAGCGGTTGGTGGTGCAAGGGAAAATCAAGGGCAAAAGATCTCGCGGACGATCTCCAACATGATGGACCGACCTCATAAAATCGGTGAATCACGCCAACATAAATGATTGCCCTCACTCTGCGAAACATCGTGCCACATGGCGTCGCAACGTGAGAGCCTCGGTATCGCAGGATCCGACTGATGCATAACCACGTCCACTCTGTCAAGAGTGTACGAATAGGGAAGAAAAAAATTGATGTATAACACATCTGTATTTCTTTATTCTTTATATGCTTTTTTTTATTATTATTTTAATATATGACTAACTTAGTGTAAAGTAAAAATTACTAATTATCTTATAATAAATCCTGATCTTATAGAATGACCGATTGAAAAAATATTTTTCAAATATGAATTCAGGTTTATTAAACCAATTCAAAATTATACTGAAAAACTACAAAAATTCTTAAAATTTTTCAAATTTTATTAGATTATCAAGTTTTACTTAAGAGACTATCAATAGTTCACCAACCTTCCATTATCCTTTCCATATTTAATAGCTTTATCAAGAATGTGCTGATACTGTTCCATACCAGCAGCAGAGAGTATTAAGCTTGGATTTGTAGTAGCATCTGTAGGCTTATATTCCTTCATGGCTGAAAATTTTTTATTAAGAAATTTAATTGAGATTACTTTATTAAAAAAGTCAACAATTTTGTATCTGACAATTTTCAGCATTATAATTTCACTTATTCATATATTGATGCTGTCTCCACAAAAAAAATTGTTTAACAATGATCAATGATTAGGAGGTTTACAAATCGTTATTACCCTCAAAATCTCCAGTATCTGCCACAACAGTGGAATGTTGTTTAAGTTGATCTAAGGCACTCATTTTCGTCCGTTTCGTATCAGGTTCACCGCTCATACTGACTAATGAAATATTGCACTGGCTGTAAGTTAGTAATACAAACTTAATTAGCTTGAAATTGTAAGTGCAATGCAATCCCGCTCACGCTACGTCACATTACTGTATTCAAGGTGACCTTTTAAATTTTAAAGATTCAAGACATCAATACTAAGCACTATACGAAGCGTGTTAAATGTTTTGAATATTACCTACTAAATTAATTAAATAAACGAATGAGATAAACAAAATTGGGTGTTAAAAACAATTTAGACTAATTTTAATTACTTATGATAATAAACTTGATATTTTCCCTTATCTGATAAATTACATTAATATTATTTATCAAAAATCGTGATTGATTGAATAACCTTAAAATATGCTTGTAATTTATCCCCTTTTTTTTTTTAAGAGATTTTATGACCTGGTAACTAAGACCTTTAAGTCATGTCTTATTTTACTTTAAATTCTTAATTTTATGAAAAATGATAATATGGAGTGAAGAAATGAAGATGATTAATTTGAGACATTAATCAACTGGGATGAAATTTAATGAAACGATATGATATGGGATGAAATATAATCGCAGTAAAATGGTGGTCATTTACTGAGATTTTTTCAGTGGACTTTTTGGAGGAACCCGAGAAGTTACGTCCAGCAGCTTTGTTTCATTTTCCCACATTTGTGCACTTTCACAGATATTAAACGGTTAATAAACCACCATTATTACACATTTAAACCTGAAGAAACACTAAATAGACCACACTTGGACTTTTAACCCAAGCGCCCGATCCCTTCCGAGGTCAGAATCCAGATGAGGTAAAGGGGTTACCGCGGTGAACACTACAACCAGACGGCACAGCTCACCCAAGGACGCCCGGCCGACAGAGTCTTCGAGGCAAATCGAAAGCTCTGAAACGTCGGTCGTCTCGGTGCGGCAGTCCGTCAGGCCGCCCAGACTGTGCTACTGGTGTCCCGGAATACCCCGCTGGAACCAGCCTGCCGGGTCAGGACGCGATAAACCACCAACCGGCTACTATTTTAATCTTGAAGATATTTCTCCTTAGAAGCGCGCTAGAGTGCTGGTAGCGCACCGCGCGGCCTCGACCCCCCCAGGTCGCCCCTGGACCTTCACTGGAGGGATGCCGATACTTACAGGGGCCTGAACGTACGCTCGTATTGTCTCTTCCGGCCCCCGGATCGACGGCGACGAATCAGTGCGGAAAGGGAAGGGAAGGGAAGGGAAGGCTCTCCCACCCTCGTTCCGCTGCCTCCTTCTGCGATACCATATCACAGTCGCGGACTCGAAGAAGTCAAGCATCACATTCCAGGACGCTTCGCTACCGAGCATCATAGCCACGACGCGTGGCAGCGATAGGTCCTCTCTCATGAAAAGGAAATGGAACCTATTTATCAAGTTTTTTTTAAATAATTCCAAGTCTAAATATGAAATATAGTAACTTTACAGTAAAATAGACCTCAAAAGCGTAATAGCTCAAAGGCAGTGTGTGTCCTGGATTGGAATCGCTACTCGTTAAAAAGATCCAGCGAGAAACTAAGTGGATTAGTGCTATGGTACCTCTAACTCTCACGTACACATACGAACTTGCAACGAATACGGTTACGTTGCTTTTGCTTCTACTAGCGTTTAAACTAGTAGTAATAGTATCCACAGCACGTTGGACGAGCTGGGGTATAACAACTGCTATTCAACCAATATGGAGAATTAGAATAGACGTATGGAACAAAACAACCGAGATGTTATTAAAAATAATATCGAGTGATATGGGGAAAGATCAGGAAGGGTCAATAGTCTTCCCGAACAATTGCTTATGTTGTCAATTCTAGAGCCCGTAGAAATGCGAGCGGATAACGTATCTTGGCAAAGTTTCAAGTTTATTTATTTATTAAAACATCTTATCAGCCCACAGACGTCCGCTGCTGGACATAGGCCTCCCCGAAGCCTCGCCACAAAGACTGATCCTGCGCTGCCTGCATCCAGCGGATCCACGCGAATCTCAATAGATCGTCGATTCATCTTGTAGGAGGCCTACCCACGCTACATCTTCCAGTAAGCGGTCGCCACTCAAGAACTTTCTTAAATTAAACATGAAAATACATATTTTATGCACAAATTCAAGATGTTTTATTTTGGTTTAAATTTAAATAAAAAACAGTCGACAAAAGCGGCTCATCTAGTACAAAATCTGACTTAGCACAAACAATCCGGGCGGACTGACTTAAAGTAATTCAGCCGAATCGAGAACCTCGTCCTTTTTTTAAAGTCGGTTTATAAAAATTGGCTGTCTTTAATCTTTTTCATACACCTAACACTACGAAACAGCCGAAAATCTGAGAGTGGAATTAATGTATGTATGTATGCTGAATGAATTAACGCTTCCCAAACATTTTCTTTTCAACTTTCTCATTTTTTTGACATGTTCTTTTCATAGGTTTACCTTACATTTCGTAGGTAAATCTGACCAATATGTGTATTTTAGCTTGCATAGGTAAGAGAGCCTAGTTACAATCCGATGTACAGACTTAATATCCATACAATTATTGTATTGACTTGTTTCGAATATTATGTGATACGCAACATAGCACACACCTCAAACGTGTGCTTGGTTCAAGCAGTGTCGTGTCTTTGGATGCCAAAAATTACTAATCCTATAAATCCTAGGAATTATCACCTCCACCTTTTTACAAATTTACAAAAAATTTTAGAGCCCATGCAAAAAACACAATTTCGCTTAAGGGCAGTTTTTTTATTTTGCCAGCAAAATTGGCAATTATCAGGAATGCTTTGTCCAACTACGTCTGAGTATGTAGGCAAAGAGTGTATAATCACTACGTTATATATGTCCTCCGTGCGTCGTATTCCTCAGTTCTGAGGGTCGCGACCTTTACTGAGCACTTTTGTCAGGACTATGTTCTTCCATTCACTTCTGTCCTCCGCGCAGTGGATAGCGACATTGATGCTGGATTCTAAAGTCGTCTTAATCTGATCGGACCAGCGCATGAGACTACGCCCCCTATGCCTCTTTCCTTCCACTTTGCCGGTGATGAGAAGTCTTTCGAGATTGTCACCCTTTTTTCTCGCAACGTGACCGAAAAGCTCTAAAATTCTACGTAGGCAAATGGTGGAGAGTCTTAAGGAGACGCCTAGTTCTTCCAGGATTGATGCGTTTGTCCGATGCGCCGTCCAGGGAATCCGCAATCTTCGAATCTCAGGCTCCCACGATCCAGTATTTGCAATCATGGAGCCCAGGTATATGAATCTTTCTGTTGTTTCAAGATGCAGTGACCCCGTGTGCTCCAGTTGTTCATGCGGTCTATTACCATCACTTTTGTATTGGATCGGTTAATGGCAAGACCAAGTTCGAGGCTAATTTTTTCAAGCTTGCTCATGAGAGCAGCCATCTCGCTTTCATTAGCCGCGAGAAGAGTGGTGTCGTCGGCGTAGGTTGGTCAATTTTACTCCACCAATGGTAACTCCACCATCCCAGCCTTCACAAGTCCGTCTCATGATATACTCTCCATAGATATTGAAAAGGACTGGAGATAATATGCAGCCTTGCCTTACGCCCTTCCTAAATTTACGTTATATATGTAGAATTACTTTTTATAGTATCTATGGAGTAACATGGATCAATTCAAGACAAAATCTTTAAAAAAATTGCCTACATACATTTATTTTTAAAATTTGAAATGCCGAACTGAGATCGATTAGGCGAATAATCGGTGCCAAAAAAGGTTAATTTAAATCGATATCAATGAATTCATGAAAATTTGTTATATGCAAATGAAAATCGATTCTAAGTTTTTTATGTTCTGGATAGAATGTAGAATTTTGCTGAAAACTATCTTGGGTTCAGATGTTTAATTTGTTGTTAAATTAATTGAAACACCCAGAAAAATGTATATAATTACATTATCACTTTATCAACCACAAACTCGATAGATGATGATCTTAGGTTGGTCTGTCTGTATAAAAACGGTACGCAACCGAGCCACGTTCATACTAGAACGCTCCGTTCGATGATTTGTAAGCGAAGTAAATTGTCCCTTCGTAATAAGGTGACACTCAACAAAACTTGCATACGCCTGGTTATGAACTATGCAAGTCTAGTGCTCGCACACGCAGCCCGCACTAATTTAAAACCCCTTCAAATCATTCAATCCTGTTTTCACAAGATAGCCGTCGAAGGACCGTGGTTCATGTAGAACGTGGGTCTCCACGACGATCTGGAGCTTGAGTTCATCAGTAAGTTTCAGTCGGCATCAGTGCGTCACTTTGAGATGGTGGCACGACACGAAAACTCTCTTGTTTTGGCCACCGGTAACCGGTGATCAAATGGTAAACAGTCGACGTGGCCTTAAGCACGTCATTTCGGATCCTCCCGAGCCACTAACGGTGCTTTTAGGTATCTCAAGCACCAGCCACCGTTCTCATCGAACCCGTCGCTTGTAGGGTTCGGCGAGTAAATTAGCAGACACAGCGCACTGAGTTTCTCGCCAGATCTCCTCAGTGGGTCGCGTTTCCGATCTGGTGGTAGATTCTGCGAAGCACTGCTCTTGCTAGGGCTATTGTTAGCAATGTGCACAGGTTAGAGCCCCTTGAGCTCACCTACTCGTTGGGTTACGTTGGCATAGCCTCTAAAAGCTACCAGCTTGTAAGAAAAAAGTACAAGCTAACTGATTACTCTTTAATATTACATATTATCTCGTATGTATTGCTTTCACATCAATAAAAGCCCAAACCACCGATATCAATTTGTAAAGCGATATTATTGACCTCGATTTTTTCGATTCCTCAAACTTTGAAATGTATAAATTTAATATAGTTTTTGGGGAAAAAAGCCATGAGACTTGGTCCCATTCTGTTTTGGGGGCGTCAAATCATTAGAGGGCCCTCATCTCTGTTGATTAATCTGGTTGCGGCCTATGTATTAGACACTATAGTCTAACACAACATTTCTCATACGCGGTGCGCAACAGAGCTCGGTACTGGCAAACTTTACTCCAGGCTTTGGCGTAATTTATTAAATGAAACACGTTGTTTGTGATCTGAGGTGATACTCATAATTATTACAATCCTATCATAGACAAGTTTCATACTTCAGTGAAGCCTATCCATCTTGCCAGACAAAATTGGCACTAGCTATCATAAGAGCAGGAAGTTTGTCTTTGAGGTGAAGTTCGATAAGTTCAAAATCTTATTTTCCCATTGATCTTAGCAAATATCGATGGTCATCGTAGTGGTGTGGCTGTTGGCACTTTACAAAGTACTGGGCCATAATTACTAATTGATAGACTTTTGAGTTTGCACAGCTATAGAATATATACAACAATATAAATAAATACTAACGTTTAGTGCGGTAGGGTCCTAAAACGTCCTTGGGCCCGCGGTCTGCTCCTGTGGGATGTGATCCTGTATGTGGGATTTGACCAAATGGCAAATGGCAGATGGTCAAATCCCACATACCACGCGCACCTTCTTAGGCGCGGAGACCTCGTAGGAGGCTCGGTCAGCGGCCCGGGAAAAAACCCAGCTGGGCTAGGGACCTGATACAGAAGGCAATTACCCTCGATACTGCGCGTATTGTGAGGAGATTTTAATTCTAGAATCCTAACCACTGGTGGCTTGTGTCGTAGACACCGCCTTCAGCGGCAATCTATTTTTATATAGTGTTTTTTATAAATTGTACCTTTAACTTCTTTTTTTTAAATAATGTATAATAAATAAGGAAGTACGGAAGAGGCGTCAGAAACCTTGGGGATCAAATACCCCCTAAAATGCTGGTGCAGAAGGCAACGGGAAACCACTGCACTAATTTCCCACGAGAGTCATGAGCAGGTCGTATCCGACTGATGCATGACCTCGACCACTCTGTCAAGAGCGTACAAATAGGAAGAAAGAAGAAGAAGATAATAAATAAGATTTTGAATAAATATAGATTATAATAATTAAGTAATTTAAGAATCATAATTATTGACAATCGACATATTTTTGAAATCGATTTCGTAAAATAATATCGATTTTCATTTCAACTTCTAGAAAATTCGTGTAAGATCGACGAAGTGCAATGCGGTGACAAACCGGCGTTCGACGTTTTTGTGAACAATTTAACGATAGGTAGTTATATCAAGCAATTGTCAACCTCAGCAACGTGTTTTTGAAATAACTCAATTTATGAGCAAATACTTGTAATTGAGTATTTTTTCAGTGAAATAAGAAAATTTGTCTATCACAATGGCTGCTATGTCCGTCATTGGAATTGATTTTGGTAATGAATCCTGCTATATTGCTGTGGCTAAAGCAGGTGGGATAGAGACAATAGCCAATGATTACAGTCTTCGAGGGACACCGTATGTATTATATTCATTAAATATATTAAACATGCTCTAACCAAACCATAAAAATGTATTTTTGAAGGTTTTTTCGGAAAGTTGATTTATTGCATGTCATACAATAGACCCTATTTCGACATTTCATTACGTGCTTTTTTTTTCATAATACCTTTTTTAAATACTGCTTTCTTTATCATTTTTAAGATATGAAAAATGATTATTTATCACATATCATTAGTGCAAATCCAAAGAAACATAGATTTTAAAATTTCAGGCCCCAGGTCTGATCTATTCAGGAATAAAGTTTATGAAATAAAGGATGCTTCCTTTTTCACCAATGTGAACCATATACCACTTAAACACTAACATAAATTATATATCTATCATTACAACACATATAAAATATAGAATCTAATACAGGTCAGGGTCAAACACCGCACTAGTAATTTGAGTAATCAATCAATATTTCAGTAACACTGTAGTGTCCACAAGTGCTTACTGTTGACCTGCACAGTAGTGGTGGTGTCCTCATTTTATTTTGTTCCCTAATTGTCTTTAATTTCTATATTTAGTTTCTTTCTGATTTCTCTGTTTTGTCATTTATCAAATGAGCTTTGAAAAGAACCCTGCCTGGCCGTTGGTTGGCTGAACCTGTACTAGTATTATTGCTGATGTCTATGAAAAAAGTAGCCGTAAAACATTGTAACTAAAATATTTGACATCTAAATTAAAAACCCTAAATTGAAAAAAAAAAGAAATTGGTTAAGCTTCATTTATTTAAAAAAAAGGTCACATAAATTGATTCTTGTCTGTGATAATAAATATTTTTTAGAGCTTTAATTTAATTAGGTTTTATTCTCTTCTTGTTATTTCCCAGAAACAACTAGGAAGTTAATCTTGAAAAAAATTTTATTGTGTATGTAATGTAAAAGTTAATTTATTTTTAGATCATGTGTTGCTTTTTCACAAAAGAATCGAATATTGGGTGTGGCAGCCAAGAACCAAATGGTGACCAATATGAAGAATACTGTATTTGGTTTCAAACGACTTCTGGGAAGAAAATTTTCAGACCCTCTTGTTCAAAAAGAATTAAAACATTTCCCTTTCAAGGTTGAACAGAGGTCTGATGGCGGTATTGGAATAAGAGTCAACTACCTCAATGAAGACAATGTCTTTACCCCTGAGCAGGTATGTATATTCTATAGAGTTTGATAATCCGTTTTGAGCTGTCACTTGTATTTATTACCCAAAATGACAAAAGTACTAAATTATTATGAGATATACAAAACATACCATAAAACAATACAACAATTGATAGATTTATGAATTAAAGACTTCTGGAAAAGGCTGGTGGAACACTTTGTAGTTTCTGGAAATGAAGAAATAATTGAAACGAGAGAGCTTGAGATCAGACCCGTACACGTCCATATGGACACTGATAATGTTTTTCTCTCTTAATTCACCATTATTTAAGTGTTACTAATATTAGTTTTCTTTACAGATAACAGCCATGTTGTTGACAAAACTAAAAGATGTTGCAGCAACAGCTTTACAGACTCAAATCAACGACTGTGTGATATCTGTTCCCAGCTATTTCACAAATGCTGAAAGAAATGCTCTTTTGAATGCCGCTGGTATTGCTGGTTAGTACTTTTTTATGAAGAAGTATTCAAAATGGACTTTATATTTATTTATTTATATACTTATGACCTGCATGTTTTTTTTGTCATATCAGGTCTTAATGTATTGCGCCTCATGAACGAGACAACTGCGACAGCTTTAACTTATGGAATTTATAAACAAGATCTTCCTGGTGCTGAAGAGAAACCACGAAATGTTGTCTTTGTCGACTTTGGTCACAGTTCTTTACAGGTAAATATTTGATATACATAATACAATTAGCACAAAAAAAAAACAATAACATAAATGTGTAAATATACACATAGTCAAACTTCAAATTGAAATCTATTCAGCCTCCTTGTTGGGAATAATTTTATTATTAATCTTATGAGCAATGATGACTGGTGATTTTTGTTTTTGGAGCAACCAACACTTTTAGATGATATTTTATATAAATTTTAAACCTTAATTACTTAATTTAAACCAAATTTTAATAATTTCCCAGGTTTCAGCTTGTGCTTTCAATAAGGGTAAGCTGCGTATTCTCGCTACTGCAACCGATGCTCAGTGCGGTGGACGAGACATTGACATGGCTTTAGCTGATTACTTCACTCAAGATTTTGTGACAAGATATAAATTAGACGCCAGAAAAAATCAAAGGTAAATTGATAATCTTACTAACATGCTTTTTATTACTGTGTGTGACCTGTAACTATCTGTCTAGAATGAATACTTGAATGAATCTGTCTAGAATATAATGTTTGAATTCTCAAATTTCAAGATCTCCAGTTTTTTTTTAATTTGCACTTGTATCCATGGTCCGATGGCAGTACAAGAATATAACTAGTCTAATATTCAGACCCATTTGCACACAAAAAAAATATCGTCAGACTTACTTTGCATGCATTGCTTACTTTTAATTTTTTGTTAATGTGTATTAATATAGAGCTCACAGCTCTCTTGGTCATAAAGAGTTTAGTTTAAAATAATAATAATATAAATATTTTTCCTCTAAATCTGTCCAGGGCTTATCTTCGTCTTCTGCAAGAAGTTGAGAAATTGAAAAAACAAATGTCTGCTAACAGTACTCGTTTACCACTTAACATTGAGTGCTTTATGGAAGAACGCGATGTATCTGGAGATATGCAGCGTTCTCAGATGGAACAAATATGTGCTGAAACATTTAACCGCGTTGAAAGAACCTTAAGAGCTATTCTACATAATGCAAGTAAGTGTTGTTTTAAAACTTTCAGCAAAATCATTAATGCTTGAGTTGAGTTTCTTCTCAATCCTTCTGATTACATGAATCTACTACAACAATCAATCGCACACTTTACTACTAATTTTAATTTCAGAACTAAGGTCTGAAGACATCCACTCTGTTGAAATTGTTGGTGGATCCACCAGAATCCCTGCAGTTAAGAGTTTGATTGAACAAGCGTTTGGCAAGCATGCTTCCACAACCTTGAATCAGGTGAAGTGTCTGATATCTGCTTTCTGCTTCTCTATTTTTCATACCTAACAAAAAATATTCTGAGTCAGATTTCATGTTCATTCCTGAGAATTAATGGTAATTGTTAAGGCTAGTACTTTTATCTAAATAATATGTACCTATAATAATAAATAATGTAGTAAAATTATTATAAGATTATAATTATATTATATAAATAAATGATATAATAAAATAGAATTATATTAATGAATTCTGCACATATAGACACGAATTATGTATAATCTCTAAACTATTTATAAATACTACATCGAAACTACTAAAAAAATTTAGACCAAATAATAAAAATGTTATGCTGGATGCAGGCTACACAAGACCGGTTATTGTGGCGAACCTTGGAGGAGGCCTATGTCCAGCAGTAGTCCACGAGCGTGGACTGAAAAAAAAAAGCCCAACTATTAACAATTTTTGAGTGAGCACGACAATTAAAATAAGTATGATTATGGTGAGATAGGACGAGGCGGTGGCTCGCGGATGCGCGCTACAGTGCGCCATGCTGAGCCCGGCCGTACGCGTGCGTGAGTTCAGCATCACCGACGTGCAGCCCTACGCCGTGCGCCTCGCCTGGGACGCCGCCAGAAACGAGGACGGTGATATGGAGGTTTGTCTTAACGTATCTTACTTTACTCTTTGTGGCTGACTGGCAGACGAACTTATGTTTATTAACAGTATTTTTCAGAACGTTTTGGTTCTTGCATTATATTTTGAAATACTGGAGAAGCTTATATCCTTATTTAAAAAGATAGACCTGAATATATATAGAGAATGACATTTAAAATAAACTTTCACTGTAAAGTACTGATTAAGACCAAGCCAAAATTTCTAAAAATCCAAAAAAATATATAAAGTACATAAAAGTTACTGGAATTTGCAATTTTATTAACTTTGTCATTATCGGTTCGATTGATCAGTGGTGTTTCCACCGTTTAAAATATATAACTTACAAACAAACATAATAAATTTAATTGTGACAAAAATACAATATATGTAAACAGTTTTTTCATTCAAATTAATTCCAAAAGTGTATATGATATTTAAACTATTTCTTTAATAAACTTCTGACCATTTAGGTTCTGCCCCAAATCAATTGGGTAAATTGGTTTCTGTTTTGATATAGAATTGGAAAAAAATTAATGCACTTTTATTACAGGTATTCCCCGCTTTTCACGCTGCACCATTTTCAAAAATGTTAACATTCTACAGGAAAGAGCCATTTTCTGTCAGTGCCTATTATTCTGATCAAGTACCTTATCCGGACACATTTATTGGTATGTAAACCAGTAAAATTCGTATTCGTTTCCTACAAAATCCAATCATTATCAAATCATTGTTGGATTTTAGGCCAGTGGCAAATCAAAGATGTCCAGCCCACACCTGAAGGAGAATCCCAAAAAGTAAAATTGAAAGTGAGGGTGAACATTCATGGCATCATAACAGTCGCTTCGGCTTCACTTGTTGAAAAGAAGCAGGACACATCACAGAATGAGAACATAGAAATGGAAAATAGTAGTGAGAATGCTCAAAATCAGGATACACCTATGGAAACGAATGGAGGAAATCAAGACCAGCAACAACAGAATGGTCCTGAGAACAACCAAGAGGTGAGAGATGAGGAAATGAAGGGAGAGCCGCAACAAAAACAATCGTGGACACAGAGAGTAGGACAGTGGTTCAGCGGGGTATGTGTAGCCGGTGACTAGTCTAGCTTTGTGGTATTTGCTGTTTGATTATGAGTACTTATAATGGTGTTGTAAATAATATACACATAACAGACAGCAAACACCACAAACTGACTTCCCCATCCTCAAGTCGAGGCCCCATTTGCACGAATTCAAAAGGCTTAAATTTATTGCCTGTATCAGTAGCTGTCTTTTGTTTTGATAATTCACAGTTTGTCTCTGTGTCCACGTATATTTTATGAAGGGTGGTATAGTTACATTTCTTTTTATCAAGTTTGCATTGCCTCATTGAATTACATGTTCTGGTGAATTTTGTAAGAGGTGCAAATGGGTCACCACATCGCTTGGAAGGTGTGTAAAGTTTTCAATATTCTAGAATTATATTTTATCAAGTTTTGGCGCAGTCCAAGCAGTGGTGGTGGTGGGGAAATCTTTTTACAATAAGATATGAACAGCTTGTTCTCATTTTCAGGAGAGTGATGATAAAAAGGATAAATCCAAGGATAAGTCAAAGAAGGTTCTTGTGAAAACTGTGGAGCTGCCCATTGAAGCACAAACACATGGTCTATCAGTGCATGAACTAAATGGATATGTTGAACAAGAGGTAAATTAAATTTTACGAAATGATATAATTTCAAAAGCCATCATGGCCTAAATGGATAACACACCTGGTGTCCTAGGCATAAGGAGATATTTGGGTTCTCTATGCTTTGTACAGTATACTTACAAACATTATACTTATGGTATACTTCGTTCTACAGCTACATTGCATTTTTTTTATTTTCCTACCTAAGCTGATAGCCTTGAGAGGCTATTTCAGCGGCACCTTAACTAGTAGGTGAGCTCACGGGGCTCAAATCTGACGACGTTGCTAACACGAACCCTAGCGAGAGCCGTGCTTCGCAGAATCTACCACCGGATCGAAAACCCGACCCACTGAGAAGATCTGGCGAGAAACTCAGTGGGCTGTGTCTGAGAGATATTGCATTGCAGTGCGATGAACAAAAAAGAAGAGAACAAAATCTGGTCATAATACAGATCAGTTTTGATTTCCATTTGATTCAATTTACAGGGCAAAATGCAAGCTCAAGATCGACAAGAGAAAGAAAGAGCAGATGCTCGTAATGCTCTTGAAGAATATGTTTACGAATTGCGAGGGAAACTGTCTGAAGGCGAAACCCTGCATGATTTTGTTGCAGAAGATCAACGTAATAAGCTTGTCAATCATCTTGATTCTGTTGAACAATGGCTTTATGATGAAGGTGAAGACCAAAATAGACAGGTATGTGCTTTAAATTCTGGTTCTATTTTCTTGTATTTTAAATTAATAGAATCATATAAATGTTGATTTTTTATTAATTCAATTATGAATATTGTTTAATTGACCATCAATTTTGACAGGTGTACAGTGATAAGCTGAGCGAGTTGAAAACTGAAGGCGAGCCGATCAAACAAAGGCGTCTTGAGTTTGAGCTACGTCCTGGTGCTTTAGATGAGTTTGCTTTATCCATCCAACTCACCAATAAAGCTGTTGATTTGTACAAGTTAGTTAAATACATTTAATAATTTATTTAAGGTTATAATTTGAAATGGACGAGACAAACAACAACTAAACTTAATGAATTGTCTATTGGCATGTTATTTTTTCACAATGAGAAAAATAAAATGGAAACGTAATATTACATTAACATTAAAACACCAACAAATTAATTACAGAGCTGGTGACGCTAAATTTTCACACTTGGCGGAAACAGAGGTTCAGAAAGTGATAGACGCATCTAAAAATGCCCTAACTTGGCTCGAGACTGCAAGGCAAGCGTTAGCACACACGCCACGTCATCAGCAACCATCGCACACTACTCATCAAATCCGTCAAGAACGTCAGGTAACTCCATTCATTATTTCTGTTGTTCTAGATAGGCAGGGCATAAGCTAATGGTCCACCCGATGTTAAGAGGTTATCAGAAACGTAAACACTAAAATTAAACCAAGAGTCAAAATAGAAGTTCCATGTCTTCCAACGGATTCTAATTCCACAGACTTCTGGTTCTTTAACAAGAAAGTACGATTGCTTTTCGGCTGATACCACTCTACACTTTGTGGACTAAACACGACACTGATGCTGCATTCAAGTTTAATCTCGAAATGTTTCGATCCACCACAAGCTTAATTAAAACTATCCTATTTATATTTATGTTTTTAGAATTTTGAGAACCTCGTGCATCCAATTTTGAATAAAGTTAAACCAAAAGAGAAAACACCCCCTCCCTCCAATCAGACTGCGGGAGACGGACAGGCTGATGGTAACAAGGATGCGCCTTCGACTCAATCTCAAGAGCAAATGGATGTTGAATAAACGCATCTTTAGAAAACTCACAACACTAAACAATAACACCCGCCTTCCTCATCATTCGTATCGTGCACTTGATACAATTTATAATGTGTAATGGCTCATAATTATATATTTACCTTCTATAATAACTATTTCGTTATTCTTTAGTTTTGTGATAGAAAAGAGCGCCAAGTTTTGAGCAATCTTAGTAATATTTGAAAGCTGTACTAAATTATTGCAGATAAATTTTATGTATTTATTTATCTCATGTGATAAGGGCTCGATTTTGTTGTATTTACATTGCGATAGTTAAAGTATCAATACTTAGTATTCAAAATGAGTTGAGTTTTTCTCTCGTTTGATTTATACAGCGAGTTCATAGTATTAACATAAATTAACAGGCATTACACAAATGCATTTCATGATTACATTTCAATTGTTCCAATGCTACAATTGAATTTAGTCAGCAAAATGTCACTAGTTATATTCTTAAAATATAGCACATTCTTGAGTGTTTAGTAAATAACAATAGGTAATTGTCTATAGTATAGTTATGATAGTGAAAAGTTTCAAAAAAGTAATGGAAGTAAATTAATCATTTTTTTTGTAAACATAACAATAATTTTGCTGGCGCTTACGCCCTATACTTTATAGTAAATGAATTAGTTGAAAGAATCGAAATATGATATAAATTTACTGATTCAATATTTTGAAAGAAAACTCTTGAAAGGCTAACAACTGTCTCAATAAATGCCATCTGCCTGCTTTCGATTGTTAACTAATACAGCATAATAATATAGCCATTAGGGGTTTACATAGCTTGATTAACTGTGATCCAATAAAATATGAACTCCATAAGGATTGAATGACAACAATAAAATAAAACACAACTGAAATATTATTTAATAATTAATAAAAGTTTTCTGGAGGTTCATGTCGAACATTTCATTAATATTTTTAATTAACAGACAAAAAACTATTTGATTCTCACTAAACCAAATTAATGCGATTAGAAATTTTGAAATGCAAAATTTGTTAAATGTTCTGAATTAGAACTTTAGCTTCAACTTCTTTACAGCCCTCAGGAAACAAATAGTTCAAGTGACTCATAATTTTAATTTGTTTAGGTTTTAGCCGAACTCGTCTAAAACATTCCAGATATAATAACCGGCAAACTTCTTGAGCATTTGTTGACGTAGTGGGGGTAAGTTTGCGCATGGTACACTCACGTGCAAAAACATTACTTACTCTGCGTCATAATGCTATTAAATTATTAAAATCAACATATGTATTTATTTATATATTTATTAGAACATCAACAAAACATATAGGTTAATAATTGTAATAATTTAATCTTGGGGTAAAATAGATATTCCTTCTATTAAGTCAAAACTAGAGCTGTTGCCAGGTCTTGGTTCAGTTAAAGCGAAGCTGGTATTTGTAATTTTTTTTTCGTTATCATAATCTTGACCATCATCATCATCACTGTTTTCATCACCCGAGTCGCTATCATCGTGATGAGTCGACATAGGGCTCATCGGCGTAGTTTACAACTCGGTCGATTCGGTCTTCTTTTTTGTCTATAATTAATTATTTTTTGAAGATATTCGATTCGTAGTAATCGAATGTTACTTTTTTCATTTACCAGCTTCCGATTATTTTCTGTTCTTTTTTTCCATCTGAAGCCTAGCTCTTTCATAATTCGTCGTAAGCTTCATTCCGAGCCATTAAAATTTATATCTTCTTTAAATTTTTCGAAGCCTTTCTACGGTACGGAGTTTCGCTGCTTGTTATGTAGTTATTATGATTACATCTTTTTATTACAGATTGAACGAAACTATCCATTCCGGTAACTTTCTTCTTCCCTGATCTTTTCTTACCCGGAGTCCGAAACACGGCGAGCAAGCCAGAGCCTTTAGCTTCGTTAATAATGCACCTAACAGTACTCACTGATGTTTTTGTTGCTTCCGAAGTCTGTTTTAATTTTTCCATATCATTCTTCCCCTGTTTTATAATGAAGCAATATACGTCGTACACAAATTTTCTACCCTTTCTTTTAAGTACTACACCAGTTTGTCACGGCATAGTGTATGTTTTATAAAAAATCAACAAACACTCAACAAATAGCAATGGCAACAAAGTCCACAAGCAATTATAACAAATAACTTAACGATTAATAACGATAGACTTTCCACTGTACGCAAGCGTACTTTTGGGAGCAAGCGGAACGCGGGCGCGGTGCGGGACGCAAGGTTCGACTGATCTACCAATAACGCGCTCGATACGATTTCCCCTACCGTCGCGCCTCACCCTCACCACCAAAGTGATCTAAAATTCGGTTCTGCGCAGTCAAGGTCATTTGCTCAAGAAGTTTGCCGATTACTATACCTAATTAAAAGTATGAACATATGTGAGAATCAATATTCCTTTGTAATTGTTATTAAAGTATGTAGTATCCTTTACTTATGACCTATTGACAATTCTTAATACTGTAATTTCGCAACACATACAAACTTAATAATTTCAATTTTGTTAATTTGGCCTATGTTGTGCAAATAAATGGTTCAACCATTGTATGAAACTTTAATTTATTTTATCAACAGATAGTAACCACACCGGACAGAAACAATTTAAGATCCGTATATAGGTAAATCGACCTTCACTAATCTGCTTATTAGACGAAAAGTATGTTAAATGCAACATTATTAAATTGAGATCGACTTTGACAAAAGAATAAGACGGACGAAGCTGTCAGTACTCGTGTCCGGTAAACCGTACCGGTTTTCTAATGAAATAGTAATGAAGTAGTAGGTAGGCACTGCTAACACATGTCGATAAAATGACTTCGCAATGAAGGGCATAGTGTAAAAGTCAAATCCGCAAAAATATTTAATTTGCGTAATTACTAATGGTAGAGGCGTCTTGTGAGCCCGCACGGGTAGGTACCATTACCCCGCGTACTGCGGCGGGGCAACTGTTGTGCTGTAAAATCGAGACTTAAAAGTCGTGTCTCAAGGTGGGTCGGCATTTACGTTATTGACATCTACGAGCTCCGGGAACCATTTAACACAAGGTGGACTGTAAGCTCATCCCCTCCATAAAGGCGTTTTGAAAAGAAAACGCCTACTGACCACTGGACGAAGTCTGTCAACTATTAGACTACCAATCGGTTCCGAGAAAAGTATTAATAAACATTATGTTCTGGGCTTATTTTCACATTTTGCATGGCTAAAGGATTAAGAAGTACATACCTACAAAAAAATTACTAAAATCAATGCTAAATTCACAGCGAAATAATTTTATATGGTTTAAACATTAATAACTTTTTTTAAATATACATGCACGCGCTACGATACTACCTATGATCAAACTACGCAAATAGTCGGTATTTCGGCGCTCTGCACTCTATGCGTATTAATAGAAAGTCGGGCTACCTACTAAATAATTTAGTAACCGCTTTACAGGGTTTTTTTTACCTTAAATTTTTTTTTGTGACCAATAAAAGACTTATCGGCTTATTCAAATTCAAAACCTGCATATATTCAAATTGTCATACATAACAGATAGAAATCTATTTTGGAAGCCTGTATCTCAAGCAGTAAGACCTTCTACGGGTGGGTAATAAATAACAAATAAAAATTACACGGAGGTACATATTTATTACCACAGAGGGCCAAAAGTTTTTCGAAAACAAGTTAAAGGCGGCAGTCCGCAAATACGCAAGCTTACTACGGACGGGAATGTCGTGACATCAGATCAAGATGAAATAATCCAAGTTGTGGAGAAGTTCTACGGTCAATTCTGTAGCTCCGTAACGCCTGGACCCACAGTAGCCCAGCAAGACCCACGTGCCCCTCTTAAGAAGACACAGGACGGAAGATCTGCCGGAAATAAATCTATATGAGATTAAACATGCACTGAAGCTTATGAAGAAGGGGAAATCACCGGGCCATGATAAAGTCACATAAAAACAACTTCAGTACGGAGGAACACCAGCACTTAAGCACCTTCAAGTGCTGTAGTTACTGGTAACGACGATAGACGTAGGCTTACAAGTTGGAGTTATGGTAAACTATTCCTCAAACTTCGAAGTAGTGCCTTCCAACTGAATCGAAACCGAAAAAACCACGCCATAACCGATCAAAAGTCAGTCATGTGTCTGTTTGCTTTGACTAGCGCGGTGTTGTGTACTGGGAATTTTTGCCGGAATATCAAACGATACATAAAGAATAGTATCTAGGCGTTATGCGACTAAAAAGGCTAGATTTGTGGAAACAAGATTATTGAATTTTGCCCCACGATAATGCTCCTTCGCACAAGGCCATCATTGTAAACGAAGTTTTGAACAAAAACTTAACATACACCATCGAGCAACCACTTTATTCACCAGTTATTGCTCCAGCGGTTTTCTTTCTTTTTCTTAAAATCAAATTACGGCTTCGTGGCTCCCGTTTTCATTCGGTAGAAGACACAAAGGAGAATTCGCAGTGGGAACTGAGTTCAATTCTGGAAAAAGCGTTTTATTTATTTATATATTGTTGGTTTATTCGTTGGCATAAGTGTATTCGTGCTCTTCAAACGAGGCTTGTGGAGAGTATTAAGCTGTAGGCAGTGGGTTGGCTCTGCTCCTGGCATTGCTGATGTCCACGAGCGACGGTAACCACTCACCATCAGGTGGGCCGTATGCTCGTATGCCTAAAAGAGCAATAAAAAAATTCTTTTCTGAAGGAGCACAGTTTGAAAGTGATAAAATAAATTTAGGTTTAAAACTAACATTTTGTGTATTATTGATATTTTTCCGGTATTTGACAGAATAGTTAATCTCCTCCTCTTTCTCGCGTCGTTTCCTCACTGATGAAGTGATGAGGGTCGTGACCATCATCTTTTGAAAATTATTTATCAATGATATTAAGTGTTTTATCTATGAATGATACTTTATTTTCGCTACACTACAATTCATACAATTTCCCGACAATGTTGCTCTTTATTTCTTCGGTGCCCATATCATGCTTATATTATTTATCTCGAAAAGAGTTTTAGTCGGATTATTAAGATCCTTTTTTTTATAGGCACGTAATTTATGGGTATAGATATTTGTCAAAGTCCATTCAAAAGAAAAACAGAGCGAAACTAATCAAAGAGAAAGTAGTTTTGAATTTAATTAAAGAAAATTCAGAATGGGAAAACATTTCGGTGAATTGGGTTTCATTAGGGGAATTGTTTATTATAAAATGTCTCCACATGAACAAAAAGCCTATGCTGGTGCAATTACAAAAGGAATCCCCAATTTTGTGACAAGAATGCTAGCAACAATTGCGTACTGGTTACCACGTTAGTACTCGCTTTTCTGTTACTACGATTTTTCCAAACTTATTTATTTTTTACTAAATATCATGACTTGAACTAAATTATAAATTATATAATTCCGGAGCGCTTATGTCATAAAAAAGTTCGAAGCGAAGTTATGTCTTCACGACCATACATTAACGTTGACAAAATTATTCGACAGCTGCAATAATCGGAACATGTATCTACAAATATGTCGAAGAAGCGCATCATGCATCTTTGAGAAAAGACCCAAGGGACTTTATGGATGAAGTTGATCCTAACATTTAATGTTTTATTAATTGTAAATTATTTTGATCCAATACATTGGCGGAAGAATTACATAGTTTTTTTTAATTGTCGTCAATAGCAGAGCCTTTTTCGGCCCTGAAGCAGTAATGCGTTTCGGTTTGAAGGGTGGGACAGCCGTTGTACTGAAAAAAAGGAAACCTTAGAACTATTATCTCAAGGTGGCATTTACGTTGTAGTTGTCTATGGGCTCCGGTAACCACTTAACATCAGGTAGGCCGTGAGCTCGTCCACCCGTACCCATAGCCCTAAAAAAGAAGACCGTTGTGCGATGAATTGGAACGTTTGCGTACGTTTGCCGCTAGGGGCGCTGTTCCAACTGCATACGAGTTAACTTTTACGCTATCGAGAACGTTAAAAAACTCGCACTGAGCAGTGTCACTTTACTGCGAAGGGTACCTATGACCAAAATACCTAGTACTAGATATACCTAATCCTGAAATAGCTAGTCTTTCCATAAAAATAATTAAAAAAAAACATCGATTTTTTTCTATTAAAATCTGAACCTTTATTACTGGAGTGTGTGAAATTTATACATGAATGTAATAGCTCTTAATTAAATTAACAAAAGGCTCTCCATTTATCTTAATACAGAACAAACTTTAAGTGTTATATCCAGTTAATGATTAAAACACGCTCTTTCTCCATAGAGAAATTAAACAGACCTTATAACATATGCTAGACTTAGCTCAAGAATGGTATGGTGATATACCTCGGCTGATCTTTTGGTACTATTTATACAACAGTAAAGCTCGAACACTCCTTGTTAAATACCTCCACCCACGAAACCATCAGCAAAGCCAAATAATTCACACGTTCTTCTAACGCTATTGAATAGTTGAGAAGCTTTTGCAGATATTTGAGTATAAACCTAATTATTTTGTTTGTAAATAGGCAATGTGGCAAATGTGGCTAAATAGGCAAAAAACTCTCAACAATAATTGTTTTTATCTGCGACCTCCCTTTGTGTACAGCAGATAAGATCAGTTACTTTCAGACAAGATGTATTCGTTTTTTTAGTAGTCAATACGAAGTGTTCCATAGATAATATACTTAATATTTGAGATATTCGGACAAGTGACTGAAGATAGCCCCTCAAAAAAAAAATTTTTTTTGCTGTTTTCTACTTATTTTCTATTAATTCGTTTGTTTATCATTTGTTCTTGATTGTTTACTGTTAATAATTGTTTGTTCTGCATTTATTTATTTTAAAAAAAATATAAAAAATATACCTACAAGTTAGCCCACCGATTGCAATTTTTTATATTTTTTCGTCCTTAATGACTCGTAAATATTCAGTTTCGATTGTTCTTATATAAAATACGTTTGTTCTCTTTCGAAATTACTCATTTTTTGTTTAATTAACTATTTGTATTAGTTGAATAAATGTATGCAAAATATGTGTACTGCGCATGCGTCAACTATAATGCCTAAACTTTCTACGCGGTTTTAATCGTGAAAAAAAAAACAATTATAAATCCTGAAGGATCAATTAATTGTACAGTATAAATAATGAACATATCTATTTACTTATTTGTTTACATGACCTATGTGAACTCTTAACATATCTTTTTTATACCTTCATAACGATAGGTAGGAGGATGAAAAAAATGTATTTGGTAAAACTTTACGCGAATGCACATTATTTCATTAATTTATTTTTCAAATTTTTTTAATTAAACTGTATACCAATCCTCCTTCAGGATTTATAATTGTTTTTTTTTCACGATTAAAACCGCGTAGAAAGTTTAGGCATTATAATTGACACATGCGCAGTACACATATTTTGCATACATTTATTCAACTAATACAAATAGTATAGTGAGGGGTAGATCTCAGGGTATTTAAAACTATGGGTTAGTCACCAATATCGAATTTCGAATTTTAATCTTCCTTAATCACAAACAATTTTCAATTTTAAACAATAATTACATTTAGACGCGGGCGCACGCTATTCACACTCAAAACGGAAGCGCCCGGAACATAGATTATACACTGTTGAAAAGATCGACATAGATGCTAACTATGTATAGCGAGCGGGCATACGGCCGCGAGAGTGACGTACCGGTCGGTTTGCTACATACTCCCCCTCTAGTCCNATCATCCAAGTTGAACGTAGAATTGTTGCTACGTGATTCGGCGTGGGGGCGATCATGGGGGCTATCATGCTCCTCGTGATTTTCGTTGGCATTTGCATCTGCAGCAGGAATAGCGTCGTCTTCGCGACGTTGCTGGCGATCTTGATTTCTAGTTAAAGGCATTCTTTACAATTAAGCACCAACAGCATACAATAGTTAGCAAATTTTCCACAAAAGCGTGCGCGCCATTTTGTTAGTCCAAGCAAGAAAAAAATTAGGAAACGTTGGGCAGCCAGATATAGTGAGGGGTAGATCTCAGGGTATTTAAAACTATGGGTTAGTCACCAATATCGAATTTCGAATTTTAATCTTCCTTAATCACAAACAATTTTCAATTTTAAACAATAATTACATTTAGACGCGGGCGCACGCTATTCACACTCAAAACGGAAGCGCCCGGAACATAGATTATACACTGTTGAAAAGATCGACATAGATGCTAACTATGTATAGCGAGCGGGCATACGGCCGCGAGAGTGACGTACCGGTCGGTTTGCTACAATAGTTAATTAAACAAAAAATGAGTAATTTCGAAAGAGAACAAACGTATTTTATATAAGAACAATCGAAAATGAATATTTACGAGTCATTAAGGACGACAAAATATTAAAAATTGCAATCGGGGGGCTAACTTGTAGGTATATTTTTAATAATGTTTTTAAAATAAATAAAAGGAGAACAAACAATTATTAACAGTGAACAATCAAGAACAAATGATGAACAAACGAATTAATAGAAAATAAGTAGAAAACAGGAAAAAAAATTTTTTTTGATGGGCTAACTTCAATCACCTTATTCTTCACTATCACACACACAATTTTAATTTTTATTTTTGTAGTTTGGTGCATAGCATAGATAATTTTTTAAGGGATTTTATCACCTGGTAACTAAGACTTTTAAGTCATGTCTTATTTTATTTTATAATCTTATTGACGTGACAACGTCTTATAATTCGATGGAGCCGGCTGCATGCACGAAAAAACATGACTAATGCGGCGTTACCTTGCTCTGAGGCGTTCCATTTAAGGCTTGAAGTGCAAGCGAGAGCACGCAACGAGCGACCAAGAGGCACAATCAGCCTCCGCGTTCGGCAGCGTTCGACATCTGTCTCTCTCCTACTTGAGTGAGCGATGCATCCGCGTGGACAGCTGCTATACAATAATACATTTACATGTTTTCGTCAAGTATGAAGTTCAGTGAAAAGTGAATGTGGTGACAATTGTTTATAGCAACGATAATTGCGATAATTGAAAAATAAAACCATTCCATTAGTATTTTCTTATGACTACATCCGATTTTTTTTTATGAAAAATGATAATATGGAGTGAAATGAAATGAAGATGATTAATTTGAGACATTAATCAACTGGGATGAAATTAAATGACTTGAGATGAGATGATATGGGGTGAAATATAATCTCAGTAAAATGGTGGTTATTTATTGAGATTTTTTTAGTGGACTTTTTGGAGGATCCCGAGAAGTTACCAGTGGCTTTGTTTCATTTTCCCACATTTGTGCACTTTCACAGATATTAAACGTTAATAAACCACCGTTATTACACATTTAATCCTGAAGAAACACTAAATAGACAAAATAAAACAAATCACACAACTTCACTGCTTGCGTTCCCGCCAAAAAGTCCTAGGATAGATAATACACTTAATGTGCATAGATTATATACTAATATATGTTTGACGTTTGAGATCAGTGAGGTGCATAGATAATACACTTATTGTGCGGTGATTACTGATGAAGATAAAAATTTATTCAATTGAAAACATAGTTTGTATAAAATGAGAAGTGAACACTTATTTTGCTTAGTTTTGTTAAAGCTTCAGTTGAAGCTAGTGTGCTCTCCCAACGATAACAATAGAATCACATAATTTCTTTAAAATGTCGACAGTTTGCCTTTCAGCTGGTGATATTTATATTCCAATTCAAATTCAGGAAAGCGATATTTATGGTGGGATAAACCTACTTCTAAAAAACCTAAGACCTACATGGCCTTTAGAAAACGTAAAATTCAAGGTCTGTATCTGTATACCTAGTGTAAATATCAACAGATACTTTGTGAAAGTAAGTGTAAGAGGAAAATAATTTACAACAAGATTTATTTCAAGGTTTTCACGGATGGAATAACTAATAAATTAGTTTGTTGTCAATTAAGTACTTCACACAATGAAAATGACATAGTCCTCGTCCGGATTTATGGAAATAAAACAGATTTACTAATTGATAGAAAAGCTGAAGTCCGGTGAGTTATTTACACAGTTTACACAGCTTGCACATTATTTATATAATACACATGTTGTATGTACAGTTAGAAAAACTTGCCAGTGTAGTTCATTCAAAGCTAATAAATAATACTCTAGTTCATTTTAATAGTATTCATTATTGACAGACAAAATTGTTAGTAAACATTATAAGATGATATAAAATCTGATAAACCAATTATTCTGAAAAATTATGCTACAAAATGCTCTTTGGCAAAAATGAATTTATGTTACACTTCACAAGTACCACATGTTACATATAAATCAATACCTTTGAATATGGTATAGTTATCATAATAATATTGACATTGGGCTTGTAACATTTTTGCGAAGACTATCTCATATCTTATATAAATGTATTTCCATATTCTTTGTGTGTTGTTTTTCTATACATAAAGCGTTTCCCCTAGTGGAAACAGTAATAAACTCCTTAAAGTACATAAACTTAAAACAGCTCATAATTACCTTACTGGTTATTATAGTACTGGGCAAGAAATAATGCACATCGACCTCTAGAAAGAGACATCCGACTAATGTCAACTTTGTAGAGCATTGTCCCTTTCGCACACTACATGTGTTACATTTTGTCAGTCATTCGACAAATGCAGTGGAGTACGGTCGCATCCAATTCAGAATATGTATAAAGAGGTGTTCACACCCCCAAATAGAAATGATTTAGAATTTTACTATCGCATCTTTAGGAAAAAGAGGAAAGCCTTTACATGGTCAGTCTCGTGAAATTGTCTACAAAGTGTATAAATATTTTTAACTGAAGCTGACAAATTTAAAAATCATGAAGATAAAGACGTATATAACTATTTTAAGAAAATACAAGAGTGAGGTGCAAATGTCAGTGGAATTTCAAGAAGACTTTTGAACAATATATTAGAGGAAGTCAGTACTGAAACAGATTAATTAAGTTGAGTACCCCGTAAAAAAGAAAGACCAAAAAAGCAATTTCGTTTATATATGGATGATTTTGATTATGATGCTGTGCGAAAAATGGTGTATGATTTTCACTTACGATTTAATGAGCTGCCTAAAAATCATTCAAAGCTAAACTATCGGAGGCTATTAATTATAATGGATCTGAAAAGACGTTGAGAAAAATACTTCATCAAATGAGATTTCAGTTCACTAAAATGGAAGATAATAGAAAAGTTTAATGGAAAAGCACGATGCAAGTCTCAAACGAATAGAATACCTTGATAAAATACGTGAATTTCTCGAAACAGGAAGAAATATAATTTTATGGATGAGTTACATACACACGTCATGATGATAAGAAAAAAAGTGTAAAAAAGCAAATTTTAAATGATTAACATTTAATGATAGTTCATGCGGTAAATGAAAAAGGCATTGTTCCTGGAGCCTTTTTAATGTATAAATCCACGGACACTATAGGTTCACTAATTTGAAGTCGTCGTGGCCTAAAGGATAAGACGTCCGGTACATTCGTGTTGAGCGATGTACCGGTGTTCGAATCCCAGGCGGGTACCCATTTTTCTAATAAAATACGTACTCAACAAATGTTCACGATTAACTTCCACGTTGAAGGAATATCATAACATCGTGTAATAAAAATCAAACCCGCAAAATTATAATTTGCATAATTACTGGAGGTAGGACCTCTTGTGAGTCCGCGCGGTTATATACCACCACCCTGCCTATTTCTGCCGTAAAGCAGTAATGCGTTTCAACGGAATATGGTCTCAACTGAAAGGCTATGTAGCCTCTAAAAATGTGGGTATGAATACATTATTGGCAGAATGAAATACAAAAACATTATTGGCAGAAAAAGTAAGCATGATTGGGACTGAAGAGTGGAAAAAGGTTTGCGATCATGCAATTAAATGTGAGAATGAATTTCGAAGATTTCAATAGTCTAGAAAATTACACTGATAGACTGGTAATAAATACCGCTGATAGCGACAATGATATTGACTTCATTGAGAGCACTGATAGTGAATCGGAAGAAATTGAGGATTTATAATTGTTTTGTCAGAATTTATCACTTTTCAAAATAAATAAATCAACACGTTAGTTAACATACGTTTTTTTACTATAATCTAAGGACAAAACGTATAGAAAAAATATGTTTTAAAAAAATAAAATAAAAAGATTAATCAAAATAAGCGACGCACAATAATTATTGTTTTAACAGCTCTTACAAGATACTGGACTGTTAGTATTTCGTGCGAAAGGGACAACGCTCTACAAAGCCGAAATTAGCCGAATGTCTCTTTCTAGAGGTCGATGTGCATTATTTCTTGCCCAGGTACAAGTAGTAGAAAAAAATGTTATTGTTTTTTTTTTTACTGCTTAGATGGGTGGACGAGCTCATAGCCCACCTGGTGTTAAGTGGTTACTGGAGCCCATAGACATCCACAACTTAAAGCGCCACCCACCTTGAGATACAAGTTCTAAGGTCTCAAGTATAGTTACAACGGCTGCCCCACCCTTCAAACCGAAACGCATTACTGCTTCACGGCAGAAATAGGCAGGGTGGTGGTACCCACCCGCGCGGACTCACAAGAGGTCCTACCACCAGTAATTACGCAAATTATAATTTTGCGGGTTTCATATTTATAACACGATGTTATTCCTTCACCATGGAAGTCAATCGTGAATATTTGTTGAGTACATATTTCATTAGAAAAATTGGTACCCGCCTGCGGGATTCGAACACCGGTGCATCGCTTCAACACGAATGCACCGGACGTCTTATCCGTTAGGCCACGACGACTACTTGTCTTCATAAAGTCATATGTTGAACTAAATTCTCCCTGTTTGACGGATTTAAAAATTGTGAACCAAACTTAGACACATGCTATATGCTTTGACACCTTTGGCATTTTTTGTTGTTGAGTGTTATACCTTTGGTTGTGTGTATGTGTTTAATTTTATACCATCCAAGAGTCATGAGCTCCGAACAGTGGCCGGCAGGAGGTTGATGAGGAAATCTGAAGACTGAGCTCAGTGGTGTGGGCTAGTGACGATGATGATAATGAAGTGGCAGCATATAGAAAAGCCAAAAACCTTCAAACACCCTGACTTGTAGGCATTGCTCAATGAGGATCCATGCTAAATGCAAGACTGGCTTGCTTCAGCATTAGGAGTTACCAAATACTAATATAGGTATATACAATATATAGATATATACCTGTATATGTTTAAATATACAGACATATACATATTAAAAATGCAGACAAAGAATGAAGACATGTTCATCACACCACTGTTTACCCGAGGAGTGAATCGAAATCCATGATGCAGCAGTTAGAGACCTTTACTACTGCACTACTGAATCTATCATTTTACTTCATTGTCTATCTCAAATCCCTTCAAACTAGAAAGTAGTCACAATGCTGGTACCCATGCACGCTCACATTGCATGTTGGAACTTGAGAGGTAAACCTAAAATTATAATACAATAAACATAAAAAAAAACTCCAGTAATTTGAACAAAACCAAAAAAAACCATTAGTCAATTGATAGTAATAATGTCATAAAAAACAGAAAAATCTAAATAAACACTCAGACATATTTTAAACCAAGTAGATAGTCTGAACTGCATGGGCCATGCATGTGTAAGGTAAAAATAAGTGTTCAATAACAAAAATCTTTAGTTCGCTACATTACTGCTTGGATATAATTAAATTCGTCTTTTGTTCCACATAAAGGTCATTGTATCATAAAGAGTAAATGAAATTGTATTTTTTTTTAATAACTGTCTTTTACATTATAATAAAAGGTTGGGGGAAAAGTTTCTTCGCATTTTTTAAGAAAATTCACAACATTTTTTAATATAGTTTATTTACATTTAACTAAAGTTTGTAGGTACCATTTTGTTCAATAATTTTTTGTAATCTTGTAGGTAGGGACATGATCCCATTGCTTTAGAAATTTTGGGGCTTTGATCAAAATACCGCGACAATTAGTTTTGGCAGTTCTCTCGTGATATTAACCTGAAACTGCCTAAAGAATTCTGAAGAGATCGAAACAGGTGGAAATCTGAAGGTGCAAGGTCAGGACTATACGGCGGATGCATAAACGCCTCCCAGCCAAGCTCTTAATTTTTGCTGAGTGGCCAAAGTGTGTGAGATCTAGCGTTATCATGTTGAAAAAACACACCCCTTCTGTTGATTAATTCCGGCCGCTTTCTCTCAACTTCTTGCTTTAATCTCATCAGCTGTTGTTTGTAGTAGAGTTCAGAATGGTCTGGCTTTTTAATAACAGTTCATAATGAATAATGCCCTTCCAATCCCACCACACACACAGCATCACCTTGTTGCGAGTTAACCCGGGCTTCGCCAGTCTATGAAGCTTAACCGGCCTTTGACCACGACCTTTTTCGCACGTTCTTGTCGTACGTGATCCATTTTTATTCACCAGTTATCAGCTTCTTCAAAAATAGTTCGGTTTCATTCTTCGTAATAAAGAATCACAAATGAGTACACAGTTCATTAGGTTTCTTTCAGTGAGCTCGTGCGGTACCCACTATCGAGCTTTTTTGTGTACCCAGTTGTTTTCAAATGCGCCAAAACTGTTTTGTGGTCGATCCCCATTTCTTCAGCTACGTCGTAACTACTGATATGCCGATCTTGTTCCACTTTTTCAAACATGGCATCAATTTTATCCGTAATAGGGCGAAAAGAGCGACGTGCATCTTTGACATAAAAATTTCCGGATTGAAAACGCTTAAATCAAATTTGTGCTACTCTCACAGACACTGCACTAGATCCATAAACATCGCAAATATTTTTTTTGTGGCTTGCGTTGCTTTTTTACCTTTTTTATAGTAAAATTTTAAAATGTATCGAATTTCTTCATTAGATTCATTCGTCTTGACAATACGAAAAATAAATAAAAATCACACATTTTCCTAATTTGAACTTGGAATTATCTTCTTTAAAATTTAAACTTTTAATGATACCAAAACCAGCTAGATACAAATAGTATAATAGCCAAAGAGATTTTATTACAAGGGCATACATACCTACTAAGTATAATGCGAAAAGACTTTTTCCCGAACCTATTATATTATACCATATCCTAGTTTACTTTTAATTATTCTTGAAGAATGACAATAAATTAGCTTGCTAAAAAAAGACAAAAATCTATAACATAATGAATTTTACAAAATCATAGGTATTTTTTTTGTTCACAGAAATATAAAAACTCTTAGCGCTCTCGGTTTAGCTCCAAAATTATATGCTGTATTTGAAAATGGATTAATTTATCAGTACTTCCCTGGAGACACTTTAAACATTGAAACAGTACTTGATATAAAAATATGGCCTCTTGTGGCCAAGCAAATGGCAAAAATGCATAGAGTTGAACTTGGAAAAGAGGTATGAATTGATTAGATTTTAACGTAATTGAACCACATCAGAGCAATATGACTCTTATCATACACCAATAGGGAATTAATATTCTAGGACCAAAAAAACAGCCTTTGATTTTTTTTATTATTTAATTTAATTTTTAATTTTATTGCTTCAGGAGGGTAAGTCCCGAACAATTTCATTGAATAGTGTTTTATTATTGTTGTGACTATAATTATGAAATGGAAGATGAAATGTGGTAATATATAGAATTTATCACTTTTCTGTTAGACCCGCTTATCTTATCTTACATTGTTTAAGTGTTGCTTAAATAACATCATTTTTCATTTTCGGTAAATATTTTATAATTCATTCTGACAATAGATATTGTAGCTTAGGTTCTGTGTGGACGAACTGCACCATAATGTAACCCTTATTTATGGGTTTTATGCGGCATAAAACAACTCATAAATAACGCATAAATTACGCCACAGAACTTTGATCTTTAATCTCTTCAGGGACATTGGTAGAAACGTGTGCGTTTTTTTTTTAAATTATATATGAAATTCTAACGCTAAATGGCCACATATGTGAAAATATTTTGTTTTAATTAATAGTTACTTTTTTTGTATTTTTTTTTACTTCTGTGGATGTTGTAAAAGGCGAGGAAGTAATTCACTGGAGAATTAGCAACAGCGATCTCGGAGTATTATACCAGTGTACTGCGATCTCGAACCGGCATTTACTAGGGTCAAGACGGAAGTGAACTATATCGCCATAGGCCCTTAACACAAAGGATTCGACCAGTCATCCTTCTTGAGAATAGGGTAAACATAAGCAGTCTTCCAACAAGATGGAACTCCTAAGATAAGCGACAGACGTCTGTGATCTAAGGGATGCACGATTTTAACTGCAAGAAGCAGCGCGACTCGCTTGACATATGAAAGTTAAGAACCAGATCTCCCTCAATACTACGCATTGTGTATGCGAATCTAAGACATGGAGTTATCACACTGGTCAATGTTCGGTTCCTACGTCATCCCAGATATCTGCCCCGCTTCTTAATCTTTATCTATCTTTTTATCTCTTTCTCGGACGAGTAGGTGAGCTCACCTGAGATAGTTTTAAGTAGCCCTACCAAGAGCAGTGCTTCGATGAATCTACCAATGAATCGGAATCGCGACTCACTGAGGAGATCCGGCGAAAAATTCAGTGAGCTGTGACCTGTGTCTACATGTTGCACGTCGAATTTTGACGAGTTTGAGGAGAACAGTGATCGGTGCTTAGACCTCATAAGCATCGAGAATAGATCCGGAGAATCCGATAAGACATCCAGTGGGCGACGGCGACTTTGTGTTACTCCGTCGCCTAGGTCGCATATGTAGTTAGAGGCGGCCACGATAAGAGGATATAAAGACGCGCGGACGAAATATCAAAGAAAAAATAATTATCTGAAAAGTTCTTGTATTACATGCCGCAATTGATTTTATGAGGACAATTGAGTTATTTACTACAAGTTACCATCTTCAATGTTCAAAACACAAACAAATTATGAGAAAATATAATTATTCAAAAGTATCAATACGTCTACTATAGAAAGTTTATGTTTTCAGGTACAAAAAGACCCAATGGTATGGGATAAAATTGAACAATTCCTAAGTTTGTTGCCAGAGAAATTCTCTACAGAAGTCAAACACCATAGGTGACATATTTTTACGAATTAAAGAGCGACTATTGAACTAAATATGAAGTTATTACGAAATATTATTTTTAAGATTTCATATATTAACCCAATCTTTTAATCAAATTAATTTATAAAGTAAATGTAAATTTAAAAATGAAGTATGTGTATAATATGTAAATCAGGGGATAATACAGTAGTAATAGTATAGTAACATTGGGTAATATATTTTTCCCTGTAAAATCGTCGACTCAGCTCGAAAGAAAATAAATTCTTTTAATTTGGTTAGGAGTTTTTGTTTTAAATAACAATTTTAAATCCACAGCGTTTTCGTCTCTGTTGTAGATTTGTGAGTAGCTTTGGGTCAGTAACTAAGCTAAGGATTGAATTTGAGCGTCTAAAGTCTCATCTAATCAAAACGGAGAGCCCAATAGTGTTTGCTCACAATGATTTGCTTCTAGGAAACGTTATCTTCAACAAAGATGAAGGGACCATCTCTTTCATAGACTATGAATATGCCAGTTACAATTATCAGGCGTTCGATATAGCTAATCATTTCAACGAATTTGTCGGTGAGTATATATTTATTATATTCGAAGAACAAACAAGTGTGTTGTGTTTGACTGCGCGGTGTTTAGGCAGCCATTATTAAATAGTTTTAGGATGGGTGGTGGCATTCACATTGTTATGTCTCTGGACTCCAGTAACAACTTAACTCCAGGTGGGCCGTGAGCTTCTTCAACCGTTTATGAAATAAAAATATAAATTTAACCAACATCTTTCGAGTTGGGTCAATGTAACGTGTAATAATCATGTAAAACGTAGCGTAGATAACCCATATGGCCTAACATGTGGAAAGATCAGTTTATTCAGTATGCCGGGGTTCAAATCCCATAGTCAGACTCGATTCAATAAAAGTAAATAGATACAGGTACCTAACACGTCACATATAAGAACGAATTTCAGGAGATTTGTAAAAAAACATAAAACTATAAAGACATCATAAAATTACGCAATAAATGATAAGCCAGTGTTATGAACACCTATGAATAATACCGTCTATTTCGGCAACGAAGTCGAGTAGCGTTGCGTTTTGAAGGGTGGGATAACCCATATATGAGTCGTCTATTATCAAAGGTGGTAATCTGTGCATTTGGACAAAAAAATGTTATTGATATGTCAATACAGATTGATTTGAATATAATCGTCTCCTTCAAAGAATACGGTTCAAAACTTGCATTAAATAAAGGTTAATACTTAACCTGTTATTTATCTAAGATGTCGTTCAGAAGAGTTTTGTGACTGCCAATGGAATACAAAGTCAATAATTCGATTTTCTGATTTACCAATAATTGTCCAAAAGTCACATTGCCGGCTTTGATAATAGTCGACTCATATAGTATAATTTTTTACCCCTCCTGGCTGAGCCTTTGCTCGTCCTGGTGAAGCTGGAAAGGCCTCCGGGCCACCAGTAATCTTTCAATCATAAAAAAAAGTATAATTTAAAATTCGAGCTCATGTCTCAAGATAGGTAGGGGGTATTCTATTGTCTGTGTTTTCTTATCTATTTAATTACGGGTAGACCATGGATCGTCTGCACACATCGAGAAATACAAAGAAACTTAGTACGATACCTACATTTTACTTCGTAGTTACATTCTTTTGTTTTATTATTTAGATAGTACATATATTATTTTATAACTTAGATATATTATTTTATTTTGTTTTATTCGTATATAATCACGAAAAAATGTTATAAATATGTCTGAAATAGAAAAGTTGGAATTACAACTCCCGTCCCCGCCTAGCTGCAATTATTCCCATAAGCTACCAGCGATAAAGTAGTGAAAAAAATTCCATAACTATCATTATCTTCATAGTATTGTATAAAGCCATCTCTATTATAATTTACAAAATATAATGTGTGACACAACTTCGGTTATCAAAACTTTTAATAAGAATATTTAAAATCTCCGACCTTTCGATTTGAGGTTATCTTACCCACTGGAATGAAATATGTAAGCTTCTTTATAATACTGAAATACACGAACAGTAACCTACTTAGATACGTACTAAATAAAATATACCAGCAGAGATTGCGGCTTTGATAAATCGTACCGTGCATATAGACAACATCACTTTAGCATAATTATACTTTAAAATATAAAACTAATCATTATTATGAGACGAATATCTCAGTGGCGTAGCGTAGGTGTCAGCCGCCCGGAGTGGAAGACAATTTTCCCGCCCTTTTATTTAGGTATTTCACTTTGATGTGTACTATACATTAATTCTTGATTTTTTTATTGGCAAGAGCAGTCATCATTATTTTGCATTATATCTACAGGTAAGATTTTAAATAAAAAAGTGTATCTAAGTGTTACAATCGCATTTATTTACACAAAAAATATTCTACTTCAACCAGTTATGGCAGCCACACACGTTAATTTATATTATTATACAATTACATAAATAAAAATACGTATTGAATACTTACACAGTGTAATTCAGGTAAACGGAGCGGAAAAAATCAATTTTTCACAATGTTGAATCACCACTACACGTAGGTACTTATTTGCACAAAAATCACAGTTTTAAAGCGTAACATAAATTACGATACGTCAATGTGAAATGGACAACTGACAAACTATCAATAAAACTTTCTTTGAATTGTCGAAGCATCACGTACTTCTTTACTATTATAAAATACGGGGAATCCCCGCGAGTCAGTATAGTTAGACGGTGCTGCCAGTTCAATCGGTCCAAAGTAGTTGCGAGAAAAATATGAAATGGTTCAAATATTTTTATTATATATTGTGAAATTTTGCCGCCCCCGAAAAAGTGCCGCCCACACTACGCTACGCCACTATCTCTTATCCGGAATATCTTAATAATACATGGTTTCACCGTACGGGTACCGGGGTCAATCGTGTTACTAAGGGTGCGTTCCACTAAGCGCCCACAACGATCAAAATACTCCTTTAGTCGTTCCACATAACGACCGCGATCGTTGTGGTCGCGGCGAAAACGTCACTTATGACGTCATGACTTACGCTCACGCGAAGCCCACGACGACCCATCTAAAAAGGTGGGTCGAAGTGATCGTTGTGAAAATTAGCGGCGTTTTCAAAATTCAAAGCATCAAAAATGGCGACCGTTAAGCTTACGTTATTTTATGCGGAAAGAGATACTATCTGGAGCATTATTGCGACCTCTTAGCAAATATCCAAGTGCCGAAAAGCCGCCGAAAAGACATTTTAATTACATTTGAACGTAAATTAATTAAATACACCACTGATATTAAATATAAAAGATTAAAAATGTTTTCAATATGAATCGATTTAAACAATAATTAAATAAGTTTATTTTCAAGGCTTACAGATTATAACCTAACCTCTTAAAGCTTTTTATTAACTCGCCGTTTGTATTATTTACCTCCACGCTCAAAACGCTCTATAAATCCATTCCACTTGAGTTTACGACAGTAACGCTCACAAGCAAGTGGAACGGGGAAAATTGCGGTCGTGAGCGTGATCGTTGCGAACGCTTAGTGGAACGTACCCTAAGAGAAGAATTTAGAGAATGACAGTGGACTTGCGACACTGGTGTAAGTTTATGGGACCCCTATGAATACGTATTACGCTCACCTTCATTCCCCGCATTCCTCTCCCTGCCTAGACAAATTTGATAGAAACCTCCAAGTGCTGCTTTTAGATTTTTTTCAAGTATAGAATTTATGGACGGTCTAGAAAAACTAATTTAATTTAGAAGATTATATCTGTCTCTCTCACTTTGACAGCATATAAACTAACCACGTATTAATTTTTGATTAGCTCATTTATGGGATCATAGGATTTTTCTTATTGTTGGACTTTACGTATATTTGTTTCCCACGGTACAATAAGCTCTACTAGTATCACATGTTTGGTTTCTCTAGGAAAGAGTTTTATGACTGGTCTAGAAGACAAAACACACCGACATCCTCGGGGATTTAATACTGTTTTTCATAGATGTCCAACAAAATAATCCAATAAGGTGCCTAGGATTGACTGAGACTTGTTATTGGATTTTATAACTGGGCCTCCTTATAAGAAGTTTATTTGTCTTTTTTGTGGTCAAGCCTTTTTGAATTCCAACTATTGAGAGACTTAATGTTCACATAGGATTTTAAAGGAGCGCCTTATGCTGCACTAATACGTGCTTGGCTTATCTTATTGCCTCTCCACAGGTATAGTTATGTTTTTTCGGAGACTTTTCCCAATCTTACCAAATTAGGTACTTTGGTCTCGAAGAGTCATTTGGAAGGCGTTTTGATAGAATTTGAATAGGGCAAGAGACCAATCATAGATTAAGGTGCGCCACTTTAAAGCTGCAAAACCAAAGTATTCTGTCTCAGTTGCACTGTCGTGTTTTTCGTTACACCCCGGTCATGAGATCCGGTCACCGTCCTCGCCGAACCCGTTGCTTGGGCCTCGATCGAGTAACCCATAGACACGGCCTACTGAGTTTCTCGCCGAATTTTCTCAGTGGGTGCCCTTTCCGAACCGGTGGTAGGTTCTGCGAAGCACGGCTCTTGCTAGGGCCAGTGTTAGCAACACTCCGGTTTGGGCCCCGTTAGCTCACCTACACGTCAAGAAGAAGCTGAAATGGTCTCTCAAGGCTATCAGTATAGGAAGAAAAAAAGGTATGGAGGAACAAAAGAATCCGGTCGGGCCATTTTTAATGATTACGTGATGGCAAATAATTTTCAAATATATACGATTTTTTTTATTTATTCCATACACGGGTGAACGAACTTACAGCTCCCCTTAAGTAAAGCTCGTAGACAACAAGCACATATTAAATAAATATTGACATGTTTGTTCACAGGATTATCAATTGAAGACATTGATTACCAAAGATATCCGAGTAAAGACTTTCAACTTGCTTGGATTAAAGTATATTTGTCGGAATATTTAGGAACAATGACGCCTGACGCTAAAAGCGTAGATACAGTTTATGAAGAAGTACAAAAACTTTCGTTAGCTTCACATTTTCTTTGGGGTATATGGTCACTAGTGCAATTTGAACATTCTGATATTGATTTCGATTTCGGAAGGTACGATATGTTATCTGAAAAATATTATACTATTTCGGATTTCTTGAAATTTTATTCAATAATTTTCAGGCTTTAAGGACCGATTATAAGTCTAAAAACACTAATCGAGATTTTTGGAGAATGATTTATATCAAGACCCTACTTTTTCTGTCTCAATGCATGCCTCCCAATTAAAAGGTTAATAAAGCCGATAGTTTCGATACAGTTGAGACCTTAATACCTTTGTCTCAAGGTGGACGGAAATATTAATCTTATAATAATTATCTGGTCTCTATGTATTCCGATAATTGCCAAATACTAGGTGGAGCATGGGCTCGCTTCTCATACAATAAATTCTGATAAAAATGATTTGTTGTTAAAATGTGTCTAATGGTACACTATATCATAGTTTATTTACTTTTTTCAGGTATGCAGAAATACGTTTACAGCGATATTATCAAACAAAAAATGATATTTTAAGTGTATGTACTTAATTAATTAATAATAATAATAAAATGGACATTTACTTGTAAAAGTACTTATTTATAAATTCTATAATTTATTGTTGAAATATCAATCTTAAATAAAAATGCGGAGCATGCGAATAGTTTTTTAATCCTGTTCTACATGTTCACTTACCTATCCTTTTGTCGTTTGTCCGGGGGCCATTTATCTATTACAAGATTCCCGCGCCGAAAAGACACGTTGTTGTTGTTGTTTGTTGAAACCACACATTTGACGTCTCTCTGAATGTCACAGCCCGCTGTGGATAGAAATGGGGGAGGCAAAACGGCACTGCGTCCGCCAACACGGTGATTCTGCAGATGTTGGGAGATAACTAGGGTGCTGGATCGACACGCGACAAACCGACAACTGGTTGCTCTATGTTAATAAGTCTGAAGCATACTAGAATGCTGTTAGTCTTCCAGGCGTCCTCGACTTTTCAGGGCGCCGAGCGAGGCTATTCCTGCAAGGGCCGTAGCTGGGAATAAGCTCTTCACCTGTACCCGGTTCGATAACAGCAGGTTAATGTGAAGAGAAGAACTCTTTTTTTCGTGCTCAGTCGCTTGCATCTTCTGGAATGTAGACTTGCAGTCCAGTATATAAATTATACTTTCGCGTCGTAGATACGACAGCCCGCAGCGAAGAATCTGGCCCTGTTTAAACCACGAGGACACGGTGCTGCTCTCCGGGGCACTGCATGCGGCCAGCGGGTACTCTCGGTTATCGTCGCAGCCACAAATTTTGCACTACATCGCCGGCTCGTTCCGGGCAGGTCCGAACAGTCATGACCTGTGAGCGTCATCCTATCCTATTTTAACATTGCTTTCAAATACTTGAATAATCGTATTTATCTTGAAAATATCTACTTGAAAATAATCGTATTTATCTTACTTTTTAATAACATTGGATTAATTATTAAGTTCAAATTTATGTAAAAATCTTATACATATTGATATTCATTGTCTATTTACAAACTATCGTCGTTTTGCAAAATGCAGAACAGCAGGAATTCATGATTGCTCTTATCGTATTCATTTCGCCAAGTCATATGGGAAACATGATTTGACGAAAAATAAAATCACAAGTTACATCTGTATTATTTTTTTTGTTTCTTTTTATTGCTAGATGGGTGGACGAGCTCACAGCCAACCTGGTGTTAAATGGTTACTGGAGCCCATAGACATTTACGACGTAAATGCGCCACCCACCCTGAGATATAAGTTCTAAGGTCTCAAGTATAGTTACAACGGCTGCCCCACCCTTCAAACCGAAACGCATTACTGCTGCACGGCAGAAATAGGCGGGGTGGCGGTACCCACCCGCGCGGACTCACAAGAGGTCCTACCACCAGTAATTACGCAAATTATAATTTTGCGGGTTTCATTTTTACCTAGGCGGCACTGAAAATTTCGGGAATTAACGAAGTGACACAACATTACTATTTAAAAATGTATTTATTGCTTTTCGAAGCATTCTCCGCGAAATTTGACACATTTTTCCATACGATGGAACCAATCATTGAAGCAACCATTCCATTCGGAAGTTGGGGTCTCCAAAATGGCCGTTTTGTAGGCGTCCACAGCTTCTTCAGGTAATGAAAATCTCTGTCCACGCAATTTATTCTTTATTTTAGGGAAAGTATAGAAATCATTAGGGCTTAGGTCGGGGCTGTACGGCGGATGGTCTAATAATTCTATGTTTTCTTGCTATAAAAACTCTTTTGTTCTGTGCGCGGTGTGAGAACTCGCATTGTCGTGATGGAGGATGATGCGGCGGTTGCAGTTCTCTTTACGGAGTTCAGAAACGACCTGTGGCAAACAAATGCTAGCATACCATTCTGCATTAACCGTTCTTTGTCCCTCAAGAGGAATAGTCGTAACATGGCCGGTTTTGGAGACAAACGTGGCCACCATTTTTTTTGCAACACTCCGTGAACGAACAATTTTTGTTGGCTTTAACTCATTTTCGAACACCCAAACTCGTGACTGGTTTTTTGTTTCGGGTTCGTACGCGTATATCCAGGATTCGTCACCTGATACAATGTTGTATACAGCATTTGAGGATCCTGCGTGGAATCTTTCGAGAGTTCTGACGCACCAAGTAACGCGAGCCGCTTTTTGCTCTTCACAGAGCGAATGCGGTATCCATCGGGAAAACAACTTTTTTACACCTAATTGTTCATGCAAGATTATTTGTATTTGACTCATGCCAATGTCTAAAGTTGCCTGAATTTCGCGGTATGTCACATGTCGATCTTCCTCAATCAGCTTACGCACAGCATCAACGTTTTCTTGGGTGACTGCAGTTTTTGGACGACCTTGACGGGGATAACCACTGAGCTTGACACGTCCACGTTGAAACTCAGCAAACCAGCGATAAATTGTGGTTTTGGATGGGGCTTCATCACCAAATGCAGAAATCATCCGGTCAACACACTGTTTTTGTGTTAAACCACTTCGAAAGTCATAATACAAGACCGAGATCTTTTTTTAAATAAATAAATGGTATTCGATTTTTAAAACCAAGGAGTTTTCAATTAAAAAGATTTTAATATGACAGGAACAGTGGAAATATTCCATTCCCGATACTTTTAGTACAGCCCTCGTAGTACACGATGTTATTCCTTCACCGTGGAAGGCAATCGTGAACATTTGTTGAGTACCTACGTATTTCATTAGAAAAATTGGTACCCGCCTGAGATTCGAACACCGGTGCATCGCTCAACACGAATGCATCGGACGTCTGATCCGTTAGGCCACGACGACTTCTTAAACAGTTACTTACTTAGTTACTTATGAATTAAGTTATACGTCTTGGTACGTAATTATGCAGTTGCTATTTTATAGTCAATTATTTTATCAGGTAACTATCGAACAAACACATATCAATATTATGTTCTAAATTTCATAATTACATTAAAATACATTTCCTCCAATGAGAAGAATCTGCCAGATACTCGGGGATTACTGTTTTACAAACTCTGTAGGTACTTGTTTTCCTACCTATTCTAGTGACCTCGAGGGTGATACTAGATTCACCGAGCGAGCATGTCAGCTCACGGGACTAACCCGGGGACGTTGCTAACACTAGCCCTAGAAAGAGCAGTGCTTCGCAGAATTTACCACCGAATCGGACACGCGACCCACTGAGAAGATCCGTCGAGAAACTCAGTGGGCTGTGTGTCTATGGGTTAGTTTACCTTGTCGTCAGCGAACGGGTTCGACGAGATCGGTGACCGGTAAATGTGTACATAACACATATACAGTCAAACCTGGGTAAGTGAGAATTGGATAAGTGAGAGTAATAGCCAGGACCCGTCATTTTAAGCTCCCAAAACCTCTATTAGCGAGAAACAGAAACCTTTGTAAGAGAGAGTCGTTTTCCCTCATGGACCTCCGTAAGTGAGACTACTACTTATCTATACCTCTATAAGCGACAGTCGAGCTTTATTTATTTATAGTATTTAGGAGGAACAAATGACAAAATAAATTACAAATTTAAATCTGCTATTTTATGAAACATTCTTAACTTTCGTGGAACTTCCTACCATTGTTTTTGTATTGTTTTCTCGTCAATATTGAACCTATTCTATTTCGGGAACTAAATAACGTTGTTATTTTATCGCATTCTTTTCGAATGGACACGTGTGCCTGTGTACCGTCCTGTTTGTCGGATTTACTCAGTTTATCGTTAATCAATTGCGAAGGAAATTCTGTTCTGCATCATGTCAAAACGGAAAATTAAAGGTCTGTCATTAAGTGATAAACTTAAAATAGTGAATGCGTTTGAATCCGGAAAATCGCGAAATAAAATTCAGAGGGTGCATTAGCGAGAAACTCGGGTTAGTGAGAAACCTCTATAAGCGAGAATGAGACTGTGCTCCCTTGAACTCTCGCTTATCCAGGTTTCACTGACTGTATTGCCATTGATTGCAGATGAGCATATGGTCCACATGACGTTATCCACTGGTTATCGCTCATGGACATCTATATATATAAAAATTAATTGCTGTTCGTTAGTCTCGCTAAAACTCGAGAACGGCTGGACTGATTTGGCTAATTTTGGTCTTGAATTATTTGTGGAAGTTCAGAGAAGGCTTAAAAGGTAGATAAATATGAAAATGCTCGGAATTAAATAAAAATACCAATTTTGTTTTTCCTTTGGTGTCCCCCCCGTCGGACGAATTCCTTTTGTTTGTTTTAAGTTTATTTTATACATTAGTTTAGGTATTTTATTTATCGATTGAGGCACTACGAAGTCTGCCGGGTCAGCTAGTCAGTGATAAAAATGGCACAGCCAAGCTACTATACCTGCCACTAAGTACTACTTACTCTCATTTGACGAGAGAAATACCATGCAATCTACTTAGTTTCTGTTGCATGTCAGATAGACATGTAACAACAAGCTAAAATGGTAACAAAACTCGTTTTCGTTAATTTCGTAAATTTTCCCATTGAGAAAGTATTTCAATTGATAGCTGCCCACAACATTTGGAGTTGTATTAGGGCAAATGTAAATAATTTTGGTTTCCTTGATATTATAATAATAATATCTCAATGCTATTTATTATATATCAATTAACACACTAAATTGGGTAATTGATGTGCCATAGCAACCATATGATTATAATATAAATGCGAATGAGGTTTTTACTTACATGTTCAAGTTTTAACTATTTAACAGTACAGAAGGTATAGAAAGCAACATATCACAAGTTTCATTTAGAAAAAAGGAAATCAGAAATACACTGAGTATTTTTTATTATATATCATTTGTTTTCATTAACAATATGAAAAAAGATCACCTTTAACAGATTAAATCTTTCATTTACATGTAAAACATGTGCATGAGGTAAAACAAAAATAACTTTATCTGAAAAAACATAATGAGTTTTATATTTATTTATTTTTAATTGATAAACACAATAGCATTCAGTCAAATTATTTTTCAATAAAACATTATACAGTTCAAAATAGGTCTGTGGCACTTTGATTCAAACTCGTGTAGTAATTCATCTATATCATTGTCCAAATCAT